CAGATTGGCTGGCGCAGTAGCAGCGTGTTGGAAACACTTCGAGTGGCTGCTTTGAGTGAAAAGAAGCTCGGCAGTTTGTTCGCGCTACTGGCGGAGTACAGCAATCTTTACCCGACTCTTTTCGCTACGCCGGCCAATATTTTCAACATGGACGAGTCGGATTGCTCTGTGGGTCGTAAAAAGAAGCGTGCCCTGGCTGCTGTTGGTGTCAAGCGTGTCAGTCGGCGATCTGGCCGAACCATTACGATGGGACCGCATGTTACTGGTCTGTTTACTGTTTGTGCTGATGGCACCGCTCCTGTTGCGCCCCACTTCATTGTCGCGCATCCACGGCCCACTCTACCTCACAGGTGCACCGAGGGCCTGGACGAGGAGTTGATTCACCAGTCCGAGTCCGGCTTCATCAACGAGGAAATCTTCGACAAGTGGTTTCGAGATTTCGTCGAGGTCGTCAAGGAGCGAGCTACCACCACCCCCGTTCTATTGGTGATGGATGGCAGCTCGTGTCACAAGTTCACTGTCGGGTTGATTGACCTCGCGGTGAGCAACAACATCCTGGTTGCGATCCTTCCATCGCACACGTCGACTCACTTGCAGCCGCTCGACGTCACCGTCTTTGCCTGGTACAAGAACTTGCTCGAGACTCACGTGCAGTCGATTTTGGATGAAGACTCGCCACTCATCGACGTGAACATCAAGCTTCACGGGGCCATTCGGGCGTGGAACGAAATTGACGACCGATCCAACTTGATCCGATCTGGGTTTCGCCAAACTGGTATCTATCCGCTGGACACGGAAAAGCACAAGACCCTAGCGTTGCCTTCCGTCGCTGACGTTGCCGTGTCTACGACCCCCTCGCTGCACATTCCCGAGCCACCCCCAACCCCGGATGCTCGGTATTCGGCGTGTACCGTGTCCGTCAGATTGCCGATGCCGCCTGGTACATGATGCACTCCGAGAACTCTACAGCAAAGAGGTGCACGATGCAGCGTTAGCTGATTTGCATCGAAATCTCGAGGTCGAACTTCTCTGTGTGCAAGAAGTCCTTCGGGCCCCACCCAGGCCCCTGCGGTCCAGGAGCATTGGCAACAGCTCCATGCGCGTTTCTATGAACTCGACCGCTCGATCCCCGCTTACGCCGGAGAATAGGGATGCCCAGCTTAAGCGGCAGGAGTTGCAAGAGAAGAGGAAGCAGCTCGAACCTCTGAAAGAAGAGTACAATCGGCAACGGCCCATCTTCCTCCGCACGCTAAAAGACCTTGACTCACGCATCTTGACACTTGCGGAGACAATTCTTGCTCTGGAGACTCAGCTGGCTGCTCTGGGAGAAGAGGTCGAGCAGGACATCGAATCGGCAACTGCCGCGGAGACCCGAAACAAGCTAGCTGCTGCTCGCCTGCAGCATACCAAGCTCGTACGTGACCGCGCGACATTTTTCAAGAACCGTCTCAAGCGACCCACTCTTCTAAGTCTTGAGCCAGCGGCGACCGCTTCCACACCTCTCGTTCCTCGGCGCGTCAGCAGGCCTAGGCCCATTCTCGCTTCGCAATCGATGGCGAACGACACTGTCGACTTGGATCAATCAGCCAGCGAGGAGGAAAGCGAGTCTGACGACGATGACGACGAGAATCAAGCGTCGTCCGAAATGGCTTCCGCTGCCATCGGCCACAACGACAACCAGGAGGACCCCAGCGATGTCCAGCGTCAACCTCAAGCCGCCCGCAAGCGTCGCCAGGAAGATGACGATGAAAACGTCGCGCCCGTCTTCACCACGGTCACATCAGACTCGAGCGATGTTGTTCAAGTCGATTATCAGCTGAGCTCCACCGAACTCCAAGAAATCCGACGCTATCGCATGCCAACGCGTAGTACTACGAAGCAAGATGGACATAATGTCAAATTGGCGCGTGTAGACCTCCAACCTGCGTCGTCAAGGCCGGCGCTCAGCGACCTGACAAACCTTTCTCGAAGCAACACGCTACCACTGTAATTTTCCGTGTTTTGTGTTCAATTCTATGTGCATCCCATGTCATTCAATGTAGTTATGTGTTTTTTCCGGTCAAAAAGGGTGAAATCATGTCTAGGCAGGGGAAGATTGGACCATGCCCGTCCGGCGCGGGCGGTCTGGCACCTGCCGGGTTCTGTGGTCACATACAGTAACCGTCGCACCAACTGCAATACATAGATACCAGTTGGTATTACATGTCCCAGTTGAAGATGGGCCGACAGATCCTCGACACGGGCGACACGGGACTGGCAAAGTCAGTTTCTCCCTAAAAAGACTCAGCCCTAATGCACGCCCAGCCAAATCGAAGCGAAAATTTTCCCCTCCGATTCGCACCAAAATTACCAAATCAACTATATAATTTATGCTCTTTCCAATGATATAGGTGGCAGGGCGAGGAAATGAACAGGGGGGACTGAGTCTTTTTAGGGAGGCCCTCTCTATTGTTCTGGTTCGCATGAAACTACACTTTCTCATCCTCCTCCAATCGCGCGTATCTCGATTGGACAATATGTCATAACATCTCAGAACACTACAAGTCGAGAAAGGAAGCACGAAACACCGCGAAAAGACACGCAAACGGTGAGGACAAACTCACTCGTTTCGTGTTATCGCCTGTCCTGTCGCTGCATTGGCCCCTTTTGCCCCGCTCGCTGCTTTGAATAATACTGGATTGAGCGGTCGTCCTAACGCCATGCTGTATTCTGGTGTGTGGGGCGCGGTTTCTGCCATTTTCAAGCGAACATTCGCGAAAAATGAAGTCGGCCGCGGGCGTTCTTTGAACGCTATGTTTTCATGCGGTTACTGCCACTGGACTGGAATTGCTGCGACATTATTTGAGCATAACTACCCGACAATGAATGCGCTAATCACCACCCTTCACAATTTTTAACACAGGCCGGTATCAAGCTCGCGGATGTGACACCCATCGCGACAAACAACGCAACAACCGATCAACTTCGTTTTTCAGCGCACACCGCACGCTTGACGTCAGCGTTCACTTGTATTACATTTAAATGATTTTTGACACGCATTGGTGTGCAGCGAGGACCGAGTGCCGCAAGACTGCCAGCGGTAGAAGTAAGGGAAGTGACCGATTTGAGCTCACTTCTGTTTTTACGTCTCAAGATTGGCGTGGCTGTATCTGCACCCAGTGCGCAGCCGCCGTTGAAGCGGATCCATGACTGGTTACAAGTATGGCTGACGCTACAGACAGACGTCGCCATCGCAAGCGCTGTCTGCCCGCTGACAGGAGTCTGGAACTGCACCAAGTTGGCCATGCCCAGAGCTGCTTCCAACTCCAAAGCACTTCATCATGATTCCATGGCATTTGAATACGTGTGAATAGTGTATCAATTGTATTTGTAGCTAGAATGAGAGATATCTTGAGTGAAGAATTGGCGCACTGGTGCAGTCAATGAGTGGTGGGTGCGAAGTTGTGTCAACAGCGCTTTCCTGCGTCTGTGCGACCGTCCCCGACCGCCCCCGCATCAGAAACAACGCGTGACAACTGTATCACGTCACTGGACATGCAAAGGCGCGCGTTGACATGGCCTGGGGAGCAGTAGCAAGGAGGAGCGCCGATCGCAATGGACCGCCAGCCAATTCCCCTCCTCATCGTTTCGCGTTCCAGGACAGTCCCCGCCGTCCATTTTCCACAACTATGCACTGCAAACAACATATATTGCATACTACGATTGAAAGAAACAAGCCAAACTCAAGAATTCGCAAGTTGACAGAACACCGAATTATTGAAAAAATTCGGTCAGACAAAAATTTTCCACTGTGATTCTATTATGTCCACAATAACGAAATCAGCTGTGACAAGCACTCAGATGCCGGCTTTTGCCTTTTTGGCGAAGCGTAAACCACACGCATTACACAACCTGCGAAGCCATTCAAGCCACACAACAACCGAAAAGCAAAACAACGAAAACAACACAAAACAAAACAACACAAAAAACCAAACAAAAAACAAAGGTCAATGAGCGCCAAAGCCGTGTATCAACAACCTCCAACAAAGCACCATCCCTCCCCCCCGCCTCAACATCAACAGCATCGCAAAATTACGCACGATTTCGGACCGCTTGGACCCTTTCGCCATTCGGGTGAATTGGTAGTGCCACACTCTGTGCAGGTCGGCAGGTTTGACTTGACTGTTTTGCCAACAGACGGCTTGCGCTAACAACGAGACAAAAAACGCAGACAGTGTCATAACGAAAAGATTAGTCAAGCTCAATGCAGTGCGATGATAATTCAACGTGTCTTACAGGTGCTTGAGAACCGTGCGTGGAAAGCCACAACTCCCGGAGGTACTGGTTTTCTTGCTTGAGCCGAACAATCTCAGAAACTTCTTCGTTGCCATCAAATTCGCGGTAGGTGGTGTTGGGAGCACGCACGCTCGAAACACAGTTGATGAAGAGCGGAGGCGAATCGGGCGAAGCACGCACAATACCCATGGTGGTGTTTAGCCAGACACCGCTTTCGTGATTGGCGTTGAGAAACCGATATGCAATTCGAACCGATCGCAAAGTTGGAGTGGAAATCAACGACTCGAAGGCTTGAGTCATTGTCAGAATGTCCTCGGGATCGATGCACTCGAAAATCGAGCGACCAACGAGTGCAGAGGGTTCTTGTCCGATGAGCCCCTGGCAGTGGGGGTCAACAAAAATGCAGAAGCCCTCCAAGCTGAACTTTGAGCGAAAGTAGGGGACAACCTGATTGGAATTCGTCGAGCTGGAGGTGGTCTGCTCACCAAGCCCCTCCGTTGTTTCAGTCACAGTGCTGTTGTTTTCGCTGGCCATCAACGAGCCGGTGGGGCTGAAAGTAGACGAAGCACCGCCGGCAACCGAGCCTGACACGAGTAGTTGCGACTGGGCGGGAAGAGCAGCACCGACGGCTTCATGGGACAGCGAGTGCAGAGGTTTGGTCCGTCGGAACTCCATGCTCGACGAATCCGAGCGCAATCCCGGCATAGCGGACGCCGAATGACTGGAAGTCAAAGGCGTAGCAAAAGAAGAAGGAAACAGCCCGCTCGAGCTCCCGCCGGACAGGTTGGGGTCGGAGGCTCCCAGGACACTCATAGACGCTTCGCTCATGGAGGTGGCAGATCCACCTGCACCAGCAAGCGCACCGTTGGCTTGCTGGGAGGGCGAGGTGGCGTGGTGACCAAACTCGTAGCCAAAACCACCAGTCGCAGGTTGGTCGCCGAGATACGTGTAGCCAGTGTCGTCCAGAAAGTCGTGCAGCACTGGGCCATGCAGAGAAAGCGGCATGCCAAACATTGAGCCAGAATCGGCAGCACTCTGCGAGTGAAAGTCTCGCGAGAAGGACAAGTTCCGTTCCTGGTGTTGCTGGGTTTGCAAATGCATCAACCGCATGCTATCGTCGGTTTGTGAGCGAGAGGATGCAAGCGAGCGAAACTGGGAACGAGACGGCGGCGCGGCAGAGGTCATCTGGTTGAGCTTGTCCAGGCTAATGCGCAGGTTGTGGTATGCACCATTGGAGCGATCGTCCTCATTCACCGAAGGAGACCGTATCAGCCCCGCAGTTCGACCGAACGGAGCCGAAGCCGACAACGCTTGGGACGCTTCAGAGAGGGTTCGAGGCTGGTCTGGTTGTTGTTGTTGTTGTTGTGGTTGCTGCTGCTGCTGCTGCTGCTGTTGCTGTTGTTGATGCTGCTGATAGTAATAGTGAATACTGGATGCGCTTTGCGAGCGCATGGCGCTGGGGCTGGCAGGGACGGTGCTACCGACACCCATTGGGGTGGCATCGGCAGAAGGCGGAGAGGCGATATGCAGGGCACTGTGGTCGTTAACTGGACGGTCATACGGAGCGTGAGAGCGTTTGCGATGGCTGGTACCAACCAATGCGGAGACTTTGGAAGCAACGTGCGGGCGGAGCCGATGGCGCTGCGTTTCAATCATTGCCTGCCGACTGAGCTCAATCAAGGCCATTTGGCGCTGCACGTCGTCGAGAAGACGCTGCGAGCTGAGTGGGCCATCGGTGGCGTGGTCATGCACATGCCGCAAATGCTGTTGGGGTTGAGCGGCGGTTTCCTGCTGCGGCATCTGGCCAGGCAGCACGTTGTAGCCCATTCCCTGTGACAGATCGCTGGAATCGAGGGTGAAGGCTCGACGCATGGGGTTTCCGCGCGAAGAAGAGTTCAACTGCAACGGGGAGGCAGACGATGAGGCAGAGACCCACGATGAATCGTCCGACGTCTGCCGAACGTGATGGTGCTGCTGCTGCTGCTGCTGTTGTTGTTGCTGTTGCTGTTGCTGTTGCTGTTGCTGTTGATACATTTGCATCTGATACAGCAAATGTTGCTGATGTTGCTGCTGCTGCTGCTGCTGCAGTAGGTTCTCGGCTGCAGCCAAACGAGACGAAGCATCGTGTTGCCGCGTTGTAGCAAGCGGCGGACGGTCGGAGGCAATCAAGGAATCAATTGGGTCACTCAAGAACCAATCTGCACTGCTCTGGTTTGCCAGCGTCGTGTTGACCAAGGCGTCCTCGTTTTCCTCCAGCACAGACATGGCAAACAGGCTCGTCGGGTTGGTGTGATTGCTGTGCAGCGCGGAAGTCTGGCCATCCGATCCTGCCGATCCAGACGATACGAGCGCGTTCGAACCCAAGGGCATGAATGCAGGCGACGAGATTGAGAACGACATGGCGTGGAATTGGTGCTTGCCGCTATTCGACCATAAAGCAAGCGTGATTCTTGCTCAACCCAAGCCGACCAGTCAGTGGGACTGGCGCGTTACGCGTAAGCTGAGCACCCTTGGACAAGCGAAGCACGAGTGTCGCAAACTTCTCAAAGAACGCAAGCGCGCGAGGCGGATGGAGCTGTCGTGATCACAAAGCATTCATCCACGAAAAAAAAAAAAAGAGTGAGTGTCAAAATCATCGCGCGCAAGGTGTCACGACACGACAAGACAGTTGGCGTGAAAAAATGGCGACAAGCGGGAAGAGAGCTCGAGCTCAATTGCTCAGAATGACAGGTCCATAAATGAGACAAAACAAAAAACACCAAGAAAAAGAAAAAAAAAGGATAAAAAAAAAAAAAAAAAAAGAAAAGAAAAAAAAAAAGAAATTGCTCGCTTGTCTCCGTTGGACGCAAAAGGGAAACGAGTCGCGTCTGCAGTCGCACGGTCGCAGCACAGACAAGTGCAAAAGGGGAGAGGGTGTGCAGGCACCCCGAGGCGAGGGAGACGCCACGCGCACGCAGGAAGAGTCGGGTGCAAAGCAAGCCGAAATATTAAAAAAAAAAAAACAAAAAACAAAAAACAAAAAAGAAAAAAGAAAAAAAGAAAAAAGAAAAAAAAAACTGCGCGCGGTGTTTGCTGCCTTGCGCCGCCCTCGGCAAGCGAAGCTGGGCTCTCGTGCCAGCGCACTACTCGGATGAGCACCCGTGCCTCAGTTTGCAGACTGAGACAGAAGCAGGGCGGATGGAGGGCGGCGTGGTCACGCTTGTGTGGAGCAACAAAACCAGTGACGCCATTTCAAACACAACAAAATACCAAAAAAAAAATTACCTTCAAAAAAAAAAAAAAAAAAAAAAAAGAATGAGACTGTGCAGTGAGTCATCCTCAACATTACGCAGATGAAAACAGCTCCAAGAAAGCAACGAAAATCCCCTCATCAAATCCAAGAAGGAAGACAAAAAGCGATCGCAAGAGAGCGAAGCGCGGCGTCTGCTTCCACTCAACGTATCGAAATCGGAAAAGCGTCTGCTGACACTCATTTCGACAGCGCTTTGCTCTTCCTTTTCTTCCTTCAACGCTTTGACACACCACGATGGCGAGTACGAGGAGGCTGAGGTAGGCGCAAGGGACCTGTGGTGGTGGAGAGACGTGGTGGAGCGGAACTCGGTGCCTGTTGGCTGTTGGGGGGCGGGGATTGGATTTATGAGAAACGCGCCGCCCCTTGCTTCGGCACACATGGCTCACCTTCTTGCGGTTGGCACCCCCGCGAGCCAAGCAAGCGAGGCAAGTTCAGCTGCTCCAATCCTTTGCCCCCCCTTACAATCGCCATAGTTTCGAGGTCAACCAACAGTCCAGCGAGATTCGCCAGAATGAAAAAAAAAATCAAAAAAAAAAAAAGCAGGAAAATCCCGAAAACATCATTGAAATATCGCGTGAGATGAGTCCCGAATAAGCACCGAGATCGACGCGGATCACGATGGAGCAGATGGCAGCGCCCCAGCGAGCAAGCAAGCGCGGTGCTGTTGACAGTCGCGCACCACTATGATGCAGACGCACGGTGCCGTCAACGGGGATGGGGTGGGACGGAGGGCGAGGCAAGGTGGGCGAGGCGGACGAGGGGGAAAAAGGATCGACGATCGAATTTTTTTCAAACCACTGCTGCATTTCGTTCTGTCATGTCAGTCTCAAAGAGCAAAGTGCTGCGGCGAGCAGCGCAAGACGAGAGCAAGACGATGTAGAGTATTGAGGCTCCTGATGTGGAGGTGGGTGGGTGGGTTGGGGGTTTGATCGAACAAGAGGAAAAAATACAAAAGCCTGGTTCGGAAAACACCCATTACCCGATGACAGCGCACGGTTTGCTCAACCGAGAAAGGAAATGACAGGCAGGAAGAAGAGTGCTTTGTATTTTTTTTTTTTTTTAAAAAACGACCACATGAAAGCAAAACATTTGGAAAATGAAAAAAACGGTTGCTGCACAATTCTGCATTTCCTACTTGAACAAGCGTGGATGAAACGATGGCCAGCAAGTGTGTCATGCAGACGATTGTTTGGGAGCCCACGGTTTTCCTGGTGGTTTCATTTTGTTGGTTGATTGCTTGGGTATTGCTTGGGTGACACACCATGTTGCTTGCGGACAGGATACTCGAGAGCACACGAGAATCAAACGCATAGTAAGATTGAGGCGACGCTTCGAATGGTCGCCTGGGTGGTCGCTGGGTGTCAAAGCGCGACGCGCCATTCAATAACAACAACAACAAAAAATCGCTGGAAGAACAAAAAGTTGTTCAAAAGCGTCCAACCCTATGCTCGAACACTCGATGGGCCTGCTGCCTGCTGTCCAAGAGGCTGGCCAGTCTCGTTGAGCTCGGATGCACATAGCATGGTCAGGTATTGCGTATCATCAATGTCCTGTTCCAAACATTGTGCCAGGGCGTCGGCGAGTTTGACAGCAAGGACATGCTTGCACTAGATCCGTACAGCAAGCAAAAACAAAACGAGTTAGCATAATCAAAGAGCTTGCTGGAGCAATTGGCGCGATACTCGCATGAGGGAGGGAGGAAAAGGAAAAGCACACGAAACTGCAACAACAATTTCCAGCACCCTCTCTTCAGATCCACGAAGAGCACGTCCAGCAAGGTAAAGCTCACATAAGATGACTCTGACTTGAGCACTGGTAGCCACCGGGATGCGCAAGCAAGCGGCATTTCAAGAATCACGATGAGTATAATTGCTCAAAAACAAACCAAAGCCACGCTGCACGCCAGTCCCACGTACCAGAGAACACGTACGACATGCAGGAGCAGTAATTCGAGTCTGGCAAGCAGATGTAAAACCGCCCAGCCGAGCCAGCAACCTGCTTTAGACAGTTCACAATCAAAATTGGCTTGCAAACCTCAAACCTGAGCACAACGACGCACCTGATAGAAAACTCGGTTTGCAGGGCACTTCATTCGAGTGATGCACTTGCGGTCGACAATGTCGAGTGCTTGTTGCAGCAGTCCGTGCTTGAAGATGAGCGAGAGCCTAGACAGAACAAAACAGCAGAGCAAACCAAGGGTGAGCGAATCCAACAAGCTCGCGCGCGTTTGCCAAGAACGAAACGCAAGAATAACGCCACGTCGTGCGATCGAGGAGACCAGACGCAGACGAGGTGGAGGGGGAGCTCTGCGGCGTTGGCGTTTGGCGTGCAACTTTGGGACTTACGAAACGAGCAGATCGTCCGAGACTGAACAAAAGCCGGAAAGGGGACAGCAGCCCACGAAGCGAGCAAAGGATGGCCAGCACACAGGACATGGACGAGTGAGGGCAGGGTTGGTAGTGGTGGTGGTGTTGGTGGGACTGTGAGCAGCAGAAGCAAAACAGCGTTTTGTCGCGGCAAGTGGCGTTCTTACGCGTTCGGGTTGCAGCCACAGCGCTCAGCAGCTGGTGCGCCACGGCTTCAAGCGAGACGGGCGTCAGCGAGTCTTCCATCCGTCCCAGCAAACAAAGAAAGAAATAGCAAACGGGGGAACCCAAAAAAAAAAAAAAAAAAAAGGATTGGGTTTCTTCTTGTTTTGCATTGAAATTCTGATTGAGATTTGAGTTTCTTCTGTATGGAACTGACATTGAGACGCTGACTGAGTTTCAACATGCTTTTGTATTGTGCCTTCAATACACTCTTCAATTCAATCTGTTCCTTTCCCCTTCCCTTTCAAAATGTGGCAAGCAACCAAGATCCTCGACAATGTGTAACTGGCTTCCACCCTCACTTTTGCTCAAAGCGCTCGTGTGTTTGCTCGTCTTTCCAAGTGGTTCATCGCCGCTTTTCATCCGCCCTCCTCCTCCTTTGCTCATCGCATTCAACAACGCCCAGCACGCAGCGGTCACCATTGCAAAAAAGAGGGGGAAAAGTTTTTTTTTTTTTTTTTTTTTTTTTTTTTTTTTTTTGGTTTTGGTTTTGAACGGTTTGTGTTTGTTTAGCGGCCGGCGTTTCGCTCTCGTTTCCTCGCAGTGTGGTCCGATCGCAAGCCATGCCACTTGTTGTCCCCCCCCCCGCCTCTTCTTTGCCCTGCATCGACGAACGCCCGGCACTACACGCAAAAAGCAGTCCGAAGAGGACTTCATTGTTTTCCATTGTTTTTTCCTAGCATCGCTCCTTTTTTTTTTTTTTTTTTTTTTTTTGTGCGTGTCTTCCTCTTCCCGCTTCACCCTGCTTGGACTGCAAGCATTGTGTGTGCATCTCGATTGTATCCCAATATCTCCAACGCCAAGCAAGTGAGAGATCCAGCCGAGCACGCGTCGGTCGCGTTCACCAAAGCCATCCAATTTGATTCACTCGCTCTCTTTTGGCTTTTTTTTTTTTTTTTTTTTTTTTTGGTTTTGTTTGTCTTGCTGTGCTGCGTCGCTCAACGTTGGGTTGAATTTTTTTCCACTTGTGCTTCCCTTTTCCAAATCAGCACAAATGTGATTATGAACTACTCGGAAGTCGAGACCAAGGTCCGAGAGGCGACGAGCGCCGAGCCCTGGGGTCCCTCCAGCACGCTGATGCTCGAGATTGCCCGTCACACATTCGTGTACGACGACTTTGCCGATGTGATGGCCATGCTCTGGAAGCGCATGTTCAAGGAGAAGCTCTGGCGCCACACGTACAAGGTTGGTTGATTTTTGCTTTTGCTGTTTTTGTGCACCGCGCTTGCATCTGACCTCAATTTGTTTTGCTTTTGCGATTTCAGAGCTTGCTATTGCTCGACTATCTGCTGCACAACGGCTCAGAGAAGGTCATTGAAGATGCTCGCGATCACGTTTTTGACATTCGCCGCCTCGAATCGTTCCAGGCCACCGACGAAAAGGGCAAGGATCAGGGTCTCAACGGTAACCAACGAGATTTCGTTTGTTTGCGCTTGCTTTCGCTTGCTTTCGCTTGCTTGCGTTTGTTTTCGCTTCCTTTCGCTTGCTTTCGCTTGGGGTGCACCCCTTTTCATCATCCTTGTTCTTGGACACTCACGCTTTGTCGGCTGTGATTGGAATGCGGTATTTCGCAGTCCGCCACAAGGCAAAGGACCTGATTGGCCTCATCCAGGACGACGAGCGCCTGCGCGAAGAGCGCCGCAAGGCCAAGGTGAACCGCGACAAGTACACTGGCACGGGCCACGTTACCTCTGGCGACCGGTATGGCGGATTCTCGTCGTCTGAGCGCTACGACGACTACGACGCACCTCGCGCCAATCTCGGCAGCGACAGCAGCGGCCGCAAAGCCGTACCACGACGAGGACGCCAAGCGCTACCCCCGGCAGCGGCAGCTCGCGGTACAACGACCGCGACAGCGATTCTTCCGCCTTTCGGCAGCAGCAGCCACTCGGCCATCCCGCACCGCTCGCATGACGACGACGACTTTGGCAACTTTGCCAGCGGCGTGCACGGCAGCTCGGCCTCTGCGACAGCTGCCCAGCAGCCCGTTCACGACCACCGTCGCCGTCTGAGCGGCGATGCCTCGGCTGCCGCTCACCTCCACGGGGGCGCGTCCCACCACCAACAGCACTCTAGCAAGGCACACCACCAGGAGCAAAACCTATTTGACGTTGCTGCACCGGCGCCTGCCCAGCAACAGGGACTGGCGGACGTGTTTGGCGGCCCTGCCCCACGCGCGGCTCAGACGGCGACCGCATCAGGCTACCAGCAGCCTTCGTTTGCCGATTTCAACCCGCGAGGTGCATCTGCCGCACCCCCTGCGGCCTCGAACAATGCGTTTGACGACTTTGCGGGCTTCCAGGCCCCGGCCAGCAGCGCCAACCGCAACTTTGCTTCCTTCCCTCCAGCGGCTGCACCACCAGCGTCCTCCCAGCAGCAGCAAAACGCGGCCTTCCTGATGATGCAAGGCGATCTTCTTCAGCCCTCGGTTGTCAGCACCTCGTCTGCCAACGGGCACGCCGCGCCCTCGCAGAGCGCTGGTACCGCCCAGTCTGCCTTTGGCGGGCTAGTCAACCTCGATGCTTCCAGCCTCGGCGCACGCCAAGACACGCAAAAGGGTCCCTACCAGCCCATGCGAGGCGGACCCCAGCAGACCGGTCCAGGCTACTCTGCACGGCCGCTGGCGCCCGCCGCTGGCACGACCATTCCCCAGAACGCCAACTTTGGTGGCATGTCGGGCTTTGGCGCGCCGCAGCCCCAGATGGGCTTCCAGCAGCCGCAGATGGGCTTCCAGCAGCCGCAGATGGGCTTCCAGCAGCCGCAGATGGGCTTCCAGCAGCCGCAGATGGGCTTCCAGCAACCCCAAATGGGCCAAATGGGCCAAATGGGCTTCCAACAACAACCACAAATGGGCTTCCAGCAGCAGCAGCCCCAGATGGGCTTCCAGCAGATGGGCTTCCCACAACAGCAGATGGGCTTCCAGCCGCAACAACAATCGGCCGGCTTTGGCCAGCCCATGCGACCAATGGGTATGCAGCAGCAACAGGGTGCTCGCCCCTTCTTTTAAACGCTGCCCCCCGACCCTGTGCATTGATTTTGAAATTGTTTTCCGTGCTCGTCGGCGCGCCTCGTGGTGGTGCTGAACGAGGTGTATCGACTCTTGTTCTGAATGTGAATTGCGTGTAAACTTTTGGTGTGCTTTGTGAGTTGCTTTTTTGCGAGTTTTTTTTTTGTTGTTTCTTTTCTGTTATTTGGTTGGTCGTGAAACTACAATACATGTCAAATCTTCAACTCGATCGTTTTTTTGAAAGTGCAAATCAATTCTATTCGAGTTTTGCAGTCTATCTTTTTGTTGTGTCACTCGATAGGAGAGATGGACGAACGAGACGTGAACGACTTTTGCCCGTTCTGCAAGACGGACGTGTACTTTTTGCAGAACGCCGAGATGCTCGTGACTCCATGTGGACACAAGTTGTACGTGCGACTCGTTCTTCTTTGCAGATCGAGTGACGAAGCCGAGAACAGGCACCAAAGTCGCCACCACACCGCTGTGAAAGTGGAGCTCTGGCTGTGCAATCCCGCGGCAAAGCTCACTCGACTCACTCGACTCTGCCGCTTGCTTGCTTGCTCTATAGCTGCACTACTTGCATCAGACAACACTTTACACAGCTCACCATGCCGTGCTTGGTCTGCAAGAGGCTGGTCAAGCGGACTGAGCTCGCACGCCAGACCTTCCAGGATCTCGGCGTCGATCGCGAGGTCAAGATTCGCCGTAACGTCATGAAAGTGTGAGTGGCAGTTGGATGGTGACCTTTTGATGGTCGTGGACAGGAGAGGAGGAGGAGGAGGAGGAGGAGCGTCGACCCGACTCAATCCACGATCGACTTGTTGTTCGACCATTGTGTTAGATTTACAAAGTCTGAAAGCGCATTCGCGTCACTCGACGAGTACAACAACTACCTTGAAGAAATTGAAGACATTGGTATGAAAAGTGGAATCCCACCGACCATGGCACTACTACACCAAAGATGCTGTGACTCAATCGTGCTTTGGATTTGTGACCATTTTTTGCATCAAACAACGCACCTTCCACTCCCCCCGCCTTTTAGTGTTTAATCTTGCCAGCAACGATGACAATGATGTGCGAGAAGCAACCGAGCGCTTGAACAAGTACAAGCAGGCACACACCGCGGAAATTGAAGCCGCCGCCAATGCCGCCGCCTCAGCCCAAGCCCAGCGCTATCGTCAAGCCCGATTTGTATACCAGGCTCCTCCTCGGAACAACAACGGTCCGCGGATACCCACCCTTTCCGAAGTCACTTCGCTGCAGTAAGTCGTTCGAGTTTATCAACATTATTGTACTTGCAACCATGACCTCAACTTCGCCTTCTTCTTCCAGGTACACTCAACTTGTCCAAGAAAAGGACGTGTCCAAAGCTGCCGGTTTTTCGACGGCTTATCCTGCTCGACGCGCATTATGTGAGGCGTTCTCAAGTTTGTACGATGCATAGTCGTGGTCAAAGAGAAGATATTATCGAATGTATTTTTTGAATTATTTTTGCTACGCTGAAAACAAACACAAAAGGAGGGGCGCAGGCGCATGTGCACACGCTTTTCAGGGGGTTTGGGGAGTTGCGGGTTCAGCTGGGGCTGGGGGAGCGGCTGCAACCTGCTCTTGCCACGATGGGCTGGAGGGCTGAGGAGCAACCGAGCCCTTGAGCTTGCGCTCGCGCGAATGCATGCGGAGTGCAGCCAGCTCGAGGAGCGATTTCTGCATGGCGCGGTTGGTCTCGGGGGTGGCGACCGAGCCAGGCTCAGGCACTACTGGAGGGAGGTTGTCCAGCGCGCGTTGCACAACAGCATCACGACCCTCCTTGTTCAAGCTGGAGCCGTTCTGCACTTCGGTAACACGGGCGTCGGCCAGGCGCTCAAGATCTGCGACCAAGCGCTTGGTGATGCCGCGCTCTTGGCGAGCAATCTGGCGGTTGAACTCGGCCGGGTTGGCTGGCGGCGGCAATTCTGGGTATGCTGCGTTGGTAAGCAGCGCCTCCGACACAACCTCTTCGTACTTTTCGAAGGGAATGGCGGTGGACAGGTTGTGGGACGCCTGTACGGCCATGCGCAGCTCCACGCCAACACGCTTGTGTTCGGCCGCCGACTGTCGGTACGCGGCGTACTCTTTGCGCTCCTCGCGGCTTCGCGCTTCTTGATCCGCACGCAGATCGCTGATGGCACGGCGAGCGCTGGATCGGAGCTTTTGAATCGTGCTTGTGGTTTCGGTGGCCTTGACGCGCTCGGCGGCCTGCGCGAGAAAGCAATTTTGACAGCAAAACGCAGACGTTGTGAGTACGGATGAAATAAATCCTGACGGTCAACCTCCTTTCCCCATCCCCCCGCCCCCCAAAAAAAATCCCAACGTTCACGCTTTTTTGTTTGGTTGCATCCTCGAGATGCGTCCGAGTCGGTCATTCAATCCAAAAAAGGACGAGATCGCAGCTTTTTTCTTCCTCCAAGCCATTTTGACAATGTTTCCCTCCTTCTCATTCACTTCAACGCGAAACCGCATCGTTGAAGAATATAGCATTGCGAAAATCATCCCCAATACCACGATGGAGATTTTTCCACCTTTGTGTATGGAGCTGGGGGAAGAGGGGAGAAGGGAATAGCGGTCGAACAAGCTTACAATGTGAGACTTGAGCCGCTGCTCGGCCTTGAGTGAGCTCGCGTGCTCTGCGGCAAACTGCTTGCGGAGATCGTGCATCTGGCCTTCGTACAGGCGCCGGTGGACCACAAAGCCGTTGTCCCAGCGGACGGGCGCGGGGCGTGTAGGGCGGTCGGCGCGGTCTGCCACGCGCTTGAAGGCCTCCTCGGGGACGGACGTTGCCGGCAGCCCAGCGAGCTCGCCCGGCGCAATCACGGGCACAAACGACTTGCCCACAGCCAGATGCCGGTCGCGGGTGGGCACGATCGCCGGGCGGTTGTTCACCGGAGCGACATAGCCGCCGTCCACAATGATGGGCTGCGTGTAGATGCCCTGCTCGGCCTGCTTGCTCGCGCCGTCAGCAGCCGCGTCTTCAAACACGATCGGGCCCGTGTCTGCCTTGCCCTTGCTCCGTCTCTTGGAAGCGTTTGGAGTGGCTGCTGCTGCTGCTGCTGCGGCGGCGTGCGTGGACAAGCTTGCTGCTGCGATGGCTCTGCTGCTCGTTGCTGCTGTTGTGGGCAGGCGTGCCACCAGTTGATTCAACATTGTGACTGAGACTGTGTGTTTGTGTGTCAAAATGTTGAAAGAGCGTGTGTGTGTGTATGTGGTCAAGCGCCCGTTTCAACAATGCTGGAGAATGACTGGATCTGATTTTCCAACCCAACCCAATCGTTTTTCGACCATCATCATCAGCTCTTACTTTTTCAGCAGAGTTTTGCAGCAGGAATCGCAATGCGCGAATCGCCATCCAAACAATAGCAACAATGAAGCACTTTTTGCCAAAAAACACGGAAGAATAAAACAAAAAAGAAAAAAAAAAGAAAAAAAAAAACAGTCCTTATTTTTTTTTGTTCGATCCTCTTTTTTTTTTTTCCACACGATTTCCCCAGTTTTGTGAATCATGGCGATGGCCGACGAGCGTGAATGGCGCTTCCTGCAGGCGTTCGGCGACAAGGGCAACGTTGAGGAGCTCGCTGAAGGTTGGTCATCGCGTTCCCTTTTTTTCTTTTTCTTTTTTGTTTGCTTGTTTTTTTTTTTTTTTTTTTTTTTTTTTTCCGTTGATTTTTTTTCTTCCCCTCCTTTTCTCTTCTGCCAAACGCGAATCAGTTCCGTTGTCGAACAAAAGTGGTACAATGATGATTGGGATGAGTGAATGGCTTGTGCCAAGCAGCACGCGAAACGAGAACGGGGGACGGACGGCGGTCGGTCTGTGGCTGGACGCAGCCGTTTCTGATTGAAAAAAAATATGCCCTAAAAAAAAAATAAAAAAATAAAAAAAACAATCAAAAAAGCGCTTGTCTCGGTCGTTGTTCAGTGCGTCACCAGCAGACCGACCTCGCGGCCGGGGGGTCCACCACAGCGGAGGATGTCAGGGGAACAGCCATGGGACGCTGACAGGCTCACGAGCGAGCGCGTGGAAAGGGCACCACCCTCGGGTCGCGCTTCAACACCATAACGCCAACGAACTGAAAAAGTCGACAGCTTTTTTTTTTTTTTTTTTTCCCTTCTGTTTGTTTGACTTTTTCTTTTCTTTTGGCAGTGCCATCCCTGCACCGTGATTTTGCCTCACATTGCATTGTAGAACGCTTGTCTGCGAGGTGCGTGGCTGACGGGCGTGGCGGGGCCGGCGAGCGAGGGGGGACGGTTGTTTGAAGGAGGAACGCCGGGTTTGGTCGACTCAGAGGTTCGCGCTCGAAACAGAGCGCTGTCGAGTGTGCAACTCGGTTGCGTCGCTGCGTTGGGGAGGTCGCAGGCAAAGGCGACGCCCACTCTAGTGACGGATTCAGCGCGCTGAGAAGAAGAAGCAGAAGGAGAGCGGGAACCAAACAGAAACAAACAAAAGCCAAAGCAACCAGCGAGAGATCTCAAAAAAAAAAAACCATGAAAAAAAAAAAAAAAAAAAAAAGGGAAGAAACCACCATTGTGGCTGTGGTGGTGACACTGCTCGCTGGTTGGGAGTGGGGGCGTGGAGGATCCTTGTCCTTGCCTGCTGCCATCCCCATGTGCTCGACGTTGGGTCAACCGCGCCCGTTTGCGGCAAATACACGAGCTCGAAAGAATAAAAAAAAAAACAACAAAAAATTGTTCTTTTCTTTTTTTCAATGCTGTTCTTGAACTGTTTGTGATGTCTCACCTATGCCTCTATCTGCTGCTGGACGCCCTCTTGTAGTCGATATCATCTCCACGGTGGAGTTCTCACACGATGGCGAGTTCCTTGCCACCGGCGACAAGGGCGGCCGCATTGTGCTCTTTGAGAAGCACGAAGATGTAAGCGTTCCATCACAAACATCCATCCCCCTCCAATGCGATCTCACCCCCCCCCAATGCAATCTCGTCCAATTTCGTCTCTGTTCGATGCATTCTCTTTGTGACACCCCCTTCCCCAAATACAGCGTGCTCGCGGCGTGCCGGAATTCAAGTTCTACACCGAGTTCCAAAGCCACGAGCCAGAGTTTGACTATCTCAAGTCACTCGAGATTGAGGAAAAGATTAACAAGATCAAGTGGTTGCCACGACAGAACGCTGCGCACATGCTGCTATCGACCAACGGTGAGCACTCTTTTTTTTTTTTTTTTTTTGTTGCTGCATTTTTTCCCTTCTTTATGCTGTTTTTCTCACTTTTCTTGCTCTCTTCCACGCCACTTCCCCCCATCCACAGACAAGACAATCAAGCTGTGGAAGGTGTACGAAAAGGACATCCAGTCCGTGTTCGACACCAACTTTGACAGCACGCCGCAAGAGAAGCGCGACCCGACGTCCATCACCAGCTTGCGCGTCCCAAAGATCCAGCGCGTGGAGACGGCAGTGGCTGCGGTACCACGGCGTGTGTATGCGAACGCGCACGCGTATCACATCAACTCTGTCTCGATCAACAGCGACCACGAGACCTTCCTCTCGGCAGACGATTTGCGAATCAACTTGTGGAACCTCTCGATCAGCGACCAAAGTTTCAACATGGTGGACATCAAGCCCGCCAATATGGAGGAGCTGACTGAGGTCATCACTGCAGCAGAGTTCCACCCCAGACACTGCAGCCAATTCATGTACTCGAGCAGCAAGGGCACGATCAAGCTGTGCGACCAGCGCGTGTCGGCATTGTGCGACCAGCACGCCAAGTTGTTCGAGGAGGAGGAAGATCCCGCTAACAAGTCCTTCTTCTCTGAGATTATCAGCTCAATTTCGGACGTGCGCTTCTCGAACGAGGGCCGCTACATTGTCTCGCGAGACTACTTGACAATCAAGATTTGGGACGTCAACATGGAATCGCGCCCTGTGCAGACCTTCCACATCCACGAGTATCTCCGAAGCAAGCTGTGCGACCTGTACGAGAACGACTGCATCTTTGACAAGTTTGAGTGCTCCTGGAGTGGAGACGACCAGAACATTATCACTGGCTCGTACCACAACATGTTCCACATCTTTGACGCGGCTGGCACGACCGACATTTGCCTCGAGGCCACCAAGACCGAGAAGAAGCCCATCAAGATCAACACGTCCAAGAAGCAGGCAGGAGGCAAGAAGAAGGCCAAGGACGAAATCAACCCCGAAAGCATTGACTTCAACCGAAAAATTCTGCACACCGCTTGGCACCCTCGCCAAAATCTTGTCGCTGTTGCCGCCACCAACAATCTCTTCCTGTATGCTCAGTATTAAGGACCTCCCAAGAGAGACGAACAATCGAGCGAGGATTGTTCGACTCTTTTGCTTTTTTCTTTTTTTTTTCTCCACCTTTTTCTCCCCCATCTTTTCAATCCTTGGCGGTCGAGTTCCAGCTGTACGCGTTTTGCATCCCGTGTTCTGGGTCGTTTCCCTAGCGTCAAACAGCCTTGTACAATTTCGCCTCTGGCCGCTTTGATTTTTCTTGTGCTTTCTCCTGTTTCCCCCGCCTCCTTTCCCCCGTCCCCCTTTTTTTGTCATTCTCCCTGTTTTGTGCTTTTGGTTTGTTACGCGCTCCACGGATCCGTTGCAAGCTCGTTGTACGCGGACATGAGCGCAAGCACCAAAGTACCCCGAATTGTTATTCATCCTGCAGAGTCAAGCTCCTGAGCCAACCGTGTTATTGCCCACCCCACCCCACCTGCTTTTCCCATTTTTTCTTCCGCTCAGCAGCGCCAATTGACTTTTTGCGTGCTGTTTTGTGATGCCCCCCTCCCCTGGTCTTCCGCTTGTTTGGTTGTGTCCTGCTGTTTCGTTGATGGCTACTTCTCATCTTGTCTTCTCCCTCTCTCTCTCTCTTCTCTCTTTATCTTTCTATCTTTCTCTCCAACGCTTGTATTTCGATTTGTCTCTGTTGTGAGTCGCCATCTCGTCTGTTTTGTTCCAGTCCATCGTTGACGGTCGTGTCACTGCGTTTTCCATCCTTTTGTTTTTGCATGCTTGATGACACACAAATGTAACTCTTCTCAACACTCCATTGACGCGCAACAAGTCCAACTGTATTCACACTACATTTTTGCACTCTATGACTGTTTGTGCCCTGACTGCAAATTGGGTGTGGCTGAAGTGGATGCCAGGCGATCGATGAGCACGCAACTGGCCTTGAATCCATCCTGGAGCCGGCTCTCAAAGAATTGACGCACGCGTAAAAAGTGGTCCTCGTAGCCCCGCAAATCTCCGTTCAAGATGATGGTGGCCCATTCGCGCACTGCAGCAAAAAATTCCATGTCGTCTCCGCGGATGGACTTGTTGAACAAGGCGGCAGCGATCGACTCGTCGAGCAGCTCCTTGTCGCAGAATAGATACTCGGCAATGCCCAGACGCAGTCGAAAGACGGGTGTTTGACAAACCAAGTCATCGTACGGGTTTACTTTCATCGCATACCACGCGTCGACCATGGCAAGCAAGGACAGGTGCGAGTTGGGCGTGCGCTCGCTTGCCGGTATCCGGCCAAGTCCGTATTCGGCCAAGATGGCATCGGGCAGCAAGAGGGCGCGCGTGGAGGTGGAGCTGGAAGCAACTGCTGGCGGATTTGACGATGCCGGTGTTTGTTCCGTGGTGCATGCTTCAACATTTGCCGATCTTGATGGAGTGCCAGCATCTGACTCGTTCAACACTCTGCCAAAGACCGCAGCACGCGCCGCATAAATACGAGCGGTGAATTCCTGCTGGCGTTCTTGAATCATGAGCCGGAAGAGCTCACTGACCGAGCGCACGTACTGCTCGACGTGGTACCGAGCCTGCGGGTTTTGCATGGCGAGCCCCGAGTAAATGTGTGGCTTGGCGGCAAAGATTCTCAGACACATGAGAATCTTGACATTGTCGATTCCGCCCAAGTAGCGCTGCTGCTCCCACGGGTAGACGCCGACGGAGCGCCACGCGGTGCCCATTGCCTGGAATCCGAGGTGGGAGATGACTTGTGTGTTTGCCGTGATGCGATCGTGGGTCTCTGCGCTCATCTCGACCATGTTGGACTCGAGTCGTCGGAACACGGCGAGCGCGTCACGAAACACGTCGTCCTTGTCGCAGCGGTGCCGGATGACGACCATCGTCTGCCCGCGCGGCGACACCCGCGGCCCATGCAGCGAGTGGCACGTCACAATGTGCGCGTCGCTCGGCAGGTGGCGCTCGAACGCGGCAATCTCGGGCGCCTTGACGGAGGTTTGGCCCGCGACGATCGCCCCGACGCGCGTTGCCGGCCCGTACAGCCCGACCACCCGGTCCATGTTGGCCGTCTCGACCGAGTACATCACGAGGCCGCACTGGCGCACCACTGCAAACCCGTCGCGGTGCACACGCACCCGTGGACTGTCCGCATACGCTGCGCAGAGCTCGTCGTACCGCTCTGGCACATCGCAGCAGTGCACCGTGATCTCCTCGTCGTCCTGCTGCTGCTGGTGCTCTGTTCTCTTGCTAATCCAGTCGGCATACAGTCGGCCCATCTCGCCCATGCCGATAATGCCAACTGCATTGATCGGCATCGTGACAGTATTGATTTTCGGATGAGGAGTGCAGCCGTGATCCAAAACCAGCGAGCGAAACAGTGACCATGTTTGGCAATGACGTCAAACTCTGAGAAAGAGTGAAAGGAAAACAAGCTGATTTTCCAAACAACGAAACATTCTGCTTCAGCTCGAGCGTCGTGCTTCGAAGAATCAGTGCAGATATGTTGTTTCAGGTTCAGTCTGTTTCTCAGTCGTTTTGCATTGAAAACACAAAGCTTTTCTGTTCTCGACTCTCAAAACCCAGCAAAACCCCCAATTTCGCGCAAGCACAACCCATTCAAATTCAAATTCAACTTCAATGATGCTTGCACGCCTGAGCACACACGGCAGGATCGCTGTGGAGGGACTGACTTCATCCCGACAGATGATGATGATGCTGATGTTGAGCTCGGCTGCCAAGCCGAATTGCTCGCTGGCTGCCATTCAAGCAACACGGTCAATCAACTTGCCAACCGCGACGATGACGACGACAGCAGCGATGACTGCTCGAGGAGTGGCGCTTCGTTACAATCACCTGCAGCAGCAGCAGCAGACGCGTGGACTTGGACTGAGCGCCGCCTCGTGCGCACAGGCCGAGACGACCGCTTCGACCCCGTTGACCACCTCGACCACTGTCACGGATGCTGCCTCCACAGGAAGTGCCACTGCCAAGCTACTTTCGCCACTCGTGGCACAGCTCGAGCAAGAGCACGAGTCACAATCGCCGACCGCCGCCAAGCCTGCCGCCTCGAGTGCTGCATCTGCTGCTGCTTCAGCGATCGCCGCGTCCTCAGGCCTCGTTGACATTGTCTACAAGAGCCCGTTCGACACGACCATCCGCAGGCTCAAGCTCTTGTCGCTGACGAGTTGCATTGGCGGTCTGATTGGCGCGCCCGTCCTGCTGCTGCTGACCTCGAGTGCCGACGCCCTCCCAACGACAGCCCGCATCGCTGTTGCCGTACTGGCGGCCGCAATGGGCTCCTCAACGACCGCGCTGTTGCACTGGGTCACCAAACCCTATGTTCGCGATCTCGTCCGCGACGAACACAACCCCGATCGGCTGCACGCCACGACTTTTACCTTTACCGGCGGAGATGCCAAGTCGTCCTTCCTGATCTCGTCGATGCGCAAGGCTGCCAACAGCCGCGCCTTTGTCTCCTTCCACGCCGACGGCAGGGACTACTTTGTCCACAAAGAGCTGGTTCAAGACGAGCAACTCTTGCAGATTCTTCAAAAGATCGAGTCTTGAATACCAGCAGCGTGGTGTGTTTTGACTTGACTTGAGATGATGGCTTGTGTGTACGCGTCAACAAGTACAGAATGTTATGGCTTTGGTGTATTCATGGCTTGGTGGAGAGATCCTTCGGGAGCAACTTCGAAAACAAAATAATCTCATTGATGCACAAAAAGAATGATTAAAAAACAAGTCAGAAGCAAAATACTAACAATAACAGAGAAAAGAAACAGGAGGTTGGAAACAAAAAAGAAGTGGAAGCGGGGCAAGAAAGTCAGCTGCAACAACTCCCCAGCAAACGAAACAAACGCGTTTCAAACGGAAGAAATAAAATATGAAAAACGGCATTTAGAAGGTGCGCGCGCGAAGGGACGGAGGCAAAATCTACGTGCATCATCAAGAAAAATAGACAAACAACAACAACAACAACAACAAAAAGGTCAGCTTTTACGAAAACCATCACAACGACACACTCGCGCCGTCATCATTGAGCTACAAAAAATCACCGGCTTACCAAGCGAACATTTTCCTTGGTTTCCAAGCCTTTCAGCTTGATCAGTCCTAGATCATCGACGCGAGGAGGAGCAAGACCTTCGCCCAGCTCATCGAGGCGCTCTGAAACCTCCTGCCAAGCGCTATCGCTAATGACAACTTGACCGCCATCGGCAAGCGAGCTCACGGCCGCAGCACGATTCACGACGGGACCAAAGTAGTCCATGCGACCGGTCAGCGGGTCGGGCTCGCAATCGGGCAGACCCGTGTAGATGCCCATGCGAACGGAGATGCCTCGGAAGAGCAGCTCGCCGTCCGGGCCATTTTCTTCGCGGCATGCAGAGCGAATCTCCTGGGGCAACTCCATTTCCAACAACTGGATCTGGGCCGTCAAGCACCATCGCAGCGCGTCAATGGCATGCTCGAACGAAACCATGAAAGCATCGCCTGAATGTGCGCAAAAGCAACCAAATTGACGTCAGAACAGCAAGAACAAAACAACGCCTCACGAGCGTGGAAATTTGGAAAACAAGAATGACGTGGACAACAGCTGTACCTTCGGTCTTGACCTCGTAGCCAGAGTACAACCGGAGAAGACGACGCATGAGAGCATTGTGATTCTTGACAGCATCACGCATGCCTTCCTCGCACGCCTCCCAGAGCATTGTCGAATTCTTGATATCCGTGCATACCAGCGTCAGCTTGCCCGTCGGCGGGGCGACTTCCTCGCCAAGACGGCTGAGAATCCGCTGCGAGTCAATGTTGGTGGCTCTGCGAGATGGAGCGAAAAAATCAAAGGGCATGGTAGAGAGCGGTTAGTGGCTGTCAACGACAACGACAACAAGAAAAAAAAGCGGACAAAAAAAAACAAAAAAAAAAAAAAACAACAGCAACAGAATTGTACCTTCGGGCGCGTTTGGTTGACTTGATCGTCGCCTTGGGAGTGAAAACAACCAACACCGAGAGATTGGCGCGTCCGCCGTAGAGCCAGGCAAAGTCGCGCAGCTTTTGGGCGGCTTTGGAAGGTGTGTGCTCATTCCGGATGATGTCAACCGCTGCTTGCGGACTCACCACCTCCCACAGTCGCTTGGAGCCAATCATGACAAATTCATCATCGTCTGTAAGCTCTACAGTAGAAATGTCAGGGCTCGAGTTGATACAGGGCTGCGTCAAGAGCAAAAGCAAACGGAACAAAGCAAATGGAACCAAAAAAGTGAGCTTGCAAAAATCTTTCCCCCTCTGCTGCAACCCGAATGCGACACACTTACCTGAAGGAATGAAAAGCCAAACGCGCGGCTCATCGAGACAAGGCCGTTCATGCGACTGTCGGGCCCAATGAAGCCGCCGAGAAGCCGCGTTCGATGGCGCTCCTCGTCACTCTGAGAGAGAAGATGCACTGGCGAAAGAACAAGAGCACGGCCGTTGCGGCAGAGCACGCACATGCTGTGACCAACGTTGGCCAGATAGAGCTTGTTGCTGGAAATGTACAGAATGAGACCAGACGAGCCGGCCAGCTGCGCAAAGTCTTGGCCGCCCAAGAGCCGATTCAGGCCGAGACAAGTGCCACGCAGGCTGCGCAGGACATCGCTGTTTGTGACAATCAGTTGGTCTTTGAGCAGCGACGGGAGACGCCGAGCGAGCTGTTCGGGAACTTGCGATCCGCCACGGCCATCAAACATGGCAAACAGAGCCTCGTCGGCGTTGTCGCGGAAGTTGTACTGCCGGACGGTATCAATCTTAAAGTTCTCAGAGTTGATTCCGTACAGGTGGGCAACACCAGAGCGCCACACGTTGGAGGATGCGCTCGACACTCCTTTGGCCACGCTCTGCTCGACGCTGGCAATCTTGGCCAGCTCTTCGGGCAGATTCTGGGCCACTTTGACGCGCTCGAGACCGAGGCTCTTCAAGTTGACGAGCTGGACAAAGTCCTTCTTGGGATCGTTGATGACCAGGCGCTTGTTGCCGGACAAATCGAGGTGCTGCAGGTGTCGATTCCAGTTCCAGTTCCAGTCAAACTGCTGATTCCACAGGTTCCACTTAAAGTTGTTGTCCCGAGCGTCCACAATGGCCAGATTGCGAATCTTGCCAAGCTCGGCAGGCAAGTTGCTGAGCTTGTTGCTGCTAATGTAGAGGTGCTCAAGCGCACTCATGTGCTGCACGTCCTCGGCAAGGTACACAATGTCGTTGCCGGAAATGCAAAGGCTCCGAAGCTTGCTCAGACGGCCGAGAGTTTTCGGAGGGATCTCGGTCAGCGCATTGTAGCCGAGGTGGAGGAGGGTCAGGTCGGTGAGCTGAGACAAAATGGGCAGGCAGCTATCGTTGAGCTTGTTGTCACCGAGATAGAGCTCTTGCAGCGTTTGGTTGACAGCCTCAAACTCAATCTCCTCGATGGCAGGCATCTTGCTCGGGTCGATGGCGTTCAACCACATTTCCTCTTCGCTCTCGTCCATCTCGGCGACGGAGGGCAGGTACTGCAACACGTTGGAGCCGGCGTTCAAGTGGCGGAGTGATTCCATTCGGAAAATATCATCGGGCAGCGCGGAAAGATTGTTGCCGAGCACAGAGAGGTGGCGGAGGGAGCGCAGCGGCACCCACTCTTCCGGGAGCGAGGTCAAGCGGTTGAACTCGACGCTCAGAGCCTCGAGCACGTCGAGGCCCATGATGCTCGCAGGCAAAGCTCGGAGCTTGTTGTGATCGAGCAACAGCACGCGGAGCAAAGGACTGCAGGCGAAGGCGTCCGGGAGCACGGAAAGCTTGTTAAAGGACAAATCGATGCAACGAAGATCGACCAGGTCGCATGGGAAAATGACCGAGGAGATCTTGTTGTGGGATGCCCGCAGCACAGTCAAGCAGGGCCACGACACAACGAGAACAGACACTGCGTTGCGATCAATGAGCAACTCTTCCAAACTCGGCAGCTGGAGATTTGGCGGCAACGCGTCAATGTTATTGGACGAAATGTCCAAGTGGCGCAAAAATGTCAAATGGTTGAGCGTGCCGGAGAGGGACGTCAAACGGTTTTGCCGGAGGACGAGTCGTTCAAGACCAACGATCGAAAAGAGCGCTTCGGGCAGGCTCGTCAAAAAGTTGCCAGTTAGGTTCAATGACGTGATGCGTCCGAGCTGGCACACGGGCGCAGGAATGGACAACAAGGTGTTGTAGCTCGCATCGAGCGAGGTCAGCTGGGCCAGTTTCGCAAACGACGCAGGCAGCCCGCGCAAGAGATTGTTGCTCAAATTCAAGTGCTTTAGCGCGACCAATTCGCTGACTTCTTCCGGGAAGGTGCGGAGCGAGTTGTGTGCGAGTGATAGCGACGGCAACGAGTCTGCCAGCAGAGACAAGAAGGTTTCGACTTCACCGGGCAGGGTGCCTTGCATAAACCCACCGAGATCCAACGAGCTGAGATCCAAGTGCGGGACTTCCATTGTGTCAAGTGCGCGGAAGGCTTTCATGACGCGATTCTTCAAGCTGCTGGATTCTTCGCGCTGGAGACAGCGAAAAAAAAAGAGGAAGAAAAAGAATGAGTCAAACAGATGCAAAACCACAGCAAGGCGAGAAAAAGAAAATAGTGCAGACAAAAAGCATCAGCAGCGCGCCAACTTACTGCACTCTCCTCATCAGAGAAAATGAACTTGAACAAGTGGCTAAAGTCGTATTTGCCGAGTTGAAGCAAATTGTCCTCCTCCCGGTAGCCGAGATCAATCAGCCACTCTTTTTGCAACAACAAAGGCTGCTCATCCGCCTGCAGACACCGCTCCATGTCATCCCGTTGCACGTAGAGACGAAAGTTGGTCGAGTCGGACAGAATCCCGAACTTTTTCGCAATCATTTCGCAAAGCTGGCGCGTGGTGGCGTTGACATCGCAGCCAACGAGCTTGAACTTTGGATTGTTGCGCATAAACACGCGCATGACTGAGAGAGACGTCAGCGAGCGCCACTTTCCACGCTGGGGGATGCTACTTTCGACGAATCGGTCAGCCGGGGCGTCGTCTTGGGCAGCGGGCTCCTCTGCTTGAGGATCCGAGGCGCCGTCTGGTTGCGTAATGGGCGGAATGTTGTCAGTAGCAATCGCGGTGAGCGAGAGCGCCTCCCGAGGGGAGGAGAGTGAAGAATTGGAGGACGATAGCGAGGAGCCTGGGCCAGCGTGCGCGCCGTGGACAGACTCTGATGCGGCGGCGGCATCTGCCGCGGTGGAGTTGCCGATGGAGGAAGCAACAGCCGAGTCTGCGCCGGCGGCAACATTCAACGAGGCCGTGCTCTCGGTGATGGTGGGCAGGTGTGACGACGATAGCGGATAGTGTGCAGACTTGACTCGGGTCTGGCTCGGTGAAGGATGGGCTGGCGGGGCTGAAAAGGTGGTGGTCGAGGATGATGCAGACGCGAGGGAGGAGGAGGAGGTTACCGGCGAGAGACCCGACTCAGACCGAGCGCCGTTACTCGCGACCATCGAGGCATACGCGCCAGCAGGCAAGGCGTGGCGCATCGTCGGAGACGCGGACGACACAACATCTGGGAATGCCGGGAGCATATCAACCACCGAGACAGTCCTGCGTCGAAGTTGGGCAAGCCCGCGAGGTCTCCGCCAGAGCTTGATTTCAACACTACCGTCTCCAGCCGAGGAACCACCAAACGCAGATCCTGCTGCGCTCGTGCTTGCGCTGCCGTTGGGCAGGGGCATTCCGACAGATGAAGGCGCGGTACCAGAAACGGACGCACTCCCGGCTATTGCTGGAGAGGCTGTGGCAGTCGCAGTCGCCGCAGCAGCCAGTCCAGAGCCCGAGGTGGAGGCGGCGATGCCTGCACGCTCATGCGGGAGCAACGCCGAGTTGGGATCGGCAATGCTCAGCAGGCGCCGCCGGATGGTGGGTGGCGACCGCAAGAGGCGGCCCTGCTGTTCCGGTGTGAGGTGCTCTTGCGCTGTAGCTTGTGCGTTTGCAGCGCCCGACGCTGGCGCTGACATGTTCAGCAGAGAACCTGTTGTCGACGTTGTTTGTGCCAGCGACGGCGCCGTCTGTGCTGTACTCGTCGTGGTGGTGGTAGTCGTCGAAGCATTTTCGTCTGCGCGCAGCTGAGCAAACTCCAACGGCGTATGCGAGCGCGACGAGCGACGTCCGAACGAGATGGATCCCGTCTTGCTGAACAGCGACGACGCAGACACGGTTGCCAACACGGAGCTCGAGTGCTTGAGCTCTGTCGGCGGGCCAGAGAGGGTCCCTCCGCTGCCACCTGATCCTGCTGTAGTAGTAGTTGTTGTTGTTGTCGGAGCAGCAGCAGCACCGGGAGCGGGAGCAGTGCCATTGCCCGCCGTAGCAGCAGCAGCAGCACTTGGCGTCGCAGCGACGGTTGAATTGCCGCTCATTGGCGATGATTACGAGTTTAGAAGATGGCTTTTGAGACACGTTTCGGACACAGGACACCTACGCAGCCAACAATTGCAGCAGCAGCAGCTGGTCGTCGCAGCTGGGTTTCGTTGTTGTTGCACTGTGTTGTTGTATTGTGTTGGACTCTGAAGATCAAAAAAAAAAAAAAAAAAAAAAAAAAAAAAAAAAGTGAGCCTTTTTGGTCGTCGTTTTCGAGTCGTGTTTGAGTGTTGAGAAAGCGAGCGTTTGTCAAAGCTCGTCGGTGAGCGACAAGATTAGTGAGAAAGCGAGCACACTTTGCGATAGAGTGACAGTGAAAGTGACAGTGAAAGTGAAGCAGAGTCAAAAGAGAGAGAGAGAGAAGAGAAGCAGCATTGAAATTCGATTTTTTTGATTTTTTTAATTCAAAATTATTATTATTGTTCCTTTTTTTTTTTTTTTTTTTTTTTGGAGCTTTGTCGTTCTGTCATTTCGGCTGCAGCAATGCCGATATTGCTGACTTTGCGCTGTGGAAGGTTTTGTCCTCTTCTCATTCCAAATCTCAACGAAAGGCTTCACGTTTCTGAACTCTGAGCTCTGAACTCGGAGCTTCACGTCGAACGCTTTGCTTGCTTGCTTTTGTTGCTTTTATGTTGTGGGATTTTTTTTTTTTTTTTTTGTTCGTCCTTTGGTCTCAAACTCAAACTCAACTGCGCTGTCATCATCGCGCGAACGCTGCACGACACACAAGACACGGCCCCAAACGCACGGTCAGACCAGTTCCGAAAGAGACAGACAGACAGACAGACAGTCGACGATGAGCAAAGGTACGTCGTTCGTCGCTTTTGTCAATGCAATTGACGTCGTTCGTTCCAGAGCCAGGCGATGAATGCTCACACACAGACACACACATATCATACATGCACACTCTCTAATCTGCTCTTCCGATCTCAGTGGCGGAGTGGGGGTGTGGTCGGGCGTGCGGTGCGCCTTACAATGGATGTTGGTTTTCTAAAGGAACAAAGAAACGCACCAAAAAAAAAAAAAAAAAAAAAAAAAAAGACTGAAATTTGAGTCAGCAAAGTCCAAGGCGCTCAGATCATCACGGGTCGTTGACGTTGGTAGATCGAAGAAGAGAGAGAGAAAGACCAACAACGAACATGTGCAAAACAAAAAGCCAGCCTTCGGGAGCATGTTGATGGAGCTTTCGGGGGAAAAAAAATGCAAAGCTTTCAATCGTTCAACATCAATCCAAGGGAGCACACATCGAGAACATTGATGGGAAATAGCATAGAGCACTGAATTCGGCTTGGTTTATGTTGATGTAGCTGCAACAGTCGGAGCAGCAGCAGCAGCAGCAGCAGCAGCAGGCGCAGCAGACGAGGCGGTGATTGCCAACAACAGCACCGGCAACGATCGATCATAGAATAGCCGCAACGGTGGCAGTTCCGCCAAGGTAGTAAACTCGAGAGCATGTGTCTCTACAACAACAACAACAACAAAGAACGAAAACAACAAAGAACGAAAACGGGTGAGATGACAATGCCTATCGCCCAGCATCGCCATAGCTCCAGTCTGCATACTCAGCGTGGTCTTGAACTGCTCGATGATGTCAGGATTGCGGATGGTCGACGCAACGAGTGCCACTGGGCGACCAGCAGTCAGCACTGGAGGCAATGGCGCCTGCACACTGCCGTCGCCTGCCAACGCGGTCGTTCCACTCGCTGCAGTTGGGGCCGCCTTGGGCACTATCCGTCGGTAGCTCGGCACCTTTAGCAGACCGCTGAGCACTTTGCACAGGGGATCGAGCAGATCCGGATCATACACGACATCGGCAGCAAGTACGAGCTCGGCACCAAACGCCTGCAAGGAACGCTCAGTCACACGGAACCAGTCCAAGTCCTCGACAAGTGCTGGGGTGGCATTTGCACGTGCAGGTAGCTCTGCGCCTCTATAGTCGTTGTTCAAGCATTGTGAGTCGCCGCAAGGCAAGCAGAAAAAACAGCGACGGACAGAAAAGCAAAAACGAAGCATGTCCCAAAAACAAGCAACCACACGCCCAACTCGTCGCACAGGGAACATACTTTGCCAAAACACCATTCAAGTCTAGATTGTGGCGCAAACAGGACAGCACGTGCGTGTCGTAATCCGAGGCAATCAGGATTTTGGGACGCAGCGTTCCTGCAACGATTCCCACAAGTCCTGTTCCACTTCCGAGCTCCATCACCTACGTGCAAACGTTAGATGCAGGCAGGTGCAAGGGATTTTCAACAAAAGCGAATGAGCAAAGTGCTGGGAGGAGCACTGTGAAATCCAACGCGAGACCGCACCTTCTTTCCCGACACTGCAGACGGATGCTGAAGGAGCCACTCGGCAAGATAGTGTGCAGCCTAGATTGGTACACGCAGCAAGCATGAGTTTTGTGAGTTGTTGGGTTGGACAATCTCAATGTGATTTTTTCGCATTCAATCTCCCTTACCGGCCAGCCTGCCAGCCCTGTTGTACCTGCAGTAGCATCAAAAGAGCCACACGACCGGCCATACATCCACAAACACAACGTGAGCCATCCAATCCAGCAGTGCCCAACAACAACAACCAACTATCAATCTCACAAACCTTTCGAGATAATGTTGCGCGATTCCTTCATCGAGATGAGCGCAGCCGGATCTGTGGAGATGGCTTGCGGGAATCCCAAATCATAGGTGCGATGGCACCAATCATCGCTTCCACCACCCGCAGCAGCAGCCTCTGCGTCGGACGTGTTGAGATTGAGCAATTCGACGCAAAGCGAGACGAGCTCGTCGCATGTGTCGCCGCGCGCCGCCTCCACCTGGGCATAGTAGTACTTGGCAATGCTCTTTGCGTGTGCCTGGCTCGGCGGCAGGCTCAGGCAGCGCGGGTGCTGGAAGATCTCTGCCACCATGCGGCGCTGAACCGCAACCTCGAGCATCCACGCCGGCAAGCGCTGGCTCGTCCCGACCTGCGTCGACCAGCCAACCGTGGCCATGATCTGCGCCTGCACAAACCCATCTGCGTCCGATGTGGCGGTTGTTGTCGTCGTGGTGTCTGTGCGTGGATTGACTGGCGCGACCGGCTTTTTTGTTGGTTTCGCACACACATGTGAAGCAGCAAGTCAGCAAGCAAGCAAGCAGCATTGATGGTCAGATTTTTAAAACAAGGCCTAATTCATACAACACACTTCCCCCAATTGACTCCAAAAAAAAAAAAAAGTTCAGCTCACCCAGTGGAAGAGTCGCGCGGGGACTCCGGCCATGTACTGCACGCGGATGAGCGCCAACGCGTGGTCCACACTGCTCAGCGTCTGCGTCGCCATTGAATGTTTTGCTCAGATGCTTTTTTTGTTGCTTATGAGGAAGCGACGACAATGTTAACGAAGGAGTGTGTGTTTCTGAACTGAGCAACAGCGAAACCCCCGAAAAAACAAAGACTGAAGTTTGGTTTCTGAGATTCTGATTCTCATTCCACCCTTATTCAACTCAATTCAATTCAACTCAACCCAGTTCAATTGTCTGTTGGTGTCACTCGTTTTTTTATTCCATTTCCTGTCCTTGAACGTTGAATGGCGAGCGGCGTTCGAACTGTGGCTCAGCTTGCATTGGCTCGCTTGGCAGGTAACAATACAATACGAGTTGTTCGATCAACCTGCATTTGAGTCGGAAAATATATTGCGTGTATGTATTATTAAAACTGCCCCCCCCTCCCCCACAGAGCTCGATCAAGACCATGCACAGAGCGCGACTGCGTGCAGCAGACAGCTCGCGACGCTGCTGCATGTGCTGCTCGACCAGTCACCAGCAAGCGACACCCAGCCCGACGCTGCTGCTGCTGCTGCTGCTGCTGCTGATGGACTGGCGCCGTCGCCATTATTGTCATCCGCACCAGGCAAAGGCAAGAAGGCACAGCAGGGCAAGGCCCCAGCCAAGCGGACTGCTGCGGGCATGAAGTCCACCGCGACGGTCGTCGATCCAGTCACCGCGTGCGTCGCGGCGGTCATTCGCGCGCCAATGTCGTCGTCGTCGTCGTCGTCGTGCTGCGAACAGTGCGAGGCTGCCGTGGTCGATACACTGGTCTCACTGGTGCTCGCTCAGGACGTGTCGTCTGCGCTGCGGAAACAGCTCATCAAGCTCGTCGTCACTTGGCGCGACGTGCTGGGCGCGTCCATGTCCAAGGCGCTGAGCCACGCCATTGCCGCTCGGCTGGAGCGACTGCCGCAATCGCTGAGCTTGGTTCAGTGGGTCTGCAATCTGAACGAGCTTCGGGTGGAAACAACGCAGGCCATGCAGTTGTCCATGGACATGTACCTGCCAAAGCTTGCCCGGTATTTCGTTCAGTGCGTGGAGCATGCGCTGCTGCCAGGTGGCGTTGCAGTCATCACGACACCAGACTACTCGACCGCTCGCATGTCCATGGACGAGCTCTCCACCGAGGTGTTGGATGCGAGCTCGCTGTTGGCATTGATTCTTCGAAAACAGCCCGGCGTCCATTCGCTGGTCGCCGCCCCATCGGTTTCGGATCCCCCTGCACTTGCTGCGCTCACCGATCTGGGCGCAGATCTGTTGAACAGCTGTCTTGTCGTCACTACCCAACTCGCGCATGTCTTTGCTCAGGCAACCATGAGGAGTGTGGGCGTTCTGCTCGGCACGCTCTTCTCCATTTGGTGTGCAGCCAGTCCTGATCAGCTGCTGCCTGTGCTCTTGACTGACTTGCTCGGAATTACGCCGTCAAGCCATCCAGCATCGACAACAGCAGCAGCAACAGCAACAGCGACGGCAGTTGCGACGACGACTCCAATTGCTCTCAATCCCGATCTTCTCAAAGGGACTGCCCAGCTCCTTCGGAACGAAGGCTCTGCAGATGTGCTCGACGCAGGACTTGCCATGCGACGTGTGGCTTTCTGTGATGCCATTCTCCGATCCTTGCCACTTGATGTGTTTTTGACCACAGTCTCCTCGTCGCCGGACAGTCCTCCGTTGCTTGGCCGACTGCTTCCTTACATTGCCAACGTGTATCAATGCGGCAGCTCAGACCAACGGTTTCTCGCATCTGTGTTTCAGGCAATGTCACTGTGGGTCTCTTCTGTTGAGAAAACAGCCACGCTGGCAACAGCAGCGGCAGCAGCAGCGGACAACACGGGCCTGCATGCGAACGCGATCGCACAAATTGTGGGCACTCAGCTGGAAGCGTGGGGAAACACTGTCGTGTCACTTGCTGTGGGCATTGCCGAAACGCAACAGGACGCCGCCGCTCGGTTTTTGATTGGAAACATGCTCAAGTGTCTGACTGCGGTGGATTTGGCTTCATCGAGTTGGAGCAGCACAGCACATGCTCCACAGTCGCCCGATCGAGCGCTGGACGCCGCGTTGAAATTTTCCTCGCAGCGGCTACACTCCAAGCTCGCGATTTTGATTCTTGTCGAGGCTGTCAAATGCGGGCATCTTGGTCGCATCACGCATCACCTTCCCAATCCTGCCGCCGTCGCGCTCAGGATTGCGCTGGGCGAGCAAACACTGGCCTCGGTTGCGTCGCTTTTATTCGCCTCCATTGCACACACTGCTCCTCAGCAGCTCGAGCTGTGGTTGGAACCCTTGAGGGCGGCGTTTCTCGACTCGGCGCATCCTACGACCAGTCCAGCTGCACCGCTTGCAACGAGCAATGTACGGCCGTTTGGTTTTAGCGATCCAGTCGCTCTACCGCTGTTGACCGAGCAAGTGTTGCCCAGGCTGCTGGCAGAGCATCGTGATGGCATCGTGTCGGCCATTTTAGCCATTCCCAATTTGTCTCTTCTTTCACGGCAGGTGGGTCCGCTCACCTTACTACTTTCCACGCTAGTTGCAGCCAGACGCCTGGGCCATTTCGAAAAGACTGCCTTTGAACCGTCTTTGAGCGAATCGGACGGCCTGCGAATTCCCGGGCTCCTTCCACTCGAATTGTACATTTCCGCGTTGTGCTCCCCCAATAGCCACTTGGCTGCGATCGCCTACAGTCTGCTGCTCACCCCGAAAATGGTCGCGGATCCGGTCAGCGAGTATGAGCTCTCGGCATTGCAAGCAGCCCTCCCCGTTGCGATGCTCTGCACCGAGGCTTCTCTCACTTCTCACGTTGAAGAGGTGGTTCGCCAGACGTTGATGCGAATTGCTAGTGGTTGCGGCAGCTTGAGTTCTGCTCTTCGTCTGAGCAAAAAGGAGTCGTCCGACCTTACCTCTGTCGTGGAGCCCCAAGCGTTGCCCTCATTTGTGCGCTGGCTGTGGGAGCACGCGTTGCAATCTTGCCATCGCGCTGCTCCGCATACACAACGCCTGCTTTCCTTCCGCTGGATGCGCATCATCATCGAGCTCTTTTCTGCATCGGCGGCCTTCCAACACGACTTTTTCTCCACTCGTACGCTGGAGGTTGTCTTTCCTGCCCTTCACGACAGTTATTCGACAGTTTGTGACTGCGCTCTGGAGATTTTGTCCGTGTTTCCGCGACCTTTCCTGCGCCAGAGCCGGTTTGACGGCAACAGCCACGGGTTCCAACTAGATGACCTCTTCCAACTTTTCGTGCGATTGCTCCCGTCCTTCCGCAGCGCCGAGCTCGAGCATGTTCCGCGACTGCTTTGCGTCCTCAGCTGGCACTTGAACCCGGAGAATCCGCTCGATCTCTCGCTGCTCTCCAACGCACAGCCAGCACAAGACGGGTGGATGACACTTTGGACGCACCTGCTTGCTCGACTGGACGCCGCCATGGTCGAGTTCATCGCTGCCACTTCGGGCAGTCGCCCAGCAGCTTCTCCGTCCCCGGCCTTCAAGCGTCCTGCATCGCTCTTCGAAATTCCAAACCTGCTCGCTTGTTGCCGAGTGCTGCTTCGCGAAGCAAATGCCTCCCATCGTCTTCATGCGTTGATTGGCTGCGATTTGCACCTGCGGCTGACCCAGCTGCTCCGCCTGTCCTTGCCTTTGGTCGGGTGCGCGGCACCAGAAGGGCAGTCGACCCTCGCTGATGTGGACGCCACATCAGACTCGACGACCACCGATCGTCAGGACGACGAAGAGGATGCGGCAGATGACAATGACGAAGAAGAGTTGGAAGCTCTCACCAGCACCAGCAGCAGCAACGGTAAACGCGCGCCGTCCGTGACGTTCATCTTTCGCATGTCACGGCAGTGCTGCCTCTTGCTTGAGGATGTGACCGAGGCGCTCTTTCGCGACATTTTTGCCACACCCAATGCGCCGTTCGCGGAACGCACTGCCTTTGTCATCAAGCCAGACGGAGTGCTCGACTGTCTCGCAGCAGAGTCGGTCGGCATCCTCATTGCAGCACGACACAAGGGCAGCATTGGTATTGGCGAAGGCGTTGTATTCAAGCTTGCCGAACGGCTTTGGCGTCTTGGTGGCCATTTGTGGGCGCGTGCCGAGTACTCCCATCTCAGTCTGCTTCCCGCTGCCTGGCTCAAAATTGCACTCGAGGCTGCGGGCGTGTCGCAATTCAAAGGCGTCTTGGCCACCACGCCCGTCGAGCACCAGTCTGCCGCTCTCGACAACGTGCTGGCGGAAGCGACTGGCCGAATTGCCATCTCCCGCCGCAGCGCAGGCTTGCCTCTCTTGGTTGCATCCTTGCTTGCATCCAGTATGTCTCGGAGCATCCAGAGCGATCTGTTGGTTCGTGATGTCATCGACTCGATTCTGAGTGCCATTCAGCACAAACTTGCCGTCGCGGTCGAAGCCTTGCAGCCGAGCCCTACCCGTTATGAGGCCGCGCCCATTGAGAGCATTGTGCACTTGCTCAACATTTTGCGCATTTTGGTGCGCGATGTTCGACTTGTAGGGGTGCTCCAGTCGTTCTTGGCGCGCATTCTCGCCATGGCGCTGAGTCTGTTTGAACACCACCTCTGGCCAGTTCGCAACGCAGCCACCTTGCTGTTTAGTTGCCTGCATCCCCGCGTGGTTGGCTTTACGCCCCAGTCGACGCCTGGCCAGCGAGCATCTTCCACGCTGGACGAGCTGTACCAGCGCTACCCGGACTTGCGGCGCCAACTGGAGGAGATTTGCGAGAAATCCAACCTCGACCACGGATCCAGCGCTTTGCATGCTGCAATGATGATCTTGTGTAGCCTGAGCCCGCCGCCTCACCCATCGCAGTACGTGTCTTCGGCGCAGGACTTTCTGGCGTCTCGGCAACCACTGGACGCGGCCATCGTGCGTTGCTCACACAGCCCGTTGTTCTTGACTCGATGCTCCGCTGCACGCGCCACGATTGCGCTCGTGCCAAGCTCCGAGGTGTGCCAGTTTGTCTGTGCGCTGATCGAGACGTTGAGAGCCGAGCGTCGCCAAAATACCTTGCACGGCGTGTTGTTGCAGGTGTTTGAGGTGCTGTCGTGGCATCTGGCTCGTTCCAGCACCGCGCAGAGCCAGCAACTCGCCACCACAGTCTGGCCCAGTGTTGCTAGTCTTGTGTGGCTCATTCAAGCCACTTCAGTGGTTGCGCCAGCTGTCCAGACTTGCTACCTCGAGATTTCTCATCTTGTAGAGGCCCATTTGCCGAAAGACCAACATCTCGATGGTCTTGACCTGCACGTGCAAGCTCGCGACACTGCAGCAGTAAGTGTATTGCGACGCACTCCTCCAGCTTCAAGCGCCCTGGCTTCTGGATCGTTGTTGGTGGTCGCTTGCTTGCGGTTGACCTCCGTCCAGACTTTGGCAACACAACTGTCGCTGGATCAGCTGGATGCCGATTCTCTCCCTCTACTTTTGGATCACGCCGCTCAGCAAGTTGCAACGGCAGGCCTCGACCCCTCTGTCTGTGGAATCTTGCTCGAGTACTTGTGCGCGGTGTTGGCAGCAAACTTGAGATCGCCTCACGGCCGACACCCACCTCTCCTGGCCTCCCAACTCTCGCTGTACACTGCACTTGTCTCTGCTCGCACGTGTGACTCGCTTGCACGGCTGTGTACCCTTCCGCATGCAACAGTTCTCCATGCCTGTTTGCACGAGTTTGAAGCCTCGGAATCTGTGCGCACCCGAGCTACAGTGGCGCTGACACACTGTCTAGTTCATGCACATGTCGGTGTGGGCGAGGTTGGCGCTTTTGAAGAGCTGTTTGATCGACAACTGACACGCATTGCGCAGCTGGCGCTACCGTCGGCGACTGTTCGTGACCGGACTGCCGCTGCCCAAGCGCTTGCAGTCACAATGGCCTCGCGTCAGCTGTTCTCGACACTGTTCACGACTCGACCGGCAGCCGCGGCTGCGATGGTGCATTCCGTCGTTCGTTTGCTTTTTGATGAAAATGGGGATGTGCGTGAAGTCGCCAGCCAAGCGGTGCAGCAACTGATCAACCCAGCGCTCCCGCCCATGGTGCACATTCCCGCGTTGATTGCGTTTTTCGAAGCAATCAGCGGACCCCGCAGTGATGACATTCAACTGGCTCTGCCGCTTTCGTGCTGGGCAGAATTGATTCTTGGCGCGCCTGGATCTTCCGCGACCTTGCGTTCAGCCTCGGCCACACTGTCGGATCTTCGCGCTCAAGCCTTCGTGCCAGAGGCCGCCAACTCTTTTGTGGACGAACTCGCAGTCGCCCAGTTGTGCGCCAACGCTTTTGCAGACCGACTTGATGCTGGCGAACGATTTTCGAAGGACGAGCAGGCGCTTCTTTCCACTCGCACGAGCCAGGTGGGTGACTTGCTTGCAACGCGTCGACAGTCTGGACTGGCATTGTCGTCTGCTCCCCGCATTGGAGCGGAAGATACGTTTCTTCCACAGAAACGGTTTGCGTTGTGGGCGGGTGCGTTCCAGCGTCTGTAGTCCGACTTTGTCCAAGCGACATTTCTCATTCGAGCGCTAATCTTCATTCTCCAATCCAGTTTGCTGCCACCTGTCTCTCGCCTAGTTTTTGAGTCATGCAATCTCTAACAACCAACTGAATCAATCTAAATACGAACATAAAAACCATCAACATTTCATTCAATAGGTGCAAACATTCACAGAGAAATAACGTCGACCGCGCCTCTCGGTGGCGCAACACTCCTTCATGTCAGGCATCGATAAGCTATTTAACAAACAAAAAAAAATCACCATTCTTCAACTTCGGCTGCTGGGGTTGAGGCCACTTCGGCTGCAGGGGCGACGGCGTCTGCTCCTTCACCTTCCGTTGGCTAGTAAGCATCAGGACAGTCATACAACAAGAAAAAAAAACAAGTGAGACACAGTGAGACAATGCTGGCAGCTGCACCTCAATGAATCGCAAACTTAAGCTCCGTTACCTCCGCGTCAAACAGGATCTTTTTCAGAGTTTCGGCGAGCGCGCTGTCCCCGGCACTGTCCAGCAGGACTTCTACTTGTTGGAGCTTGCCGTAGTAAAAGTCTCGCTCCTGCTCGAGGTTGGCTGCAGAGAGCTGGCATTCGGACAGCTCCGTTCGGAGCGCGTCAATCGTTTGTTGGTACTGCTGCTTGAGCTGCTCTGATAGCAGCGTCACCGCCGCAGCCGTCACGTCGGACGGAGTTGAGGTAGTTGCAGTGGCAGCGGGCCGTGCGGCGGGAGCTGCGGCAGGACGTGCGGAGGCGGTGGTTGCGGCGGCCGGACGAGCGGTAGTCGACGACGCCGCGGCAGGGCGAGGAGCAGCAGCCACACGTGAGGTGGCCGGAGCCGCTGCAGCCGGGGTGGGGCGGCGAACAGCAGCGGACGGGGCAGCGGACGAGGCGGGTGCGCGAGTGGCCGAGCCACCTGCACCGCCAGCAGCAGCTCCTGGCGCACCTGCGCGACGCTCGACAGGATTGTACTCGCCACCGCCGTGGTTGGCGTCGAAGAACTTTTTAAACCACTGGACAAACTCCAAGTTGTCCTGGAATTTGCCCTTGATCAGCTTTTCGACCGGGATGACCTGTGCATTGTAAGCAAGTGAGTTGTCTCGGTCCTGCTCTTCGTCAACGCCTACCAACGTTCATCCGGCAGCCGTGATAATCCTAGATTCGCGTTCAAGTACCAACCTTCTCAACTCCTCGCTTGGTGAAGACGGTTTGCAGCAGTTTGAAGTTTGGAACGCACTCGTGCTCGAGCTTTGCACCAAAGTTGACCTTGTTCAGCGGAATACAGCCTGTCAAGGGTCAAGGGAGACCATGAATATGTCGAGTCGAACTGCTTGCTGTGTATGTGAGCCGAGACAACAAGTTCCATTGAAAAACAAACCTGGCCACATCATATCGACAAACTGGCAGTACGCAGCGCCTACCAAAATGCAAACAAAATTCACCAACAAAGGCACATTTTGAAATGGTTGTTAGCGAAAAACATTGAAATGACACCCAACTTGCGATTGAATGAATGGGTAAGCAAGCGGCATTGAGTGAAGTGAATGTATGGTGATTCTTTCCCCCTTTTCAACTCGATTCTCATTCAACGACACATCCGCATTTTCATTTCCTGTACATGCTTTGTCGTAGTGATTTTTTCCGGTGCAAGTGACTGGTTGAGATTGTCATATAAGACCAGCATTGAACACAAAGACAAAGAGTGTAACGGTTTCACTTTTGCCCTCTCTCTCTCCCTCTTGTGTGTGTGAAACTGACCTGACGCGAGCTCTTCAATCTTGGCCATGTTGAGCTGCAGCGTGCTGTTCACCCACTCGAGCATCTCGGTGCGGCCAAGATTGCCAGGCGCGTTCGTCGAAACGTTGATCGTCGACATTCTCAATGCAAAATGCAATGCAAAAAAAAAAAAAAAAAAAAAAAGAGGATTGAATCCAGTTGAGTTAGTTTGAATCAGTTTTGTCTGAGATTGATGATGATGATGATTGAGATTGGAAAACTGATTGAAATAATGAGCTATGATGGTTGTGGAATTTGCAGCTTGAACGGTTGACCTGCTGCTGCTGTCTGAGATTTTGGGGATCGGTGCTCCAACAACATTCAAAGACCTCAAAGCTTCCCCCTCCCCCTCCCTTGCTTTGCTCCAGTGAGCTCAACTTCACTTTGATTTCTCAAAATATCTCAAATAGGAGCCAAAAATCGCCAGTATCTCAGTTTTTGTTTTCTTCTATGGCGGCGGTCGATTTGCCAGCCATCCGACGGCGTCTCTGCGCATTGGACGCGACCGATCGTCGACAGGTAACTCGACCCTTTAACATCGATCACGTTCGACTTGAATGTAGCTTGACTGGTACTTGGCTTGACTGGTGCTTGGTGCTTTTGCAATGGTAGGGCGTTGCGCGGTTGACCAAAGCGATCGCATCGCAGCGCGTGGCAGCGGAGGCCGCACTGCAGCTGCTGATCGAAGTCATCACCACTGGAACTGCTGCTACTGGTGCTGGTGCTGCTACTGGAGCTGGAGCAGGCGCAGGCGCAGGCGCACGAAGGCCGCAAACCCAGTCGTCGTCAGCTGAAGACAGCTCCGATCTGCTGCTGCTGCTGGAGCGCTTTGACGAGTCGTACCAGGCTGTGCATGCTGCCAATACAAGCCGCAATGCCGTTGCTGCGCTGGAGCAGCTGGTCTGGGACGCACAGCTCATCTCGCCGGCGACGGCTGTCAATGCCATTGGCGCAGCGCTCGTTTCAACGTCAAACCCTTCACGCATATTGCTGTGTGCGCTGACGGACATGCTCGCGAGGATGCTCGAGCACTTTGCACTTGCGTTGCATTTCTCGCCACGCGACGGCCAGCAAGCACCGTCACATCAGCAGCCGTTCGATCGGCTCGTGCACCGCCATCCGTACGTTATTCTGCTTGCCGCCCATCCATCGCTCTCGTTGGATGTCTTGATGGAGTGTGAGCGATTTACCTCGAGGGTGCCTCGGGACGCGCGATTGTCACAAGTCCAATACCGTGCCGTTGCAATGCACACACTCGAGCTTGTCACCGAGAACAGCCTGCAGCTGTTTGAGCATGACGCCCCGGCCTATGCGCGATTGTTGCTACGGCACTCGGCAACACTTGCTGCGTCTGTCGCGTTCTTGCTCAACCAACTCGAATCATTGCCGCTGCTTACCGCAGCCCACTTGTCGCTTCACCTCGAGGTGACTCGCGAGGTTGTATTTGCCCTGTCTGGTGCCGACTGCGCCTCAGATACGCCCTTCTATGCTCTGATGCTGTACACGTTGCGGCTCTGTTACGCTGCAAGTGAATTGTCGCATAATATCGCGATCGTTGTCAGCCTCACCCGCCAAATTTCTCTGCTCGCCAAGCTTGCTGCTACTACTACCTTGCCTCACGAGCAGAATTTGGCCGCTGCTGTTGCTGCCGCGGCTTGCTTTACGACTCTTCTGGTGAGTGAGCCCAGTGCTCAAGAAAATCTCACTTTTGTGGCGTTGCGCGCCATCCAATTCCTCACGAGGGAGGGTTCTGCCATCAATGCGTTTTCTGCGCGCCTGCTTCCGTTGATGGCCTGTTCGGTTGTCCCGCTTCTTTCCTCCTCCAGCCTTGTGTTGGCTCGACAAGCCGCGGATGTCATTCAGCAAACGTCCAGTGTCCACCCACAAGCACGACAGGCAACCTCCATTTCGCTGGAGTTGCCCCCAATTTTGGCCGCGCACTCTGTTGGACTGTTTCGCGAGCTGTTTTTGGTAGCACTGCAGCCCGAACGACTTGCCGCGCCTTTGGTGGACTATCATCTTCAGGCGCCTTCTTCCTCTTCTTCTTCTGCTGCTACCCCGCACGCACTGCAGCTGCTGCAGGCTGTGGCCCTCTTCTCGCAGTTCCAGTTTGCTCCGTCGACCGATGTGACGACCGCACTGCTGCGTATCATGTTGGCGAACGACGCCGCGCTCTGCCAGACGCATGGCCCGTTTGTGTTGTCCTCGTGTTTGTATGTGCTTGGGCATGCCGAGAAGTGGGCCGTTCCTCCTCCGGTTCAGCATTCTGTCATTTCACGCGTCCTACCTCAGATTGCCAAGTTTTCTCCCTCTTGCGCGCCAGCCATTGTTGGCTTTGTGGAAGGCCTGGAGGCTGCCAACCCCGCTCTGGCCATTCGCGTCCACGCGACTCTCTGCCAGGAAAACCCTCGATTGCTTCCGCACTTTGTCACAAAACTCTCGCGCCGTGCTCCTGCTGCGGCCCCAAATCCTTTTGGCGACGCGTCTGTCGACCTTGCCGTCGCATCATGCTTTGCCGAGATTGCACGTACGCACGCAGTTCAACACGGTGCGATGCTCATCCCGCCGACCAATGCGTTGTTGGCGAGCGCCGTTCGGCAGTTTGGCGGCGGGGCCACTCGGCAGCTGGCCGCGTCAACCGCTGCTCTCGGCATTGTTACGTTGTCGCGACTCTGTCTTGCAAGAGAAGTCGACATTCGCAGCGTCTGGCGTGCTTTGCGGCACGACTTGCTCAACTTGGCGACGCCTGCTATGGCCGCCGCGCTGCCCGAAACCGTTGCCTCTGCCGTGAGCGAGTTCCTTGGCAGTCTTCCCGAAATCTACACGCTGTCAGCGTTGACGACTGTTGTTCTTCCCGAGAGCACGGCAGTTTCTGCCTCCAGCACAATCAGTGTCACCTCGGCATCAACCGTCCCGAATATCATCAATCCGTTGGAATTGAAATCGTTTGTGTTTGACGCAATCCAGCACCTGTGGCCGATCGCGACAACACACAGCAGCCACCACGCACGTCAGGCGGCCTTCCGAGCATTGGCAACCTTTGATGTGCAACTTCTCGTCGAGTGTTTGCACTTCCACGTGCCTCCAGCGCCTCTTCCCTCCGCAGTGAAGGGTGCTGCTGCTGCTGCTGCTGCTGGTAGTAGCAATCCATCACACGACGACAGCAGCATCGAATCAACCGGCTCGGCGCAGTCATTAGAGCTCGATGGCCAAGTCCTCATGCAAATGTTGCAATTGACTGGCTCGGTCTCTGCCGCCGGTCCGCTCCTCGCCCGATTGTTGCGCGATAGCGCGGCTACACTGCCGCGCTCGGTCCAGTCCACCAAGGCCAAAAACGCCGATCTACACGACCGCAAGCTGGCCAGTACGTTTGAGCACATTCAAGCGGGATTTGGTTCAAACACCACCAGCCCGCAACTCAAGAGCGGATTTGCTGCCGCGCTTCTCTTTACTTGGGAAGCGCGCCTTCCAGCAACGTTAGCATCCTGTCCAGAGGGGTCTTCTGAACTATTGGCGCTGTCGTCTGCGCGAACGGTTGCCAACTTGTTGGCACTGACTGGAATTTCTCGAAACTTGGGCTCCACGCTGGCCACACTCCGCGAGCTTCTTGGCAGCGCAGTGTTGCCCGTTGAGGATCTTGCAACCAGACTCCAGCTTGTTCAGGGCTGGGGCGTGTTCATTTCCCGCGTTTTTGCCTTCTGCGTTGATGTGGCGACTGCCGTGGTTGGCGTGGCTCTGTCACCGATGCAGATTGGCACGCTCATTACCGAGTTGCTCTTCCAAACAGTGTGCGAAGTTGCATCCAAGTCGGCCATTCACGAGGCCAATGCCATGCTTTCCATTGCCTGGCTCGGATATGTGGGTGCTAAATCGACTCAGGATTTAACCACAACGAATGTGGCACTCGCGCTCGGCGTTCGCTTCTCAGCGGCAGGCGTCCCTGCGAGTGTGGTGGAGGGCACAGAGCGGTTTCTCCCCAACAGCTCTCGTTCAGGGGTCCAGACTTGGGGACGTCAGCAAGGCGGTCTCCTGCTTTCGTTTGCCGCCAGCATCGCAACCAGCGTGAGCTGGCTTGCAACCATGCAGTTTGGGGCCCTCGCAGATGGCGCCTCGCATGTAGCAATGTCGGCTTTGCAGCATCTCATCCAGGTTGCTGCTGCTGCTCCCGCCAAAGTGGTACACGCTCAACAGCACGCCGACGAATCTTCTGCCTGGACGCAGCTTGCAGCTGCCAGCAGTCTCTGGATTCTTACCACGGCCTTGACAAATCCCGTCTCTGTCGCCGCGCTCCCAACCGTCCTCGCGCCAAACGCGATCGCAGTATTGCTCGAGTCGGCTGCAACGACGCTCGAGCGAGTTTCCTCGTGCCTTTGCAACGAGGCACCAATCAACGGTACTCGTTCCGATGAAGCAGAGACGGCACGCCTGGCGTCCGTGCTGAGTCTGCACGCAAGTTCCACGATCTGCCTGCTGCTTGCTCGCCAGTATTCTGCTGATAGTCCAGCGCGCTCAAGCGCAAGCATCCAAAGCATTTGCCAAGCCGCTCGCTCATGGTTGGCGGTTTGGCAGCGAAAAGGCACCGCTTCCGAAGCATGGGCGCTGGCTCAGGAAAGCGACTATCTGCTGGTGTTAGTCCTGGCCGGAACTGTTCGCATGCTTGATGCTCCGACTGTCCCAGAGCTTGCAGAGTCGATCTCCGCTTGTTCTCGGGGCGTCTCCGAATTTTGCGCCCAAATGGCGCCGCTTGCAGTCTTGCATCCTTGGCTGGGGCTGGCGATTGGATGCTCGCCTCTCGAGGGCTCTGTGGCCACGCGCTTGAGGGTCCAACTTTCCGACGCGTTGGATCCAGCGCAGCCGGTACCAGCCAACACTTCCATTGTATCGTGCGTCGTTGGCCTAGCCACGCTCACGCGCGTTCATCCGCTTGCACCCAACTTTTTCCCTTCCTTGTGGGCAAAGGAACTGGCAGCTTCATCGTCCACGGCCCAGCTGGAACAAGCTCTGGAGTTGCTGCCCGCTTTACGTCGCCTTGCCGATTCCCACCCCGACTTGTCCTTGCGATTTGCTGCAATGGCTGCGCTCGGTGTCGTGGCTGCCACAATCCGACTCGGCTTTGGCCCTGTCTTCCATTCCGTCGTGCTGTCTCAAGCCCTCGCCGGAGTGTCAGACACTGCTCTGCCCACGGATTACGACTATCTGCCTGCTGCGAGTCTGCTGCGCAACGTCGTGCAGTGCATTGCGCAAGCAGGTAGTAACACGGCGGCGGCTGTGAAGGATTCGATCGCGTTGCTCGACGTTCTTGCCTCGGTGGACGCCGCCTTCCCACCGCTCGAGTGGACCAGCCTCGCGCGACACTTGGCTCAATCCGTGTTGACGTCTCCAGTCCCCGAAATTGTGGCCTTTGCGGCTCCCTTGGCCGGGACGCTACTGCGCGTTGGATCGTGCCAGGCGGCGTACTCGTCTGGCGGTTCTGCGCTTGCACTCTTTGTGTTTGACGAACTCATCCGTTACGTACCGACGGATGTGCTGCACGATTTTATTGAAAAGCAGTCCTTGCGTTTCTTTGAGGCGCTTTCTCCGTCTCTGCAAGCTCGCTGGTTGACTGGCGTTTCCATCTGGCTCTCGACGACCAAGTTCAACGATACGCAGCTTTTGACTTTGTTTGTCGACGTCACGCTGGGCGCTGCGCTGGATTCATCCAAGAGCCGCCCACAGAGCGTCATCGCGGCTGCCCGACAAGCTCTGAAAGCCGTTCTGGGCTGCGTCTCGGCCGACCGACTGTCTGTCAGCCACTCCTTACTGCGGGCGATCGGTTGCAGGCTGGCTGGCAATGTTGAGGAAGCGACGCGTACATTTACAGAGCTCGCCGTTCCCGAAATCGTCAGATTGGCGACACTTGCGTCCATTGCGGTTGCTGCTTCGGCGGCGACGGGCACCCCGGCCATTTTGGCCCAACTTGCTGAGCTGGTCGTGCTGGAGAGCAGCCAGGAGCATGGCCCATCGCTGGAGGAGACGGTCAATGTTCTCGGCCCGGCAATCAGCTGTCTTCCACTTGGCGCGCGTTTGGCCTGGATGCGCCAATTGCTGGCCGACATTACGATGCGATCAAAGCAAGCCGGTTTTGGAGCAACTTTACTGCGCCTTTTCAGTCTATTAACCCTCACCACCTCATCCTGTGTGCTACCAGCGCTTGGCGCACCAACTTTGGACGCGTTTCCTTCTTCATTGAGTTTTGCCTACCAGATTGGGCGAGTGTCGCGCGACGTGGTGATTTCTGTAAGATTCGTTGTCCGGTTGTTCGTTTTTTTTTCCCGTTGTTTCCGGTCTGCGAACTCACCGATTCAACAATGTTTTGTTGTTGTAGACTGTCGACAACCTTCATGTCACGTTGCAGCTGCTCCAACAACGCAATGACACCGAGTGTGTGCGGATTTGTCAGTTGCTTCGAGTTGCATTGCGCGAGATGGGTCATCTCCCTGCAATGCCACGACAGCGTTGGTTGATTACTGTTTCCCGTGCATCAGAGATGCTCCCTTGATATCTTTTTGGTGACTGTGCGTGAATAAGTAGTGCTTGTGTATTTTAGTCATGTGAGCATTCAATCCAATTAGCAACAGCACTTTTTTTTTTGAAGGTGAACCAAAAGCAGCACAAATCAAAGAACCGGAGATTCGACAGTTTTGCTGCTCAAGACTCGCTCAGCGTCTTGACACGAGGTCCTCGCTTCCGAACCTGGTCGCGGGCGTCGAGCACTGCACTGTCGAGCTGTGCCCGAGCTGGCAGGTTTGCAGGCGGGGTTGCAAGATGGCGACGGCCCAACGCGTGGTCGAGGCGACCGTCCGTCTCGGCGACGGCGATGGTGACCTTGTCACGGAGGGCGGCACCCTCAACGTCAGCCTCGTGGCGCGCAAACAGCTGCATGGCCGCCAAGCAGAAGCAGGTCGACAAGCACAACCACAGCAGGCCGCTCTTGATGGGCTCGGTGTCTGCGAACTGGCCCCTGCCAAACTTGATGCAGACAAACAGCTCGACGAAAATGACGGCGCCAGCAATCCAGCACTGTGTGCCAATGCGCTTGCAGTTGGAGTCGCAGGCGTAAATGTAGAGCTGGCGCAGAGCGGGAGTGCCAAAGACCGCCCAGAGGATCATGCGGTAGAGATTGATGGGGTGGCTCGAGCGAATGTGGAAGATGTGCTTGAGGAAGAAGGCATTGAGCTCGCTGATGCTAAAGAGGACAATCAGCATGGTGACGACGAGGAATCGCTTGACAGTGCCAAGCTCCCAGCGGACGACCGTCCAGCGGACGGGGGTGAACTGCAAAATGGCGCGGCGGAGCTTGCCCGAAACGGTGGGGATGGTCGAGATGGACTCCCAGTTGTATGTGCGCATCTCAAGGTAATTGGCAAGGCGCATGCCAATGTAGATGCCAAGGCCGTTGCAGACGAGCACGTCGAGAATGAGCGCGTCCCACCAGCACTCGGCAAAGTTGGGGAGCATGCCCATGAAAATGACCTCGGTAATCTCCCAGAGCACAGACATGACCCAGCACACAAAGACGTTTCGGAGCATCAGCGCCTTGACCACCCAGCCGATGAGGTGTGCAAAGACAAAGCGATCAAACTTGCTCGAGACCGTCTCCCACGAGACGCTGCAATCCTCGGCGTAGAACTCGCTCGCTGCGTTCAGTCCGTGGCCCAGTTTCTCGCCAATCAGTGCAGAGATGATTTTCTGCCGTCGTCGATTGAAAGGTGCACAGGCACAGATTAGAACGCAAAGCCAACCATACCGATCAAAACAACCAATGGCCATACCTCTGCATCGCTGCGCGTTTGAAGCAACAAGAACACCAGGAAGAGCAGGTAGACGACACTCAGGCCCATGACGAATCGCCAGACGGCCGGATGGGGACGCGTGAATGGTCCGTTCGGGAAGGCGACGAGCGAGATGACGAGAATGAAGAAGACCATTGCCAAGACGCCGTTCTTGACGTTTTCGACCGTCTCGCCGTCGGGGTTTCTGCCAAACGCAGCAACACACAAAAAAGTTGTCCAACAAAGTTGAACAAGGGTCAGAAAAAACATTCCCTCACCAGCTCAGAGACGAAATGTTTCAAAAACTCAGACAACGTGTCAACTGCCTCGAATAGACAACGTGTCAAACCCTGGCTTTCTCTCTCAATCAGAACTCAAACGCTCCGAGCTTGGTTTGAATGTCCTTACGCAGAGAACGCAACGTAGACGAGGGCAGCGATGGCGGAGAAGAGCAGCGTGATGGTGTGTGGCTTGTAGAAGAAGTCGAGGGTGACGTCCTCAACAAACTGCTCCGAGATGTCGCGGTAGGCAGCGAGGCGCCAGTCGCTCAGAGACGCGGGCGCGGGTGCAGGCGCGGACGGGGCGGCAGCAGCGGAAGTAGAGGCGGAAGTGGAGGAGGAGGAGGAGGAGGATGGCGATGATGAGCGGGAGTTGGATCCCGACGCCACGGATGCTGCTGATACTGAAGCAGATGATGATACTGAAGCAGATGATGATGAGGGATCGGCAGTGCGGCGGCGGGTGCTGCTGCGGCTGGGCGACGACGGCGTTTGTGCTGCATCCGCGCTGGCAGCAGCAGAATCAACAGAGTCGCTGCTGGATCGCGTTGCGCGGACCATTCTGGAGTGGAACGACGACGATGGATGGATGGAAGACTGGATTAAGACAAGCAAGGATGAAGACAAGAATTAACACAAGGTAATGCACTTACGATTATGAGGAAGGGGGTACTGTACAGTATGGAGGGTTGTATGTTCTGTAGGACGATGAGGCGCAAACTCACCCAGTTCCTCAACATCTCTCCCTCTCTCTCTCTCTCTGTCTCTGTCTCTCTCTCTGTCTCAGTCTGATACTACTCTTTGATCGCCAAGCTGTTCTCGCCAGTGTTCCAAAAAGGCTCAAACTCCCGAGTTCGTTCGTGTCAACAACCGACTCCAATCTCTCGTTTCCGTTTCTCTCTCTCAGCGTCTCTCAGCGGCTTCGTGACGATGCGGTCTGGCTCAATGTTCTCAAGTGTAGCACACACACACTCTTGATCTCTCTCTATTGAAAAAGCCCACTCTCCCTTCATCATCATCATTCAAATCACCATGGTCTCTGATTCTCAGAAGCCAAACCCTTCTCCCAGCGGTCGGAGTGCGGCTGCTAATGCTGCCACTGCGCGCACACTGTCGCCCGTCCGAGCAGCCCCAGCACGCCCAGTCACAGTCACAGTCACAACAGCAACACCCGCCTCGAGTGGTGGCAGTCCCACGGACGACAGCGCGGCGACGGCCATGCGTCCCCAGCGAACGAGCAGCCTGTCCAGTTCTGGCGGGCCAAGGACCCCCTCGGCAGCAGCAGCGACACCAACACCAACAACAACAACAGCAACCTCGTCGTTCTCACTACAGCCCTCATTCGGAGAGGCAGACAGCAGTGGCACGCGCAGTGCAAGCGGAAGCATCACCAGCGCGGACGTCTCGTTCGAGCAATTCGTCCAGCGCGACCGTGAAGCAGCCGCTGCCGCCGCCGCCGCTGCTGCCGCTGATGCTATTGCTGCTGATTTCGATGCATCCGCACTGTCGCCGCCGTCTGCCAGAGCCAGAGCCAGTGCCAGTGGTGGCAGCGGCTCAACCCGCACCTCCGCTTCTGCTGCTCCTGCTCCTGCTACTGCTATGAGCGGGTCTCCGACGTCCACTTTGACAGCGACCGAGGCAAGCTCAAGCCCAAGAGCAGCAGATGCCACCACCACCACCACCCCCACTGCGCATGACGCGCTGGCGTCCCCGTCGTTGTCGCCGTCGTCGTCGAGTGAGGATGCGGATCAATTGTCCAGCCTGCCGCTCACCCACCACTCCTCGGCCTCGTCATCGACAGTCGCGAGCGCCGGTGCATCTCCCAATCCACAGCCTCGGTAAAAACACAAACAAACAAACAAAAAAAGGATGCATTTTGTTTGTTTGTGAATCCTGAACATCTGGACATCTGGACTTTTGAACTTACGGTACGTTTTGCTGTGAAATCTCCCACAGGAACATTCGGCAAGAGCACCACATGATTGCCAAGTCCAAGTTCTTGCGGTAAGCTTAACACTTGCACTGCCCAGCTCAGCTCCCGTCCCCCCCCCCCAAAACCGTTTTGACACCTCAAAGGAGTGTATCACAAACTTGGTTTGCTCATTTTGCTGAAAAACACTCTCTTGAACTCGCAGCGAGCACGCCAAGGCCTTGCACTCGACTCCCCTGGAGTGGATTGCACCTCCAACCACCGTGTTTGTCATCAAAAAGTTCCGCGATCGCGCAGTCACGGAGCGGCTGAAGGAAATTACAACGTGGCTCGTGGCCGAGAAGCAACTGACCGTCTTTGTCGAGAGCTCGGTGCTGCAAGAGGATGCGCTCGTGAATGATGTCACATACGCCCACTCTATTCTCCCAAAGCTCCAAAATTTGGACGTCTCGACTATTGGCACGCTGGCAGACCAGATTGACTTTATCATCTGCCTGGGCGGCGACGGCACCATCCTATACGCCTCCTCGCTGTTCCAAGGGCGATGTCCACCCGTCATGTCCTTCCACATGGGCTCGCTAGGGTTTTTGATGCCGTTTGATGTGCGCAATTTCAAGGAGAGAATCGAGTGTGTGCTCCTGGGCAAATGTCTCGTCACCATGCGCATGCGTCTCGAGTGCGAAGTTATTCGAAGCAAGAACAACCAAAGAGCGAGCATGTGAGCGAAGATTGCTGCTTTTTGTGTGTTCCATTTATCTTTGTTGTTCGGTTTGGTGATGTCTCTCATTTTTTTGGTGATGTCTCTGGTCTCCACCTCTTGTTTTCTCTTTTCCGTGCCAACCAGGCTTCCGCACGTCTTTCATGCGCTCAACGAAATTGTCATCGACCGCGGGCCTTCGCCGTTTCTGGGTGACTTGCAGGTGTTTTGCGATGGAAAGCACATCACGTCTGTGCAAGGTGATGGTTTGATTGTCGCCACCCCGACAGGCAGCACCGCTTACTCTGTATCTGCTGGCGGGTCGATGGTTCATCCAAATGTGCCTGCAATGCTGTTGACACCGATTTGCCCACACACCTTGTCCTTCCGTCCCATCTTGGTGCCGGACACTGTGGAATTGCGGCTGCTCGTTTCTCTGACGAGCCGCAACTCGGCGTGGATTTCGCTGGACGGGCGCAACCCGCAAGAGCTCAAGCAGGGCGACGGTTTGCGCATTGTATCGTCGCCCTGGCCCGTCCCGACCATCAATCGAGTCGACCAGAGTACCGACTGGTTCCGCTCGTTGAGCCAGTGTCTGAACTGGAATGTGCGACAAAAGCAACTTCCTTTCAATGAAGAATCCAGGTACCGCCCTTCCGGGCTGCGACCCTATCCCTATCCCGGGTACGAGTCGGCGCCCAGTCTCGACGACGAGGAGGACAATCCTGAAAAGCGGCGGATTAGCGCATTCTTGTAGTGCACAAGTGTGGGGGTCGCAAATTTTTTTTAATGAATACAATGTTTCTACTCTAACAAGCTTTGCATTTTCCAGGCATCATCATCTGGGCTTTGTTTTTCATGACGCATCGGTGGATGCATCTGCTTCGACTTGTTCCGGTTTTTCGCTGGGCTGCTCACTCTCCTCATCCTCAGCATCCTCGTTGTCTCGGCGATTGGCAAGCTCTTCAGCACTTTCGCGCTCTCGAAGAAGCGTAACGTGGGATGTAGCAGCTTGGGAAGCAGCAACTGCCTCAGGCTCATTGTCCACAGCGTCGAGCGCTACCTGCGCAAACTGCGGGAGGGTAAACGAGCTGGTGTGGATGCGCTTGTTGTAGTATCGAAGCGGAAGCGATTTGAGCTGCGTGTCCGAGAACGAGCGCGTGGGTTGCTCCAGCTCTGTCAACGGATTGAGCGAGCAAATCATAAATCCGATCTGACCGCAAGGATAGGTCGGAATGCTCGTCCATGCATATCCTACGACAGGGAAGAGCTTTGAACAAAATCGCTTCATGTTGCAGATCAAGTCCAAGTGCAGCCAGATGCTTTCGGCTGGACCAGCAAAACGGAGCAAAAGATGAGCTTTTTTCTCTCTCTCTCTCCCCACCACAAGAGAATCGCGCTTCCAACAGAATGAGCAAGTAAACCACCAATCTCGTACCTTGAGTGCACACAATGCCGTTGGGTTTCAGGGCGTTGCGCATTGCCGCGTAAAAGGGTTGCTCGAACAAGGCGGATGCTGGACCTGTGCCGATTCCGTCGCAACACGTTAAACCAAGAGGTCGATCAATAATGTCGGTCCAGACACGCATTCTACGCATTTGCGCAAAAAAACCCCCGGCTTTACCAATCGGATCTGAAGAGTCGGTAATAATCACATCAAAGTTGCCGGCATGTTGCTTCATGTACTCGACGCCATCCCCGACATGGACAGTCACGCGCGGGTCATTGAATCCTACTGCGAGTGACGGCAGGTACTTTTTCGCGACTTCAATGACTTGCTGCTCGCGATTCATGCGAGGGTTCAAGCGAAATATCAAGCGTGAATGAGCAACGTTTGGACTACCAAACTCTCGCTGCGTCATTGGAAGCCCATTGCTTGCAGTTGCAAAACCATACAGAATTTGCAACAACACCTCCCATCCCCTTATTGATGGATTGCTTGCGCTTACTTACCGGGTCGATCTCGCAGAGCGTAATGTGCTCCACAGCCTGGTGCTTGATGACTTCACGAATGACGCCGCCATCGCCACCGCCGACAATCAGCACCTGTCCAGACAGTAACAGCGCGACTCTCAGAGATATACCTGACATAGGGGAAACCGGGCGATGGGGACTGCCGTCACAGTCCTCCTCACTCAGGCAACACGAGGACAGCTCGCCCACTCAACCCACTCAACCCACTCAACCCACCCCGCCAAAAGCACCAAACATCAGCACGCCGATCGCACTTGGACTTACGCTCTTGGGGTATGGGTGGATGCACAGCGGCAGGTGCGCAATCATCTCTTGGTACGCAAACTCGTCGCGCTCAGTCACTTGCACGGCGCCGTCCAGCACAAGCACATTGCCATACGATTCACTGGGTTGAACGGGGGGAGCAGCAAATGAATGAATTCGGCAAAATTATACAATTGAAAGTAAACGGCGTGTTTCGAGGAGTTTGTGTGTGACTTTGACAGCTCTCAGATTTATCACCGTTGTTCTACCTCTGGAACACGAGAATGTCCTGGAAGTCTGACTTGGCGTGGTGCAAAACCTGCTTGACTTTGAGTGCAAGTCCTTGTCCAGGCCACAGATCCGATTTCTCGGTAAACCAGCCATCTTGAATGGAGTCGTTGGTCATTGTGGCAAAACAAAAGAAGGAAAAAAATAAAGTGCTGAACAAAAAAGAAGACTGCCAACATGTATTGGACTTGTCACTGCAGATGCAACACGGCACGACCCCGGAAAAACAAATGCGAAGACGAACATCCATGACAGGGTTGCAGCAAGAGGCAACTCGTAGTACTTTGTAGTGGTGTCTCGCTTTGTATTCTCAGTTCTTGCGCGCAGTCGCCACTTGAGAGCCTGCCGCTGACAGCACCTTGTCACCCGCTGCAGTAAAAGATAACGATAAACGCATGCATAGCAAAAATGTTGTCACCACAAGTGAGCATCCATCCATCAGAAAATCGGGCCGTTCGTTCAAAAACAAGAGCGTTTCCCTCCTTTACCAAGATCGCTCGAAACCTTCTCAAAGTTGTTGAGCGAGCCCGAGCTGTGCTTGTTGAGGAACTCGACCTCTGCCGGCGAGAGCTGCTCGCCCAGGTTGCGCAGGGCAACGAGGATTTCGACCGACTGCTGCTGGAAGTCTGGCTCTGCGAGCTTGCCAAGCTTGACGTCGCGCTGGAGGTCTGTGAGGCGCTGCCTGAGCTGGCCCGGCTGCTTCTTGGCAAACAGGCGGATGACCTCGGGTGTCTTGAACGCGTTGCTGATGGCCGCCTGGATGGCCAGCTGCATCGACCCGAGCGAGTCCACCAGGCTCATGTCGCCGGCAATCATCTTCTTGAGCGACGCGTCAAACTCCTTCAGCTGGGCCACCGTCTCGTTCTTGGTCTCCTCGTACTCGGACGCGTCCAAGTCAGCCCTAACAGCAAAACAAACAAAAGCGGGCGGGGGGGGGGGAAGGGCAGGCAGGTCAGTCAGTTCTGCACGAGAGTGAGGTAATGCTCCATCTCGCTCTCTTCTATCTCTTCTATCTCTTCTAGCTCTCTATCTCTTTCAGTCTACATCGCTCATCCCCCAATCTATCTATTCCACCCACAATCCCACAAGCATGTTTCAGACTCGCTTTGAACGAGAAATACCGCCTTCAGCTCAAAAAGCTCTTCGATTCTGAGAAACTCTCAGACTCTGACAAAACAACCAAATATACTCAACTTGCACTCCTCGAGATCAGCCAGCTGCTGCATCAGTCGATCAAGCTGCTCTTCAACATTCTGTTTGAGTTTGGCAGTCTCTGTCTTGCCGCGTGAAGCCATCGCTGATTCGGATTTGGGGTTTTTTCGGTTTGCGAAAAATGACGACTGATGTTTCGCAGAAAAAGTGAACGGCAGAGAAAGGATGGTGGTGACACTGTACATTGCGCTCGAGCTTGGATGACTCACCCCAAAGCACAAACAGGAGGAAGCATGCAGCACAAAAAAAAAAAAAAGTACAAGCACAGATCAACCAGCAAAGTTGGAAAACTCAAAAAAGCAAAACGCACGATAAACAAGAATAACCGAAACAGCAACGTTAAGTCTCTGATGATGATGATGCCTGGGACACAACCGCACCAACGTCACGGGGTGGAGTATTGGCCGACGACACGACTCGCGCGAGGATGGGAACAATGTTGGTGAAGTGCGGTCGGTCTGATGGCTGCTGTTGCGCACAGTGCTGCATCAGCTTGTCAAAGACATCGGGGCAGACCGCAGGACGCTCCAGACGACCGCCCGAGCTCAAATACTCCAACACGGCGACCGCTTGAATGTGGGCGAATGGGGACGCACTCGCGTAGGTCAGCACCTCCCACATGACGATGCCGAATGACCACACATCGGATGCCTCGGTGAACTTGCGGAAGCCGAGGGCCTCTGGCGACATCCACTGCAAGGTGCAAAAAAGTTGGGTTGAAAAAAAAAAACCCCCAAGGTGAGTGACACAACCATCGACTATCAGATCGCTTCCCACAACAAAGAACAGCGGCAAAACACATGTTCAGCGACAAAAACAAGCTCAAAGACCTACCCGAGCAGGAAGCTTGCCGCGCGTTTGAACGACATAGTAATCCTTGTCCTCCGCCATCGAACGAGACAGACCAAAGTCGGAGACTTTGACAACAAGGTTGTGTCCGACCAAGCAATTGCGAGCCGCCAAATCACGATGAACAATGCGCTGGCTGGTGAGATAGGCCATACCGCTGGCAATCTGGGCGAGCGCGTGGGCCTGCTCGACCGCCGTCCAGACGACGCCAGCAGCCTCGCTCTTCTTCAAGAGGCTTTGCAGACTGCCGTACGGGAACAGCTCAAGCAGGAGCATGACTGGCTCTGTGTCGAAATGCGTACCAATCACACAGACGACGGCCGGGTGCTGGAACTGGCCCATCACGCGTGCTTCATCCAAAAAGTCGTCGCGTTGCTTTGGTGTGGCATGGTCGTGCAGCATCTTGGCAGCCAGCACGACTTTGCCATCGCTCGAAGGCGTTTCGACAGTCGTACCCTTCAGTGTTTTTTCCGGGAAGATGGCGCGTGGGAGGGAGACCGATACAACTCTGAGATTGGGGAGAGAACAGAGTGAGCACACATGCAGGTCACGAGCATCACCATCACCATCATCACCAACGCCACTCAGACACAAACATACCGGCCAAACTCGCCCATGCCGAGATCACCCAGCACCTGCACCGTCTCAGCAAACGACTTTTGGGCGTTCGAGTTGGGGTTGTCGTAGTCGGGCAATCGCGACGGAACAGCAAACGGCATGTGGTCTGCAACACCAGGCGCGCCATAAATGTACATGTCCTCGTTGTCATCTTCGGCGTCTGCGCTCGGCTTCTTGCCGGGCTCCTCGTAGATTTGCGAAGCCCGTCCGTTGGAGTTGTCGTAAAGTGCGCCGGCGAGAACAGGTGCGCGGCTTGCTGCTGCGGTGTGTGCTGGCTTGCCGTTGTCGTACATGTCTGGTTGTGCAGGCTTGCCGTTGTCGTACATGTCGGGTTGAGCCGCAACTGGAGCCGCTGAGGTCGCCTTCGACGTCGGCTCGACGTAAGCTTCTTCAGAAGGAGCACTCGGGCCATTGTCGTACAACATGCCATCGCTAGGCTTCGGAGCAGCAACGGCAGCATATTGCGCCGCTTCCGCATAAACCTCCGTCTGGTTCAGTTTGTCGTACGTGTTGTCTTGTGCGCCAGCTGCCGGCGAGTTGTCGTACAGTCCAGGAGAGGCTGCGGCTGAGCGTGGCTTTGGCTTCTGAGCAGGCTCGGCATAAATGTCGGAAGTGTCGGAAGCCAGCATTTCGTAATGGCTTGACTGGTCGTTGGCTGTGGATTCGCGTTTCTTGCCAATCGGATTGACCGTCATCGACACTGCCTCAGAGTCAGAGGCGCTGGGTGAGTTCTTGAGTTGCTGTCGCGCACGCCGGCGCCGAGGGAGAACGACGAGAAGCAGCAGGAGGAGGAGGATCAACAAACCACCAGCGGCACCACCAGCGGCACCGGCGATGGTACCGACAGCGCTACTCGATGACGGGCTACCGGCAAGAACGCACTGCGCGCCTTGGTAGGTCTGGCCAGAAGGACACGGGATGCACTGGTGGGCGTCGGAGGAGAGAATCAGAGGAGGAATGCATCCGCCGCACACAGAGTCGCTGGAGGTCGTGCAACTGAGAGTCGTGTTGCAATTCGACACAGGTGTGCAGGCTGCACAAACACGATCCTGTTGCGGGGCGCAAGCTTGCTGCTCAAACATGCCCAACCCGCACGATTGGCTGCAAGTGGTGCAAGAAGCCCCAGCATCAGGCGAGTAGGTGCCGTTCGCGCACTGCTGACACGTGGACGTAATACCATCGGTGCAGCGCACATCCAGACAGTCAATAATTCCACTGCATGGCGTGCACGCGGTGCTTCCACTGTTCATCCAAGTTCCTGGCTCGCAAGAAAAGCACTGCGAGGTGGATGGCGACGAACACGCCAGGTAGTTGGTCTCGCAGCCTGCAATCGGAGTGCACGTTTCGCACGTGTCAAAGGTGCCCTGGTTTTTGCGGTAGTATCCATTGAGACAGGTGGCGCAGCGAGATGACGTCGCGTCTCCGCAGGAGACAGTCGAGCCGCACTTGTCAATCTGCGTGCACAGCTGGCAAATGTCGGCAGGCCCCGTCGTGTTTTTCCACGTCCCGTACACGCACGTGGGGCACCGAGATGTGGTAGGCGAGTTGCAGGTGGGCGACACGCTGCCGTCACAATTTTCGATCGGCGTGCAGCCGAGGCACATGTCGGCCACACCGTCATTCAAGAAGGTACCAGGAACACACGTGACACATTGCGAGGTTGTAAAAGAATTGCACTGCAACCCCGACGTGCAACCAGCGATGGGAGTGCAGGATTCGCAAGTGTCAGATCGATTGGCCATGGTGCTCCTCCACATTTGAGCGGCGCAGGTGGTGCACACGGACGAGTTGTAGCTTGTGCAAGTGGGCGTCGACAGGCAGGCATTGATTGGGTCACAAACGCGACAGACATCAGCGGGACCAGACGTGTCTTTCCACGTCCCCGAATTGCACGTGGCGCACTTTGACGTGGACGCTGAGGCGCAAGTCGGAGCAACCGAGCAGCCCGGCACAGCGGGACAAGGCACGCATTGGTCGGGTGCAGTCGAATTTCCGGCCTGAAGGTAAAAGCCCGAGTTGCAGGTTGCGCATCGCGACGTAGAGGCAGAGTCGCAGGTCGTCGTTGTTCCGCAGTTGATCACGGCAGGGCAATTCAGACACTGGTCGTTGCTACCAGATGACGTCTTTCGGTATGTGCCCACAGCGCAAGTGGTGCACACGGCATTCGTACTCGTGGAGCAAGTGACGGGAACACCGCAATTCGCGATCGCGCATTGGCTGCAGGTGATATCAGACGTCGCAGAGCAAGTGGCGGTCATGTACTGGTTCGTGGGACAGCTCGCCGTGCATTGTGTACACGTGTCTGATGTAGACGATGTGCCAGTCGTTTTGTAATAGTTGGATTGGCACGCCGAGCAGGTCGACTTTGTGCCGGGAGCAGCGCATGTGGGAGCAGAGTTGCAGAAAGGAATGGCGGGACACTGCGGGCATGTCGCACCATTGGTCGATCGGTAGTAGCCTGAAACGCATGTGCTACACTGTTGATCGCTGTTTGTGTTGCAGGTAACAGAACCTGTTTGGCAGTTTGGAATGCTGGTGCAAGCTGGGCAGCTCGTGGCCGAAGCTTTGTAAAATCCGGTCTGGCACGTGGTGCAGGCTTGATTCGTCGACGTCGTGCAAGAAATGACTTGACAGTTTCCGATGGAATTGCAGTTCGTGCACACTCTGTCTGCGGTGGTTGTGCAGGACGACGACAGGTACTGTGTGGACGGACACGTACCACCGGAACAAGGAACGCACGCGGACATCGAGTTAAGGTCGTCGTCGTAAGTAGACCCGGACTGGCATGGCGTGCATGATAGATTGTCAGTGTAGGAGCCGGGATTGCACGTTGCGCATGAGGAGCCCGTCCAGTACTGAGTGCCCTGGCATTTAAAGGTCAGAGTGAACGATTGCCCGCTCACCGAGCCAGAGACCCCGCCGAGGACAAACTTGTAGGTCGTACCGGCACCAACCGACCAAGAGAGTGTTCCAGGAGCCGAGACGCCGTAGCTTTGGAAGAGCCCTCCATTGCAGTTTCCGCCTGAGCTGGCCAGGGCGAATCTCATGCCCGATCCGACCACCATCACCGAACCACTATAGCTGCTCGTGAAAGTCCAATAAAAAGGAGTGTTGTAAGTTGCTCCGCTAATGGTGAGTGTTCCAGACTGATAGTTGTTGTCGTTCGAGTTGGACCCGATGCCGGCGTTTTTCGCATTGTTGCAGCTCGAGTCGCTTTGAGAATCGTAAGCTTGAACAAGCCCCGACGACAAGAACAACAGCAAGCACGCCAGAAGTGTCGCCAACGAGACAGAGGCAGCGCCACGTTTGTGCATGGTCGACCGACGCTGTGTTTTCGCAAACAACGACAGGGTACGAAAGTGAGTTCCAGTCATCGATGTTGATTCAATTCAATGATAGAAAAAGTCTTGCAAACGAATGTCATGCCAATCCAATCCAATCGAACAACAGAACAAAAAGCAAAACCTTGTCGAAGAAGCGCAGCCCAGTGAAAATCTTCACACCCCTCAAAATGTCCAAAACGGACAAAATCCCAAGAGATGATCCTTTTCGCACCACAACAACGACCGCCACCGCCACATGGCACATGGACTGCCTGTGCTGCAAGTCAGTTCAGCATGGGCGTACCACGGTCTTACATGCCGTAATTTGTGCCGGTGCCGGTTGACTCATGCCAAAACATGCCAACTTGCCAAACAAAGCGACCCCAACGCCAAAAGAAGGCAAACAAGGAACATCCAACAAGCCCCTTTTTGAACATCGAATCCAATGCGAAAACAAACTTTGTTGTCGCTATCGACACTCTGCCTTCAACCACGACTTCCCCAGCGGATAAATGCCAGCACGGTGCAAGCAAATGCAACATGCAAGACAGGCACACAAGCAGACCGCTGTGCGCGAAAAAGCCGAAACAAGCGACGAGCAGCGAAATCCTATTTTTTTTCAAGTTTCTGCTTTGTAATCTGACTTCACACCAAAACAGCACGATGCGGATTCAAGGAATTGCAAGTGCAGAGATGACGACAAGTAACTCGTGTGAATTGTCAAAGAGAGAGAAAGTACGCGTGAGTGTGTGTGTGTGTGTGTGTGTGGTGACTGGGCAGAGAGAAGCGAGCGGTAAAAGCCACAAAAACGAATGTTGGGCAGAGGGTTTGGCCTCTGTTGTCGCTCTCTGGCTCACCCCCCGAACCCCCCCCCCACTTTCCGAGACGTCTCGTGCGCTCGTCCAGAGTCGAGGACCGCTGGATTTGCTGGTTGGGGGAAAGCGCAGAGCAGGACAGCAGCACAGAACTCAACCTGTGCGCGCTGTGGTAGGTCATTCCATTTGGATTTTTTTTGTGGGTTTTGTTTACGCGTTCTCCAAGCACACGTCGTTTGCTCGCAGCGCTCTGCACGCTTCCTGTGCGAGGGACCATGCTCGCTTTTCATGGCCAAGCAATCCTCTCAGCGGCTGCTCGGGGTGCGGCGTGGTGGAGAGACACAGCGACGACGAGCGACACAACGAATGTACCTCTGCAAAGCAAGTCTAAAAGTGAAAAAAAAAAAAAAAAGTGGAGAAATCGAAAAAAAGAAAAAAAAAAAAAGAATGGATCAAAGTCTGCGCAGAAAAATCAACTTTCGATGGTGTTAAAGTCGAACACAGGAAGGAGCCTAGGAAGCAAGAGACACGAACAAGCATGGAGCAGACGTATTTGGAACCAAAGAACGCAGCAATGGAGGGGACGGCGAAAATCCGTTGCAATTGTAGCAATTGTAAAAACTTGCACCCCAAAGTTGGAAAAAGGGTTGCTCCCTCTCGCACCGCTCAACCGCAAACCAGCCTCGATGCAAACATGAGGGGGCTGGAGTGCAAGTACGAGAGTCGAGGCGACACACACACACATAACAGTAGTAGTAAGTAACGGAACGGGGGGGGGAGGCGCTCGCGTTTCCCAGAACCGAACGGCACTAATCCGCATTCACTCGATTTGGAACGCCACAGCGTCCCACGGGAGCCCTTAATAAAGGACTCCCCCCCCCCTCCTGCCTTCGCCCGCGCTTCCTCGGTAAATTAAAGACACGGGGTGCGGATTTGCCACCCCGCATCAAGGGCAACTCAGAGTCTGGAGCCATCCGGATTGTGGCACTGCATTCAAGAAAGGTGTAAAAACATTCGCTCGGGTGACTTGGAACGGCTGGGACGAGTTCCAACGCTTGAGTGAGAGAGCAAGAGCAAGATTGTCCGAGCGCTTCGACCATACCGTAATTTTTGGCTAGGACGATTGTCTGCTCGTACATGTAGCGACCGACTTGTCGAAGCGATCGTTGGCTGTGGATGGCTTTTTCCGTTCCACCAGCCCGTCTACTTGTCAGCTACCGCTTCTCCTTCTCGACTTTATTTTTGTCCATTCGTTGTTCGGCTGCTGATTTGATTTCCATGCATCACTCACTTGGATGGGTTCGAATGAATGTTCAGTCTTTCTCATTCGATTTTCCAATAGAAAATGTCTTCACGGGCTTCGTCTGTGGCGTCGCATCCGCCGTCACAGCACCACTACGGCGGCGGCCACCACCCACAGCAGCAGCATCATCATCACCAGCAGCAGCAGCAGCAGCATCATCACTACCAGCCTCAGCAGCATCAGCCACAACAGTACCATCACCACCAGCAGCAGCACCAGCAGCAAACAGTCGAGCCTCCAGTGGTCTACGGCCTCGAGTTCAAGGCGCGCGCACTGAGCGCCGTGCGTGCCGAGCAAGAGAAGATCTCGTTCCTGATTGGCACGCTGACGCTGCACCACGACAACCAGGTAGGAGTCCACAGCGAGAGGAGCAGACGAGGGACATGAGAGTTCCCCTTTGGTCCTGTTTTTCCCCTCTCCCTTCAACGATGCTTGTGATCCATCGTTCAAAATGCAACTTGCCAGCAAACATCAATCAACATTATGAGCAAAGCTGGAGAGTGACAAAAATCAAGGTCAAAAACAAAGAGCGACTTGGAAAACTAGAAAAACTTGGCTGCGATTCGTAACCCTGAAAATCCGGGTTTTTTCAATTTTGAACATACTTTAACTCAAGTTGCTCAGAAGGACTGCTGTTCGATTGGGAGCATTTCAGCAATGTTTGGTCTTGTCCTGATGATATCAACGGTTTTACAGTGAAATTTTGCCACCAAGGTGCAATCGTTTGGTATGGAAAAACTCAGTTTGTCACTCACCCCTCAATCCACTCCCTTGAAACAGATTCACCTCTTGGAATACGGCGATGACGACCAAACCGTCACACCGACCGTCTTCTCGCATCCTCAAGGCGAAGTCTGGTCGATTGCTGCCAGCCCGTCGCACGTCGATATCTTTGCCACCAGCTATTTGAAGCGTACGAAGTCGCCCCTCCTTTTGAACGCTTGGTTGTTTTCATCATGTTTATCAGACCTTGGCTAATGTCACTTTGTGCAGCGCTCGATGGCAAGGCTCAGATTCGCTCAAAGTTGTTCAAGATGCCCGAACACGACGACATTGGTGGCGAGATTCTGCCTCTGACAGAGCTGTTTGAATTCACCGGGCACAACTCGAGCATTTCATGGTAAGAGGTGTTTGACGCGTTCACTGCTGATTCGATTTCGAGAGAAGTGGGTTGTCTCACTTTGTTTGTTTGGTTGTTTCGGGCCTTTGTTTTGCTTTTTTTTTTTTGCCTTTTTTCAGCTTGTCGTGGAATCCCATTCTGACTTCGCAAGTGGCCGTTGTGGATGAAGAATCAATCCAGCTGTGGGATTTGAATGCCGAGGAAACGTCTGCAAAGGTTTGTTGGCGCTCGTTGGTCGTTTGTTGCCAGGCGTTCCTCTGACGCATTTCTTGGTCCGGTGTCAACACTTGCAGGTGAAAACTAGCGTCAAGCCGGATACCAAGCGCGCCAAGTTGAGCGCAGGCCGATGGCATCCCCATAGCGGCGGCCCGTTTGCTGTCGCCATGGACACGAGTGTTCGAGCGTGGGACATGCGCACATCAGAGTTCGTCGTAGTCTTTTTGTTTTTTTTTTTCGAATCTGCGTGTCTAGTTGGCCAGCTGATACTCACGTTCTTCTCTAAACCTCTCCTTCCTCTCTCCCCCCCCCCCACAACCACCACCATCCATTCATCAGGCCGGCCTGGGTTGTGGAACACGCACATTCGCAAGCTATTCGAGACATTGATTTCAACCCCAATCGCCAGTACATCATGGCGACGGCTGGCGACGATTGCAAGGTCAAATTCTGGGACGTTCGCAAGCCAGCGACGCCCTTGAAGGTGCTGCAGCACCACTCTCATTGGTACGGGTGAACGAATGTCGCCTCTATGATCCTGTTGTCAGATTTGAACTGTTGCTCACCTTTGGCCGATTGCTCCCGAATCTATGTGACAACTACTAGGGTTTGGGCGGTTCGGTACAATCCTGCACACGATCAGCTGGTTCTCACAGCCAGCTCGGACAATCGCGTGGTTCTGGCTGATGCAGTTTCCATCTCCTCCGACCCCGACGGCTCTGTGAGAAACGCCGCAGCTCTCGATGACGACGACGAACCGACCACTTCTCGCAAACCTGAGCAGTACGTGTGTTGTTGTTTTTTTGTTGTTGGTAGCGTCAGACAGCCCACTCACACAAGTTCCGTTTTTTTGCTCTTTTTTTTTTTTTCTTTTTTTTTTTTTTGGCTCCACCTCCTCAGTCGCCCTGCGCCGAAAGATAAGCTGGTTCACACGTACGAGGAGCACGAAGACAGTGTCTACAGCGTCGAGTGGAGCTCGGTCGACCCCTGGCGGTTTGCCTCGCTGTCGTACGACGGGCGTGTTGTGCTCAACCGTGTCCCGCAAGAGGAAATGTACAGCGTCATGATGCTCACCTGAGTTCTTTTGTTTGTTGACCAAAAACCCATGGGTTTGAAGTTGAACTAAAATCACAAAGAATCACAAAAAATCACAAAAAATCACAAAAAATCACAAAAAATCAAACAACAACGGCAAACAAACGACCCTTTACACAACAGACGAAACATCATTTCTGACAAAGCGTCAATTTACAATGAAGCAGTCACCTCACGGACAAGGTCTGCGGGCGAGCGAGGGGACGACTCGGCCTTCAGGGTCTTCTTGAGCCAGGAGTTGGCCTTGTTGGCAATCATCTCCCAGTCCTCAGCAAACTGCGAGAGCTTGGTCTGCAGGTAGGCGAGAGCAAGGGCGGCCGCCACGACACCAGCAGAGACGCCGAGCGACGCCGCCAACGTCTGGAAGAGGCCAGGAGCGACGCCGAGAGCGGTGGCAAGGGCTTGTGTTGGCTCGAATGCACCATCAATCAGCTGCAGGTTGACAATCGTCTGAAGCGTCTGGCTCGGGTCGGCGGCACGACCAGCGGGACGGCTTTGCTGCTGGGCCATGAAAAGGCTTTGAGGCTGAAGATCCAGTCTCTCTTGGCCGAGCTCTGCTGCCATCATGCATTCGTTTACAGAATCATCAGCGAAAAGACCGAAACCTTCGGCCTCCTCTTCGTCATCGTCGGAAGAGGCGCGAGACAATTTCATTTCCTTCTCCTTCCTCGGCATGGGAGCGGCGGCGGCGGCTGCGCTGGAACGAGCAAACGACATGGAGGGCATAGCCATGGCAGGCTTGGCCACGGCGCCATCCAGCATGGCGTTGCTGCCGCTGCTGCTGCGACTCTTCTTCCTCTTGTCCGCCGAATACGACTCGTACGCCATGGGCGAAGGCGCTGCCGAAGGCGCTGAAGCATAGGACAAACGCTGTGCCTGTGCCTGCATGGGAGCAGCACCGCCGGGCGCTGGCGGCGGAGGAGCGGGGCTCGAGCCAAACATGGAGCCGATCGCGCCAGTCACTTGGCCAAAGAAGCCGCTGTTTGAGCTGGTTGATGTAGGAGGAGCAGCAGAGCGCATACGAGGAGCGCCACCGCCATAGCCGCCGCGACCGCCCAATGGCGCGGAGATGCTCGACGCTGGGGAAAGCGTTGGCGTGTTTCGCACGACAGGCTGTGGCTTGGGCACAATGTAGGACTCGCCAAACCAGCTCGACTGGAACTGAGGCTGGTTGGGACGCTTCTCGATGGCAATGAAGGACGTGTGGCGCGAAGCGAGCGAGTAGGTCGTGCCAAGGCGGACAATCTCCTTCTTGATGGCATCGTCGGTGGCGCGCTTGTAGCCTCCGGTGGACTGGTGCATAAACGACGTGCCTTCCTCGAGGTCGCGAATCATGGTGCGGGCGGCCATGCGGTGGATGGTGTTGCCCTCGAGCGTCTCCTCCTCCTTGACATCGAGCGCCACCTCCAGCGGGCCGTCAGGCGAGATGGCGTGGATGGTGACCTGCTTGGGAGCGGGGACGCCCGGCTTGAGGAAGGCAAAGATCAGGAAGCGCGAGCCGTCAAAGACCGGGGGAACGGTGAACGGCGCCTGGCGGAAGGGACGCTCAGCGGGCTCGGGCTTCTTGTAGCCAAGCAGACTCTTGACCTTGGGCGGCTCCACGACCGCGGCGGGAATCTCGTCGAGGCCCCAGTTGACGCGAACATCGGTGAGCGAGGGCTGGATGGCGTCCTTGAGTTGGCGCATGACCTTGGTCTCCATGCGCTCGCCATCGACGACAAACTGGGCGTTGCCCTTGCCGGCGCGCGCAATGCCTTCGACCAGGTGGTGACTGACACCAGAGCCGATGCCGAGCGCAAAGTAGCGGGCGTTCTTGCTGTCCGAGTTGACCTGCGCAATGACTTGGTCCGTGTTGCTGACCTGGCCGTCGGTGAGCACAAAGACTTGGCGCGGGAAGTCTGCGCGAGTCTTCATGCGCTCGATGGCGCGCAGCGGGGCGAGGAGCTCGGTGCCGCCGAGGTTGGCGTCCATGGTGGAGACGTGCTTGAGAGCCGTGTTCAGGTTGGCCTGGGAGTAGCCCACGGCTTCCGGGAAGAGGGTCTGGTACGAGTCGCCAAAGCCGACAATGTTGAAGCGGCTATTGGTGGGCAGTGACTTGAGGAAGAGCGTCAAGGCGTTGCGCGCCTGCAGAATCTGCGAGCCACCCATCGAGCCACTGCGGTCAACCACAAAGATCACCTCGCACTTGATGTCGTCGAGCTCAAAGTGCGGCACAAGCGTGAGCATCATGGCGCGGGAGCCGTTGGCCTCGGGGTCGGTCTCGAGGCACAGCCGAGGCTCGTGCGGGGTCTGGGTCTCGACAAGGACAATCAGATCGCGGTCGAGCGCGGTCAGGCCGGCAGCCAGCGCAATCTGGGCGCGCTGCGGGGTGGCAGAGTTCTGCGTGACGGCAATGCCGTGCGTGGGGGAGGACGCCTTTGTGATGGGAGAGCGCATCTCGCAGTTGACGTTCAGGCTGAGCCCGTACGGCGCGCGGCCAAGGCCCCAGTAGTTGAAGTGCGAGATGACGCCCGTGGACGGGACTGCCTCCTGGGTGTCGCGGTACGGGGTGTAGCGCGGGGCGACGGTGGTCGGGAGCAAAAAGCGCACAGCATCGCCCTCGACCTTGAGCGCGACAATGTACGTGATGCGAATGGCGCACGTCTTGCCCGGAGGCAGGTTGCCGACCTTGATGGAGAAGATGTCAGCGCGGGCCTGCTCGAGCAGGTAGGCGCCGTCGCCGCGCGCAACGGCCTCGGTATACTCGCGACGCGCCTCCTCTTTTTCCTTGACAACGCCCGAGACGAGCTGGCCGTCGATTTCGGCCTCAAACTCGCAGACGGCGGCGCCTTCGTCGAGCGGGAAGACGTACCTGGCCTCAATCGGCACAGACTCGTAGTTTGAGTACTGCTGGGTGAGCGTCACTTCCGTGACCATGTCGACGACGTTCGCCTCGACGTGGACGCCGTGCAGCGGGATGGGCGCAGACGGGATGATCGAGTCCGTGTGCACGTCAACGCGGTACAGACCGCACAGGATCTGCACGGTGCCAGGCTGGACAATCACAGTCGTCATGGTTGAGTTGTTGAAATTGGGAAGAATTTTGGTCAAATTTGGGATTTTTTTTTTTTGCTTGGGATTGATTCTGGTTTGAGAAGAACAGCGATTGCGCAGAGATCAGAGGACAAGAGTAACAACAAGTGAGTCAGTGATGGAGAATGGAGAATGGAGAATGGAGAAGCAGGAAGGAAGACAGAAGAGGAGGAGGAGGAATATGGGAAAAAAAAAAAAAAAAACAAGAATACAGGACGCGTCAGATTGACGAGCAATGCTTTTTTTTTTTTACCGAGAGCGAGACAGCGAGAGATGCGGTTGTGCAAAAACGGAGGTTGACAACAGCAGCAGTGAGGAATGTGTAGTGCTTTTTTGCTTTTTGTGCTGTTTGTTGTTGGAACAAACAAAGAACAAAGTCAAAAATATCAAGAAAAAAAATGTGGAATGATTTGGAAAAACCCGAAATGGAAGCTGGTATTTGAACTGGAAAAAAAAAAAGAATACGACGTCATTGCTGTGACGTTATGGCTCAGGACGGATGTCCAAGTCATCGTCGTTGTCGTCGTCGTCCGTCAGACAGTCAGACAGGATGTAAAATGCTGGATGGAGGAGTTGTATTGGTACAGCGCTTTATTGGAGGCATTGAAATAGCAGCACACACATCGATGGATGAGAACGAGAACCGAACAACGAGAACGATTTTGACATGGTCACAAGTAAAACATAAACATGGTGTAGTGCGCGCAAAATAGCAAAAGAGAATGCTAGATTGAAAATCGTCGTTATTCAGCACATTCCACAACAAGAAGGGAGGAGATGAAGCAACTCCTGAGCCACCAAACCATGAAATGTCGTCACAACGCACACACACAAACATCCAGACATCCAAAAACCACACAAACGCGACATCACACTTCAAAACAAAAAAACAACACTCAAGCATCATCGTTGCCAAGAAGATCAAAGGCGTTGGCAAAGTTCGCCGCCTGCTTGCCCTTGCCGCCCTTGCCAGCACGTGCTGCACTCGGAGAAGCCGCCGCAGCAGCTTTGCCGGCTTGGGGAGATGCCGCAACCTCGACGTGGCGCACGTTGGATGCGTGCACTGCATGCGTGGGCGCGGTAATGTTGAGCAGGTAAGCCAGCGGAATGGCGGCACCGCGACGGTCTTGGCATCTGAGTCAACGCACAAACGTCAAGATGGGACAGGGATCAGGTCAGTTCTTGATCGTCACGATAAAACAAAAGCAGAACCAAACAACAGCAACAACAACAAAAAAAGGCAAAAACAAAACACAACAACAAAATACTCACCGATTGTGAAGCGTCGTGCCAGACAAGAGAGGGCGGTCGAATGCAACCTCCACGCAATCCCCCAGCACGGAAATGACCGTACCCTGTGTAACGTTAATGTTTCCAAAAAGTCAAGTCAAAACAAAACGTTGAGCGACCCAATCCATCGCAATGTTTCACATCCGCGCCAATTCACTCCTCACCTTCTCGCCGAAAGGAACAGATCCATGCGACATGAGATACACGACGCGATGTCCGGGGCGAACAACTGTATGCCCAGCGCCGGTGGCTCGGCTGCGTGACAGCGGAACGTCGCAAGGGCTCAGCATCTCGGTGTGGCTCAAGCCCTTCACGTTCACGCGCTTCTGCTCAGGTCGGTCACACAAAACGAGAACAAGTGACAAGGTTAGATGGCTTTCATCCACAAACGACGACCAGAAATTTTTCAAACAAATAATCTTGCATTCATTTTCGCGCGGCACAAAATCAAACTCACCTTGTCAGCCAAGCTGTTAATTCGCTGAGCCTCGCCCTCGATCAGTGACACCACAACGTCAGACAATGCATGTGCGTCGCAGGAAATAAGGGGCAGCTTGGCGGCCGGGCATTCGCGGAGCCAAGAGAGGAGCTGTCAAAATAAAATCAGCAAAAGTCAACTCCACCGCAATCACACACTTCATGCGCAATGGCGGACCTGGCTCAGGCGAGAGCGAGCATGCTGATCAATGCTGGAAAGAGCGGTCGCCACTGAAGATTCGCTGGGATCGGCCTTGAGGAGCTCGTCACTGGACGCCTCTGCGGAGACAGTCTCGGCGGTTGACTCTGCATTTGCATCGCCGGCAGCGGGGGCAGAAGCCGTCCCAAACACAAAATCAAGCGGATAGTCGTCCAAGTTGGGATTGCGCTCAACAGCAGCAAACAGGTCTGGGAAGGCTTCCTTGAATGCAATCACCAAGTCGATGGCACGCTGCGAGTACTCCCACTGAGGACCGCCGCGACGGCTGGAAAGAACAAAGGAAAAGTGGCGCAAGCGTTCAGCAACGACAACTCGCAGTTGCAACAAGACAAGACAACAAAGAGCGCGTTTTCTACTGACCTTCTGTCATCATTCGAGCCTTCCACGCGGCGCGTGTAGCCATGAACTTGGAGAGCTCGTCGGTGGAACTTGATGCCGAGGCCGACATCCACGGCGAGCTTCTTGTCAAGCTGCGACAAACGAAGAGCAAATCACATAGATTGAGAAACACGAACAAGAAGCACCTCCCAAACGAACGAGACTCCGACAAACCTTGATGGTAATGCTGCCAGACAAACGGGACAGCACCAATGCAGACACTCCTGTTCGCTGAGCGACATTGGCTGAAGACGAAGGAAACGCAGTGAGAAAATCGACCAGCCTCTGAAAAACCACCAAACAAAAAAAAAAAAGTCCAACTTGAAACCTCATACCGACACCAAAGTACTCCTCTTGCTTGGTGTTCAACAGCAAGCGGCTCATGGCCGAATCCAAATCGCCGGCACTGGCGGCAGCACTGACGCTGACATCGGCGGTGTGTGCATCAGCAGAAAGCTTGGTGATGTTTCCAAGCTGCCCATACGTCGGCCCGGCAGTCAAGAGTAGGACTGGCGAGTTCAGTGTGAAGCGAGCATTAGCCGGACGTGCCTCCGTCTCCACAAAGCTGCATGATGTACGGAAGAAGAAAAAAAAGAAACACAGACCAAGAGTGAGCGCGCTCGAGAAACTCTCAATTGATTAATAAGAGAGCGCCCCTCGCCTTACCGTTCGTCCACGCGCGGAATACGACGCAGTACGACTTGAACGGCGTATCGCTCGGTTTTTTCGGCAAACTCTTTGATCAGAGCGCCGTCCACGGTTTGGCGCATGCCCTCAAACGGAGCGGCCTCGACAATCAAGTGCATGGAGGGGATGTCAATGCCTTGCGTCTTCAAGTACTGCTCCTGGAGCCGCGCGACCATGGCAGGCCAGCCCTCAGTCAGTTCCGAGCGCACAATCTGGCCCTTCTTGGACAGCCGGAGAACACCTTCGGGCTCGTACACTGCAACCCTGTTGTTTGGATTGTAATCAAAAAAGCGGATGAGACTCCTCCTGTGAACAAAACCGGTCTTGTTTTTTTCCCCCAACGCCAAACCCAAAGAAGAAAGCAACTTACACACGAGCTTCCAGGAGATGAGGATAGTTGACAGCACAGATGCTGCCCAAAAGGGCTCGGGCACTTTGGGCAATCTTGGCTTTGGTAATGACACGGGCAAGCGTGGGGACTTCTGACAGCCGACCGTCGGCAGACGCGATGGCGGCTTGCAAGGTCTCGTCGTCGCCGTCAGGAACAGCCAACACCATCGACGCGTTTTTGGACGCCGAGCCGAACGGTGTGACGCCCACAGCTCGCAATGCAGGCGACAGAGCCAGACCACGGATGGAAGGGAATCCAGCCGGTGGTGGGATCAGTCCAGTCCAGCATCCTTCCAAAATGATGGGCTGGAACTTGCTCGAGCGAGCAGGCGGCGTGTAATCTTGGGCACTTGCGTTGGCAGAAAACGCCGGCAGCGGGGAGGAGGAGGAGGAGGAGGAGGAGCCGGCGTCTCCGCTGTCGGATTTGCGAACTGGCGACGGTACGTGCAGACCCTTGCCAGGAGCGTGCACAAAGAGCTGTGCCTGACCCAGCGAGCCGCGGGTGCGCTCTTCGGCCGTAAGACTGCCACTCGCCAGCGCAGTGCGCACCTCTGCTCTCAGTCGCTCAATATCAATGAAGGGAATGAGCAGCACGTCCTTGTACTCGCGCCCTTTTTCGTCGGGAATGACGCGGTGATCGGTTCGGTAAAACTCTGCGAGAGCCCCCGTCATCAGCGGGCGAAGGGGCGCCGGGAGGAATTGCGCGCTGGCAAGGGGCAGCACGGCAAGCAGCTGCTCATAAGGATTGAGCGGGCTGTCGGCGGGAAAATGAATTTGGCCATACAGCTCTCCCAGATTGACCATGTCGGAGGCGAATGGAGCAAAGTGGTACGGGAAGTACCAAGACCACGACGCCAGACCCTGAGTGTAGTAGTGCAAGACCCACACCAAGCCCTCAAGGTAGTGCTTGATCAGCTTGCGCAACGAAGGCGTGTTTGAAACAACGTCGTCAAAGTAGGTTGCATAGTACGAGCTCTTGTAGCTGGCTTCGTCTGTTGGGGCGGGTGCAGCAGTTGGGGCGGGTGCAGCAGTTGGAGCAGGTGCAGCAGCTGGAGCAGGTGCGGCAGTTGGAGCAGGTGCGGCAGTTGGAGAGAGTTGCGGCTGAGACTTTGGCTGGACCTTGAGCAGGGCTTGCAGGCCTGCAGTCGCCGCGTGGTTGATGCCAGCAGCTTGCGGCGCGACCTGGGCAGCAGGCTGCTGGGGCTGTTGAGCCGCAGCCTTTGCGGGCGGTTCTGAATACACTGCGCCGGATTTGGCGCCTTGCTTCATGACCGAAGTTGGCAATCCCCACATGGCAGGACGAGACGAAGCAGACTTGGATTCCTGGGTTGAGGGCTGCTGCGACTGCTGCTGTTGTTGTTGTTGATGCTGCTGCTGCTGCTGCTGCTGTTGTTGCTGGTGGTGCAAGTACGCCATTTGAGCATACTGCTGTTGCATCATAAAGTACTGCTGCTGGTGCATCTGCATCATGGCAGGTGTCATGGGAACAAGACCTTGGGGCGTTTGTGCCATGGGAATGACACCTTGAGGAGTCTGCACCATCACAACAGGTGGCAGTCCTTGCATGGGTTGGGGGAAGGGCGGCTGGGGACCAGGCACCTGTTGCTGATGGGCAGGTTGCTGTTGTTGCTGCTGCGGTTGCTGTGGCTGCTGCTGCTGCTCCCCTGGGGCTTGCGCTTGACCGGGGCGGGAAGCCATTTCTGCAAACGATGCCGACAAGCTCACGATCGCAGGATCCACAAACTCGGCACTCGCAGAAGGGGCTGTGTCAGTCGTCTCCGGCTCGGTGGTAGAGGGCTTGGCAGGCTTGGTCGCACGCGTCGCATGCGCGTCGAACAACTGGCGCTCACGGCGAGAGAGATGGGCAAACAGCTGCTCCAAGAAGGCAATGTTGACAACAACCGTGCTGGCATTGACGAGGTAGTCGTTGAGCGAGTTGCGCACCTGGCGGTAAGCCTCGAATGCAAAATCCAGACCGCCCGAATCAATGTCAAAGCCAGGCATGTGCGGCAAAAAGTCGTTTCCGATGATAAAGCACAAAAAGATAAAGTCGTCAATGGTGCGCTCGAGGTTCCAAGCCGAGACCGACTGTGACGTGAGCGCTGGGGTGGCGGCCTTCTGTTGCTGCTCCATCAGCTTCTCGAGAGGACCATGACGAAGTCCGTCGCTTCGCTTAAACCCGGCCGAGAGACCAAACTCCATGTCCAAGTACTCGCGCAGCAGCCCAATGTACAGCAGCTGCAGCTCGTCGGTCGCCTGGAAGGCCACTTCACTTCGCGCATCAGCAGCATTCACGCTGGCCTTCTTTGAGCGGAAGAGCACCTTCTCGCGCAGAATGGCAAAATGCGGTTCGTGCATGGCGAGCGATAGCATGATCAAATCGGCGTCCAATCCGTACATGCAGTGGCGAGTGTTTGGATTGTAACCTGGCTGAGACTGTCATCACAGATGACGAAGATGGCATTGTCAGCAAGACAAATCGAAGCGACACTCAAAATGAAAACGGTGCTTTTCGTACCTTCTGCGCTCGAATCCAGTCAACAATCTTGTGCTCGCCTTCACCGGGCGTTCGATGGCCCGAGAGGATGACCTGGAGGGAGCTCCACTGAGGGCTCTCTGTGATTTTGCGCTGTGAAACCAAAGAAAATCACAAAAACAGAAACAGGACGTGAGGACTTTGCTTTCGCTCCGCAAGGTGCGCAACAGGTCCCTTCCTCCGATCTCTCTCGACAGCTGGCATATACCTTGATGTAGTAGCTCAAGTACGCCTCCATGCGATCCATAAACTCTGTGCCAGGAGTGATGCAATTTGCGTCGAACGGCAGAGCGCGTGCCTCTGCCTCAATCTCCTCGATCGGCTTGGCGCCTACGGGTGTAGCAAACAGCACAAGCATGTTTGAAGTGAGCATCAACCTTCTGTTTGACGTGACAAACCATAGGGAGGAAGAGCGGAACTCCTTGTTACCAGTGAGATCGCCAATGGCGCTGGCTTCCGTGCGCGCCTTCTCTGCTGCGCGTGCAGTCTTGAGACGGCGCTGGCGCTGCTGGTTCATCTTTGCCCGCGGCGCAACACCGTCGATGGCAATGTAGACGAGCTTCTGTGGGCGAGCAACCTCGACGAGGCGATCAATCGCAGCGAACATGGCAGACATCATCTCGAGCTCGGAGATGGCGGCGGCCCCAGCATCGTCCTTGCCATGGCTTGCGTTGTGCGCGATTCCGTTGAAATCGAGGTAGAGGTTGTCTGTGGGGTCGGGGGGGGCGGGAGAGTGGGATCCAGCAACGCCAGTGAGCAAGCGCTATTCATGCATTGTGCAATGGAAGCGAGAGACCGAGCTTGAGCGTACCAAAGAGCGGCGCATCGTTGCTTGGTCCGATGGTGCGCAGAATGAGCGGATAGCGCTCAACCAGCGCGCGAGTCAAGCGGATGACGCCCATCGAGCAAAGGTCGGCAAAGAAGGGGAAAAGAGTGAGCATTGAATGAAAAACCATTGACTTTTTTTTTTTCATCCCCAACGCAACGCACTTTTGCGCATTCGTATTCCGTCTCTTTCATCACAGTTCAGTTTGTTTTTTTTTTTTTTTCACTCTTCTCACTCATCGCTCATAAGGTTCTCAAAACGTCCGACTTCCAACTCAGTCCCCGTTCTTCTTTTTTTTCGGTTTTTTATTTTTTATTTTTTTACCCTTTTTTTTTTTGTGCTGTTCTCTCTGCTTCCGTCATCATGGCTACGACTACCCCGACTGCGAATACGACCACTTCGACAGCTCCATTCACCATTGTCAAGGAAGGCCTGTTGTACAAGCGAGGCAAGTAGAAGCAGCAAAACACACACAAAAACACGACAAATATTCTTGATTTTTTTTTTTTTTTTTTTTTTTTTTTTTTGCTTTCTTGCCTTTGCGGATTGATTGATTCCTGCGATTGTGAGGAGGGGAGCTGTCCGAAGGCCAGCGCGTTGCCTGTCGCTTCACGTTGTACCATTGAGCATATCTTGTTCATTTGGTCTTGCTCCCTGCTCTGGACCTTCCTCGGCCTCCGCATCGTTTCGGTTGGGGTTGCACCTTGACGACGTCCAACCTTTAAAAAAAAAAAAAAACCAACAACCACTTTATTTCCATTGAAGGTCAAAGGCGGGGGAATGCGCTGTCCTGGGGCTTTGTCTGCGCGGCGCGAGATTGGCTATGCGTGGCGTTGCTTGGAAGGACGGGACGCGGGATTGGGGCGGGGAGGGGCGCGAACAAGAACGAAAAAGGGCGGCTTTTTTTTTTTTTTTTGGTTTTCTCGTATCGATCTAACTCGACCTTTGGCGTCCGCTTGCTTGGAGGCGTGAGTCGAGGTCGGTCGCCTCGGCATGGGCGGCGCTGCTGTGGTGCTGATGTGAGGCACGCAGCGGATGCCGGTCTGCACGCACTCTGGCCAGCAGCGAAAAACCAGAGTTCAGGAAAGAAAGGGAAAAAAAAAAAAAAAAAAGCCGCCATTTCGAGTTTTTTATTTTTTTTTATTTCAAAAAAAAACAAGCGGAAGTTTTTTTTTTTTGAAGTTTTTCTTGTATCACAAGTTTGTCAATCACAACCGAATGCTTCGTCCTCGATACTGGTTTCCAACGAATCGAGCTCTCGTGCGTGCCGAAACTCGCTCTCCTGAGCTCTGAACTGTCGGTCTTCGGAAGAGCATCGAATTTTTTTTTGTTTTTTTTTTATGGTTTCTTTTTTTCCTGAATTTTTTTTTTCCTTTTCCTTGTTTTTTGTTCTTGCCTTTTTTTTTTTTTTTTTTTTTTTTTTTTTTTTTTTTTTTTTTGGCTTTTCCATCCGATCTGATTGCGATTTTTCGCCTCGATTGAGCAATGATGCCCTCCTCGACGACAACACTCGAACGGCGTCGAGAGAGGACAAATTGTCGAGTGAGCAACCTGATTGACTGTTCGGAACAACGCACGAAACAGAGCTGAAGGAGAGGAGGAGAAAGGGGGGGGGGAAATACCACCCCCTGCTAGTCACGCTGGAAAGAATTTACCGTGCACTGACGATGATGACCTGATGACCACGATCAAGTGAGGTGGGACACAGTGCGTTGGACTGACTTGCTGAAATCTCAATGTCACCAAAAACCCCACACAAACAGGCGAGTTCATCAAGACATGGCGCCCGCGTTACTTCCAACTGTGCAGCGACGGCTCGTTCCGCGGCTTCAAGGAGTCCAAGCCAGTCGCTGACGAAGAGCCGCTCAACCTGTTCCACGTCTCCAACTGCCGCATCAAGCTCGCAGACAAGATCAAGAAGACGGCCTTCACCATCACCTTCTTCCAGCTCACCTCGTACATTGAGCGCATCTTTTACACGGAGACCAAGGAGGACCGCGAGGACTGGATCAAGCACATTCGCTCCATCGCCGACCGGCTCCAGGACGAGCAGGCCAAGTCGCCCGAGCCGTCCGAGGCGTCTGCAGACAAGAAGCTCAACCTGGAAGACTTTGAGATTCTAAAAGTCCTCGGCCGCGGCACCTTTGGCAAGGTAGTACTTGCCCGCAAGAAGGACACGCGCGAAATTATGGCCATCAAGATTCTCAAGAAGGAGGTCATCATGGCCAAGGATGAGGTTGCACACACCATGACCGAGAACCGAGTTTTGCAGAAGGTATGCAGGCCGATCTGTTTGTTTGTGAGATGTTTTGTTACATTTTGTGCACTCATTTTTTATTTTTATTTTTTTTTTGGCTGTCCTCTTTGTGTGTTCTGCCACATCGCAGGTTCGCCATCCTTTCCTCACAGAACTAAAATATAGCTTCCAAACGGAGGATCGACTGTGCTTTGTCATGGAGTACGTCAACGGAGGAGAGCTCTTCTTCCATCTCTCGCGTGAGCGCAAGTTCCCAGAGGAGCGTGCCAAGTTCTACGCTGCCGAAATCCTCTTGGCAATCACGCATCTTCACGACCTAGACATTGTTTACAGAGATTTGAAGGTAGGGCTCGCTACAAGTCGTCAGCTGAGGGTTTTTTTTTTCTGTGTTTTGCTCACTGTTTTCTGTCTCCCTTTCACCCCCCCCCCCACCTTCTTCTCATTTAGCTCGAAAATTTGCTCATCGACAAGGAGGGCCACATCAAGATTACCGACTTTGGTCTGTGCAAGGAAGATGTCGGCTTTGGAAACACGACCAAGACCTTCTGCGGCACGCCCGAATATTTGGCACCCGAGGTGCTCGAGGACAACGACTATGGCCGCGCAGTGGACTGGTGGGGCCTTGGTGTTGTCTTGTACGAGATGCTCTGCGGCCACCTGCCCTTCTACAACCGCGACCACGAGGTGCTCTTTGAGCTCATCCTCAAGGAGGAGATCAAGTTCCCTTCGTCCCTCAGCCCTGCCGCTGCCTCGCTCCTGGCGCAATTGTTGCAAAAGGATCCCAAGAACCGCCTCGGCAATGGAACGCGCGACGGCCGCGAGATTATGGAGCATCCCTTCTTTGCCAACATCAACTTTGACGACATGTACAACCGTCGCGTGCCTCCGCCCTTCCTGCCCAAGGTTGCATCGGATATCGACACGAGCAACTTTGACGCCGACTTTACTTCGGAATCCACGCAACTCACCCCGCCAGAAGAGAGTGCGCTGAGAAAGACTGCTGACGCTGAGTTCCAGAACTTTACCTTTGTCGCCGACAGCACATTGAAGCAGCAGTAAAGAAAAAAACCGCAAAGGCATGACGACGCATGTTACAACACTCACAAAAAAAAGCAAGCCAAGTCTACTCTTCCCCCTCCCTCCCTCTCCCAAGCGAAAAAAAAAAATCGAAAAAAAAAAAGTTCTAGCGCTTGATTTCTGCTTTTTCTCAATGCAAAGAACTTTGCTCTGCCCTTGATGGACATTATGTTGCATGTTTATCGCTGTTGCTGTTGATTGTGTTGTTGTTGTTGTTGTTGTTTTTGTTTTTGTGTGTCTGGGTTGCGCTCTCACCTAGCGTGAACTGACCGGCTTCGTTTCTGTATCTCTTTGCATGCTGTTGCTTTCTGTGTTCCTCCCGCTTCCTTTTTGCCTTTATTTCAGTGTGTCTGTTTTGTTGCAAATCCATTGTGTCAATCATCATCTGAGTTGTTTCGAACTGGGTTTTTGTTTTTGTTTGTTTGTTTGTTTTTCCATCGCATCATCCACATTGTTGAATCCAAACACCGACCCTCGTCGTGCTTGTCTCATTGAGTCATCCACTCCGATCTGCCATCGACTCTCAGCCAAGCTCAGTCTCTGAAAAAAAAAAAACAATCGCATGTCCCAGCCATCTGCGGACTCGGTCGCCGAATGGCTCCTCGCGCGGCAGTTCCACCTGACTGCGCTCGAGCTGCACATGGAGCTCGTTGAGAGTGGCAGTCGCGATGTGCCTGCCCTCAGCCAGTTCATGGCCTCGCTCGACGCAACCAGCGCGCGAAACGCACCAGGTGTTCCAGGTGAGAAAAGGGCAATCCAATTCCAGCCAAAACGCCGACAGCCTCGCCAGAACAGCGATTTGCCGGACCTTCCCGAGCTGCATTGCGCGTTTGGTGAATGCGTCAACGTTCGTTCTTTGGTGCTGTCGTTGGCTTGTTTCTCTTGACTCTGCCAAAGGCTGACCTCGATCAAAGAACCAGCAAAAAAAAAAAAAAAAAAAAAAAAAAAAAAAAAAAAAAAGGAAAATTCAAAAGCAAAAAACGAGATCTCACATTCTTGGATTCGAGGAGTGGGCAAAAAAAGTGGTCGAGACCGAAAGTGAAGAATGAAGCGAGTAGATCACGATTCCGGTGGCGCTGGGTCGGAGCGGCAACCGGGAAGCGGTCGTTTTGGGACGGAGAAGAGCTGGAAGTGTGCTGACGTTTTGCTCTCACTCTGCATCATAGTGGCGCGGGCAAGCCAGGCAGCTGCAATGCAACAGCACGCTGCAATCGACGAGCTGTACACAAACATGGAGCAGCAAGACCTGCTGCAGGAGAAGGAGGAGCGGCTGGCCGTGGTCGAGTTTGAGCTGCGAACCGCGCAAGACTCCATCAAGGCGCTCAAGGAGTCGATCGCACTCACGGCCAGCAACAACGCTGGTGGCGCACCCAGCCAGCTGCATCTCAACCTGCCGGCAGTGGACGACGAAGCGCGGCTCCGGTCGCCAATCAAGCCCTACGAGCAGCGCGCGCTCAACTACCTCGTCAACACGTACCTCCTCGAGGCCAGCTACCGTCTCACATCCATTACCTTCTCCGATGAGGTGACAAACCAGAATGTCGAGAGCTGGGAGGATGTCGGCGCCAACATGGACCAGCCGCCGCGACTGCTCGAAATCTTCCGCCGTCTGTACAGCCACGTCTCGTTCAAGGAACAGGGCAAGTCGCAGCTCTCGAGTCTGGAAACGGAGGTAGATTCCTTGCGATCCGAACTCGCTGCGGCCAAGGCCTCCATCAAGAAGCTGGCCGCGGAGAACACCCAGCTCAAAAGCCGGGTGCAAGCAGGGCCCAGTGTGGCTGCCCCCGTCGCTGCCAAGAATCCCGACGAGTTGCCAGCTGCTCGGAAGGTAGGGCGGTGTAGCGGACTGTGTTGTGACTGGTGTATTCTGTGTTGCGCCTCCTCATCTGTTTGACCGTTTTGGTTTTGTTTTGGTTTGTTTGTTTTGGTGTTGTTTTGTGTTCTTGGCTCTCTCATTTCTGCCATGGCAGCTCGTACTCCCCCAAACCCCCATCCACAGCCGACTTCTTGGCGCTCTCCAAAAGGACTCTTCGTCGCGCATCAATATCGAGATCGCTTCCGTTCCGGACGACAGCGAAGGCCTGGTTTGGGTGCTTGGTCGCTCACTTCCGAATGTCGTTCCGAACGTTCTGCTCAACAAGCGAGAGGTACGGTCATAACACGTGTCAGGTTGCTGTTCTATTGGTGAGAGGTGAAGGAGGCAAAGTGCTGTCGTGTGCTGAAGCTGACCGTTGGGCGTCTTCGGCACAATTTCAATCTAGGAATTGGTTCCGCTGATCCTGGCCGGTATTCGCCTGCATCCCGACAAGCCCGCAAGAGAAGCCCTGCTGAATCAGCTGTTCAGCCTGGTCAAAAAGCCAGAGCCGACCCAACGCGCCGTCATTGTGAGTGGCTGCTCTTCGCTTGCCGCATGCCTGCCAGACGCCCGAATTGCGAGCGAGTTTTTGCCCCAAGCATGGGAGTTGGTAGCAAACAAGTACGTGGAGCGTCGCATCTTGGTGGCCGACTTGTGCGGCGCGATTGCTCCGTTCTTGGCGCCTAAATTCCGCGAGGCGGCGCTCTTGGACAACTTGAAAACCTTGCTGGAAGACAAGAGTGAGGAGGTGCGCGAGGCAGCTGTCAAGTCGTTTGCGCTCACTGTCTCCGTCATGGGCACGAGCACATCGGCAGCAGCGTGCTTGGAGAAGATCCAGAGCATGCTGCTGACTGCCTTGAAAGATCCGGTGGACAAGGTCGTCGCCGTCTCGCGGCAGCAGCTGCTCCCCGCCTTTTGCGAGTGGAGCGCGGAACTTGGTGTGCTGCAGTCCAAGTTTGGAACGTCGCTCCTCCAGAACGTCACCAAAGCCATCAGCTCGGACGGTCGCCGTCAACTGGCTGACACTTCCGTCATGGAGATGGAGCTCACTTTCGGCGTCGTCCGAATGGTCCTCCCATTCTTGTTTTACCACGTCATCAGGACATCGCCGTTCTATGTTCCGGCGACCTTCACCCAGCCTCCCGCACATCTCGCCGCGGAGGCGAACGGCGAACCTGCGCCACCGACTGCCGCTGGCTCGGAAGAAGTTGATCTCTTCCACTTGGATCTTCTTCTTGGCGACGATGCAACTGCATCCAAGTACCGCACGCAGCTCGACACCTTCATTGCTCAGCACGCTGTCGCGCCCGAGTCGCTCAAGCACAATGCCAGCTTCTGGCCTGCCCTGAACTGGATGGTTGAGACCTTGTAAGTGTGTGTTTTTGAACAGCAGCGTTTCATTGCTGGTTGTCGCGATTTGTGCCATTTTCCCTTGATTCTTGTTTCTTGTTTCTTTTCTGTTTTCTTATCTTCTGACCTGCTTTGTTTACTCTTTGCACAGCATTCCTAATCTGTTGAGCATTGCCGTCTCGGTGGACATTTCCAACGCTTCGTGCGTCCGTGATCTAGTGCTGGCTATTTCACGCCTTGTGAAGATATTTGGAAGTGCATTTGCGCTGCAAGTCGTCAAGCCGCTTTTCTTGCAAGTGTTGAATGCATCTGCCTCCAACGAGGTTGAGCTGCTTGCGCGTACGTTGACCGAGTTCTATTTGACTGGTGAAAATTCGTTGATGTCGACTGATCCTGTTTTTTTTTTTTTTTTGTTTGTTTGTTTGTTTGTTTTTGCATCTGCCCCACCCTCGCGCTCTCTCTAGTTCGAACGCGTCGCACGCGTACCCTTTCCATCTACGTTCAAGGCGTGCTGGCCGCATTGCCCGAGCCTGTGGCCAAGCCAGAAGTGTTGAACTACATCAAGCAGCTGACTCTGAATGTTGCCCTGCAACAGGGTCAGTGGCTGCTTGACCAGATGCCCGCCTTGACCGCCGTCGTTGCCGATCTGTGGTATGTCTCCGATGCGTGTCGGTTGTGTTTGCTTGGGGTTTGTGTTTGTGTGTGTTTCCGCGTGTCTTCGTGTGATGTTTCTCATTTGCTCCGTTCCTTGGCTCCGGGCAGCGAACATCGCATTTTTGTCAAGGAGATGGTCGAGATCATGTGGGATTTGTTGGTACATCCGACGCTGGCCGTACGCTTGTGCATCGTGGAGGTTTTCCGTGTGTTGGTCAAATTTGTCGACCCGCAAACCACCGCCAAGCGAGTCCTGCCTGCTCTTATTACGCTTTCATCTGATCCCGAACCGTACGACCGAATTGCTGCGCTTGTGTGGAGATGCGTGCAACGGCGTGTTGACTCATCGTTATTTGTTTGTTTGTCTGTTGGTTGGTCTTTGTTGTTTGTTTGGGGTTTGTTTCATCAACCGCTGTTTTGCAGAGAGGTACGACACGCCAGTATCGCCACGTTTGGCTCCATCGCAATCAGCAGCCCTGAAAAGCCTATTGTGGAAAAGGTCAAGATGCAATTCCTCACGCTTCTGGAAGACCCCGACCGAACGATTGCTGTTGAGGTTCTCAACACCTTCCGCGCAATCATTCCGCAAGCTGAGCCTCAATTCCGCGATGAATGTGAGTGCATCTAGGAGGGGGAATTGACTGTTGGACATTTGCGTTTCTTTTATTGTTCGGCGACTGACCATGCTTTGGTTCATTTGGGCTCTCCTCCCCCCCTTCTCTGACTGGCTCTGTAGTCATCATCCACCGAGTTTGTCTCATGTCAACCAGTTTGGGCGAAGATCGCACCAACGCGGCGACGCCGAACATTCTCGAGCCTGCCGAGCTGCGAGCTCGTGCGGGTGTAGCAACCGCACTTCTTGATGCCATGAAGGCAACGCTGCAATGCTGTGAGGCTTGCGCTCGCTTGGTCTTGTTTTGTTGTTGCTGGAAGAGTTTCTTCTCATGTTTTCTGGTTGATTCTCCACAGTCATCGCCGACGAGATCATTGCTGACGGTGTGGCTCCCGCAATTCGGCAATTGCGCAAGGCCGTGACATTGTTTTCTGATTCGCAACGCGAAGACTTGGATCGGTTGATTGCTGAGTGTGATGCCAAGATTATGGCTCGCAATTCTTTGAGGTAATCAAATCTTGACTTATTGTTGGATGACTGGCCTTCTGGTGACGACTGTCTCACTTCTCTTGACAGCTTAAAGAGCGAGGATTCGACCCGCAACAAGCTCATCAAGGGCCTCATTGCCGCTGCCAAGAACGAGCCAATGCCACCGTCCCGCCCATCTGCCCCTTCCGTTAGCTCGTACACGGCCGGCGCAGGCACGGGCAATCTCAGCATCACCACTTCATCCGGTGGCCCTGTGCCCGTGACGCAAACGAATGCCGTGCAAGAGAACAAGGCGCTCAAGAGCATGACTGATCTCTTCCGTCGCAACAAGTAACACTCTCCGTGCCTTCCCGACTTTTTTTCCTGTTTGATCGGGTTGACAACAATCCAGTGTGTTTGATACTCCTACACCTCGTCATGTTTGCAGAAGTAAATTTCAAATGCAATACAGAACGAGAGAAAATTTGGTGCTGTTCAGATTTGGGAATCCACCACGGAAGCCATCTTTGCGATGACCACAGATAAGATTCGGCAGAGGAAGACGAGCCGCACAGGATCACCGCGACACGTCCACTGGTGCTGTTGCCCAATGCGTGCAGTCCAGCGAGCGTTGAACGAAAAGGGGCGTCACTGGCATGACGATAGCTCTCGTCCAGCTCATCGATGATGAGGAGCACCCTGAGGTTCAAATCCCGCAACTGGTCGAGCAGGACGTTGTGTGCACACCTGTCGTCGCACTGCCGCAGTACCTCATCAGGGGCGCCCAGAGCTTGGAGAATGGCAGAGAATGCGCCATGGCGATGATTCAGCGCATGATTTGGATTCGCGGCACCAGTGTAGTTGATGTAGTGGAAGAACACTCGGCCAGAGCTGTCCCGTCGTGTACCAGAGGTCTAGGGTCGTGGCTCAATAACTCTTTTGTTTATTCACTATTTTAAAGCAGGGTGGCCGACTTCAAACATCGTGTTCCTACTTTGGGATGTCGCTCTACATCTATTCATGATCACCGTCATAGTCATCTTCATAATCATCATCATACCCCTCGACAGCAAGTTCGGAGCGCAGTTGTTGAAGCTCCTGCTCTTTGACAACAAGCATCTGATCTTTGGCAGCAATCATCTGATCTTTGACAGCAATCATCTGATCTTTGGCAGCGAGCATCTGTTCTTTGGCAGCGAGCATCTGGTCTTTGGTAGCGAGCATCTGGTCTTTGGTAGCGAGCATCTGGTCTTTGGCAGCCAACTCCAGGTTTTTGACAGCCAGCTCGGAGCGGAATCGCAGAGTTTCAGTCGGAAGAGTGACTGAAGTTTGAGACTCGGTGTATTTCCGAGCACGAACAGCAGTCCGCTGGCTGTTCAGTGAAGGTTGAGACTCGGTGTATTCCCGAGCGTATTCCCGAACAGCAGTCCACTGGCTGTCCAGCTCCCTACTCGCAAACCGATTTTCGCCACAACAAGTGAATGGTTTGCTTTTCAACTGACTTCATACGACAATTCAATAAACATGCAAAGTCCTACTTCAGCTTGCAAGTGGTATTGCCCGATCGCCGGAGCGCAGAGACTCCAACCTCGGTCAAGTAATTCGTACCCAAGCTAGTGTTGTCGGTTACGTGGTCAGACTGTGGCATGAGTCCAACGACCGTCCAAGAAGCATGAAGAAGCAATCGACACTTACTAGAGTTCGGTCAGCGTCCTGTTCAGTTTGAGTGCCTCAGCAATCGCGCTCGCTCCACCATCGCCAATCTGATTGGAGTTCAGACTGTCCATCCCCTCCGTACGTGAGCACTCGATATGCCATGGGCTGGATCCCTCAACTATGTTCTCGTGAAAGTGAGATGACTCACTGGAGCATAGACAGCCTCTTGTTTGCTTTGAGTGCCTCTGCAATCGCCCTCGCTCCATCATCCTTAAGCTGATTAGAGAACAAGCTGTGTGTCCATCAGTCAGCAGGGACCTTTGCTGGATCACTCACAATACGTCAGTTCAAGGGAGACGACTTACAGGAGCTTAGTCAGCGTTGTGTTCACTTTGAGTGCTTCAGCAATTGCCTGCGCTCCGGCGTCGCCAATCTGATTGCCGTACAGACTGTCCGGTGACTTGCATCATTCAGAAAGACCGTTGCTGGAGCATTCACAGTGCATCGGTTGAAAGTGAGACGACTTACTTGAGGTAAGTCAACCTCATGTTCACTTTGAGTGTCTCGGCAATCGCGCGCGCTCCAGCATCGCCAATCTGATTTTGGCCCAGACTGTCCATCGCCTCCATCAGTGAGCATTTTGACTACCCTCTGTTGAAATCACTCACTCGAATGCATCAGTGATTGCAAAATGACTTACTTCAGATCTGTCAGCGTCGTGTTGACTTTGAGTGTCTCAGCAATTGCGCGCGCTCCAGCGTCGCCGAGCTGATTCTCATCCAGACTGTGCGTCCCCTCCACCAATGAGCCACTTTGAATACCCTGCTTGTGACGACCCATTCACGCGCATCAGTGATTGCGAAATGACTTACTTGAGCCTGTTCAGCCTCCTGTTCTCTTTGAGCGCCTCGGCAATCGCCCACGCTTCATCCTCGCCAATCTGACTGCAATCCATGCTGTCATCCATATCGTCAATATGCGCGTTTGCCACACTGTCCAATAACCTCGGCTTTTTCTCTTACTCGAGCGCTTTGCACGCATTCTCGACTTTGTCAAACAACTCGCGTTGTCTCTCGCTCATATTCTGGCATGACAGCATTGCAAGAGCGTTCAATCAAAGTATATGTAACAATCAAAACAAAGACTGCGCCCTTTTCCACTCAAAGCTGACGTTTCGATTCTTCTTGGACCAAAACGCAACGTCGAACATTCGACTCTCGATAAAGTACAGTACTGTATGCAATCAGGCCATCACCATGCACACAGAAGCGAATCCGACAAGCGCCTACCGTATCAAGTTGGCTGTGCGATCTTTTATGACCTCAAGCGTCCAAATGCTGCAGATCAACGATTAGTTGTGCGATATGTCTCTCGGGACGAATATCGACGCCAGGTCCTTGGCGCTGACTGTCAAGTGTCCTGATGATGTGATTCGACCAGAACTATGTGATTAGTTCGAGCAGGAGCCACAGCAGTGGTTTCCGCGCTCCCGATCACGAAGCGAAGATCCACGGCAATAATTTGCGCTGCGTTGGCGATCGAAACAACACAAGCTGGTTGCCGTGCTTTTAGTTCGATGATGTTCACTTTGATCTTCTTATTTTTTTGTTTGATTGTCTTATTGTTTGTCTGATTATTCTTGAAGCAAACAACCCTTCCAATCTGCACTGAGAACCGGAGCAATTGCATCAACAACCGATCGACCTTTCGAATTTTACGACTAAAACTCCAAAAACTCCAAAAACACGCAGTCTCTTTTTGTCTCTTTTTGGAGCTTTTTCTACTGTTTCTTTCCAATGACGTTGCTGGACGTGCTTCTTCACCCGTGGTCGCTGCAAGTCGCCGGCCTGGTGACGATTCTCGGCGTCTTCAAGTTCTGCGAGAGTCGTGCTGCGATGCGTGGCTGCCACCGCCGTGCAATGCCTCGTGCGTTTTTCGTTTGCATTTGCGTTGTTGAGCCTTCGACTGTCTCGCTCGCGTTTTTTCGTCAGCGGGTTGCGTATCGACTGCGCTCTGCCTCGGCTCGATTCTTCTCGCGCCCATTTGAGCAATCATCACTGAGCGAGGGCGCGTGAAAGGCGTGAGAGGCAGGTGGAACGTGAGCAAAGAACTGAGTAGGACAAACCCGCCCCGCTCGTGGCGTGTACCCATTTTATCATTCTAGCCAAAATGACACCCCACACTGCCCCCCCCTCAACTCATCGGACCAAAGGTGCATGAGAGAGCGTTTTTCGATCATTTGCAAAAGTCAACCATTGCAGGCATCTGTGCTTTGGAGTGGCGAGTCGGTGTGAGACTGGGCCTCACAGTGAAACGTGTCATTGCTTTTTGACCACGACTTCCCCCCCCCCCACATGTCACCCCCTCTGTCACTCTGATCTGACCCGACCCAATGCGACGATGGTGAAACAATCGTACCCATATTGTTTGTGACTCGTTTTGCTGATTTCGCTACTCGTTCTCTGTTGGAAATTCACAGCAATGGTCGACAAGGCGCTCCGCGTCGTCTTCTTCACCATTCTCGTTGGCCCGTTCGCATGGTTTATGGACACCACCGTCCTGCCCTTCCCGATCGTCATCCCGTCGTGCATTGTACGTTGCTCTTTTGTTACTTGTGCTCTTGAATTCATTTCGACGGAAGCAGAAAAAAAAAACGCAATCTTGAGCAAGATTCGCTTCCGAGACGTTGACTTCGTGTCGGAGAACGCTTGTTTGAAAATATGCGATCGACAACCCTTCGGATTCTCGTCCAACATTGTGTTGCAAACTCGAACTTTGCTATGGAGCCCTGTTGTTTTGGTGCAACAAGCAATGTGTGCTGACTTGTGGCTTTCTTGCTGTCTTCCTCTAGTTGTACCTCTTCACATACACGGATTTGTGCGAGCAGTCCGGCGGCCGCAAACCCGTCGCTCGCAAGTGGCCTGTATTCGAGCTGCTCCGAGTAAGCATTTGATTTGACGTTTTCTCTGCGTCGAACAATCTTTTCCGTCCGCTCACGCAACGGTGGGGGAAACACATTTATAGAAATACTTTAGCGTCTCCATCGTCAAGACCGCAGACCTCGATCCCAAGAAGCAATACATTTTTGGCTGCCATCCGCATGGCATTTTGCCTTTCGGCACGATGGTGGGCATGGGCTACCAGTTCCCTGGCGGTTTTGCCGATCTGTTTCCTGGTAAGCATTTGCATGCATGCGCGGGTGCTGGGCGAGTCGGGGCCCCGGGCGTGTCGTTGTTTTGCACCTCTTCATCCACCCATTCCTCTCTTGCTCTGTTGAAATTGAGCAGGCGTCGACTATCGCGTTCTGGCAGCGACGTTCTGCTTTTATCTCCCCCTCTACCGCGACCTCCTGCTCGCCAGTGGTGTGGTGGACGCAGCTCGCTACTCTGCTCACAAGATCATGCGTAATGGCTACTCCATCACGCTTGTCCCTGGCGGAGGTGAGTTAAGCAATTTGCGTTTTGCGTTTCGAGTGGTTCCAAACGGAAATATCCCATCACTCTCCCTCTCTATCGTCAATCTAATTATCCTTCGTACTCTTGTTATTACCTGCTTTGCTATTTTCAGCAACTGAAGCACTGTACGCCAACCCAGACAAGGACGTGGTGGTGCTGAAAAAGCGACGCGGTTTCGTTCGCCTTGCCCTGGTACGTTTTTCTTTTCTTCGTACCTGCATTCAATGGTTTTTTGTGTTTGTGGTCGTCTAACCTTTGCTTTCTGCACAAACAACTGTCGATTCATCCTGTAGGAGCACGGCGCGTCTCTGGTCCCTGTTTTCGGCTTTGTAAGGATGAAACTTTTTCATTTGAAATCTGAGTCAACCATCGTTGTCCTTGAAGCTAACCTTCCTCTCTTCATCTGCGGCACAGAACGAAAACAACACGTTCAAGCAAATGGCATCAGACAACAAGACCATGCACGCATTGAAGAAGCAATTCCAGAGCATCTTTGGCATTTCGCTGCCTCTGATCACCAACATCATTCCTCGTCGAACCAAGGTCACGGTGGTCGTCGGTCGGCCGATCGAGGTTCCCAAGTCGCCCGAGCCCAGCGATGAGCAGGTTCAAAAGTACCTCGATCTGTACATTGAAGGGCTCAAGCAGCTGTACCGGGAAAACAAGGACAAGTACAATGAGCCGAGCACCAAGCCAGACCTTGAAGTGCTTTAATTTTGTTGTTCTTAATGCTGTTTGAATGTTTTTGCGCTTTTGTTCCAATTCACTCGATTTCGCACCCAAAGTACAGTGTTCGTTACAGGACAGTAGTATGTTTTGAGAAGAAAAAAAAGTGGCTGAAGGCGCGGACAACAGTGTATTCGAACGTTCAACTGAAGCAACACTGAGCAGACAACGACTTGCCCAGCCTCAGAACAAGAAAAGCGGGTTCGAACCAGAACAAAGCACCTGCCGAGTGGTTACTTAGGCGGGTAGCCCTGGGGAGGGTAACCCTGCTGGGGAGGGTAACCCTGCTGCGGCGGGTAGCCCTGTTGCGGCGGGTAGCCCTGTTGCGGCGGGTAGCCCTGCTGCGGCGGGTAGCCCTGCTGCGGCGGGTAGCCTTGCTGGGGCGGGTAGCCCTGGGGCTGAGGCTGGCCCTGGATGTAAGCGTTGCGGTTGGGGTCGGCGACGACAACAACTTGACCGGCACGGACACCAGGGTGAACAGAGCTGGGCTGACCAACAGGCATGCGCTTGTCAAGCTCGACTTCCTGCTGGGTCAGCAGGCAGCCCTGGAACATGATGTAGCAGCATTGAACAACGCAATCGGCTGCCAACGAAAAAAAGGAGAAAAATGAGCACAATCTGCAGCAACCGAGCACAATCTGCAGCAACCATCCACAAAAATCAAGCCGACCGATCTCGCGACTCGTACCTTCGAACGGAATCGGAACAAACAGGCCAACAATGAAGAAAACCCACGAGAAGATGCAAGCAAAGAGAATGAGGAACGAGTCAAACCAAGTGTTCTGAACGACCAAAGAAATGACAACGTGAGCGGTTTGCAGAGCTTCAACGACACTGTTTGGGGATATGCCATCATCGACTAGTACCTGGACATAGAAGCTCGACTGGATGAGCCAGCGGTTGCCAGAAAGAGCACACCAGAAGCAGAAGAACGATTCGAGGCAGAGGCAAAAGTAAGGGCAGCCACGAGCAGTGTCGCCGCAGCAGTCACCGCAGATAACACCGCCGCAGCAAGCTGTCGAGAGTCAAAAAGAATGAAACATGAGAACATTGGTATGAGCACAAAAGACAATGAAACAACGGAACAGCTATTGGAAAAAAAAAAAAAACGTACAGTAGCGGTTCTTGAGGTCGTTCTCGAGAATACGGACACGCTGGGTGAAGACAAAGCACCAGGGAAGACAGCATCCGTAGAGGAAGCTCACTGTGTGTACGAAAGAACGAAGGGGGGGGGGGTGAGAAATGCAACACTTGTCGGCAAAAGCTCCAAATCAAGAACAAGTGAGCCAGGATGACGTACGGGGCGAAGCGCACGGGGCGGCGCAGATGCCAACCTCCCAGGTGTTCTCGTAAGCTGTGCAACGTGATCACAATAGAATTGGAAGCAAAAAAAAAAACCAAGAGCGACATGAACGTGAGCGAAACCAAAAAAAAGCAATGGAAAAGAGTTGAAGTTTTAAAAAAAAAAATACAATAGAAAACAATAAAGAATCAACGAGCCGACATTTTGAGAAGTTTTGTCGGCCTGGGAGAAATGAAAAAGCGGGCAGGGAAATGTGTGATGCTGATGGAATGGAGTGGGTACAGCTAGCAGAGAGAGAGTGGAGGACGGAATGGAGAAGAGCGCCGAAAGTCGAAAGGGAAAGAAAAAAAAAGAAAAAAAAAGTTCACAAACGACCCATGAAGAAGAGCAAGCAAGGAAGCGCAGTCCATCGCAGTGGTCGGTTTGGTGTGATGGTTTGTCGCTCCCTCACGGTGGCATGTTGGTCGCACTCAGCCGTCGGCGCCAGCGGGAGAAGGGACGGGCTTAAGAGCATGTTCGATCTATCCAAAAAAAAAAAAAAAAAAAAAAAGAATCGTCTTCTTTGCATTGCGCTCGCTCTGTGCTGCTGCGCGGGCTGCCACTGGCTGTGGGAGAGTCCACAGCCCAAGTGCATTGAGGATGCGCTGCCATTCTTGCCGCGCTGGTCTGCTTGCTTTGTTTGTGACTCGCTTCCCGCCATTCGCCATTTTTTTTATTATTTTTTTTAATTTTTTTTTTTTTTTTTAGATGCTTTTTAGATCGCTTTTTTTCATTATGCATTGCTGAGAGGATACATTGTGGAGCGACATTGGGTGCCCCATGCAAAGTGCTGCGATGGAAGACCACACAAAAGATTCAGAGAGAAGAGTAGGGAAAAGTAGGGAGAAGCGAAAAACGCACAATCGGCGACTTTCTTGTCGATAGATTTGCCCATGCTCAGAAAAAAAAAAAAAAGTGAACATTGTATCTTAGCACTCAAAATAGGAAAAACGGGCAAAAATGGCGAATTGTTTTGCTGGCTAACTTTCTTTTTTGAAGACAACAACAAGAACAACAACAACAACAACAACAACGAAACAACAACAAAACAAGAACAAGTGTGAAACAAACCCAAACTCTTGCTCACGTTTCTACTCAGATAAACACTTTTTTTTTTGTTCGGTTTATGGTCGCCTTGTTTAATGTCGCTGGCGGCGAATGCTGCAGGGCTGCTTGCGGCCCTTGAAGGAGCAGGTCATGCGGTTAAAGTCGATCGTAACGGGGACGTTCTTGATCGAGAGCGAAACGACGGCCGCAGAGCCGCCGGCCTTCTTGTGCTTCTTGTAGGCAGAGTTGACGAGCTTGGAGGAAGCGTCGTCCCACTTTTGCCAGTCCTTGCCCTCCTGGACCTCCCAGAAGTGGCGGCTCCCGTCAGTGTGCGAGCTGGCCGATGCCTCCTCGCTGCTCGAGCTCTTCTTGGGGGCTGCCACAGCAGTCGCAGCAGCGGCAGCAGCGGGGGAGATGGAGGACTTTGCTGTCCCGAAGGTAGACTCGTCAGCAACGTGCATCGCTTCCAGCTTCTTGGTGATTTCGCGCGACTTTCGCTGGAGCTTGGCGAGGGACTTTTCCTCCTCCTGGAGACGCTGGGCCTCTTCCAAAACAGCCTTCTGGTGCAAGGAGAGACTCTTGAGGAAGGCGACGCGGCGGCTCTCGTCGCTCTTCTTGGCAGCGCTGACTTCGTCCTCCCAGTACGCCTTCTCGCGCGCATTGAGGCTAGACCACTTCTCGCCGAGCTGCTTTTGCAAGTCGGAGAACTTGATGCCTTCGTGATCGGCGAGGTACGTTTCGCGGGTGCTCTTGACGAACTGGAGGTACGGCGTAATGCCAGTGACCTGCGGCAGGCGCTCGAGCAGATCGGTCATCTCGGGGGTCAGGCGGCTGGGGCGCTTGGGACGATGCGAGTCGCCGTCGTCACCGCCGTCGCCCTTCGAGGCACGCGACGTCTTGCGCTCCTTTCGGGCAGCCTCGCGCTGAGCCACGAGCTCCGGGTTGGCGGCGTTGAAAGACTCGAGCTCCTTCTGGTACTTGCGGACGTCGTTCTCGTACGACTTTTTGAACTTTTCGCGCTGATCCTCCGTCAGATTCTTCCAGCGCTCACCGAGCAGCCTGGCGATGTCCTTGTACGGCACGTTCGGATTTTGCTCACGGACTGCCGCTCGGTGCTTTTCCGAGAACTTGATGAAGGCGGTACTGCGTGAGAGGGACGAAACAAAGACCAAAACCAAAAAAGAAAAAAAATGAGTCTTGAGCATTGTTTGTGCAAAAAATACCCCCTTGTACTCTAGTACTCTTGGAATGTTGGATGGGGAAACTCGCACATCCCGAAGGCTAGCTTTTCCGGAATACTTACGCGGGCCGGTGGGGTTCGCCAGGGAGACGCTCGGACTTTTGACGGTTCTTGGCGACCTTGGCCATCTCGGGATGCTCGGCAAGGTACTCTTCCATGTCTGCCTTATACTTGACGAGAAGGGCCTCGGCTTGACGCTCAAACTCCTTCTTTTTGGCGGGAGGGAGCTCCTTCCACTCCTTGGCAATCAGGGAGATGATTTCCTGCACAGAGAGGTCGGTGCGCTTCTGCTTGAGCGACTCGCGGCGCCTCTTGACGAAGAGGGCGTAGCCGTTCGGCGGGCGCTTGGGCGCGTTGGGATCCTTTTCCATGGCGTCCTTCTTGCGACGGCCGCGGATGCGCAGAGGCTCGGAGCTCACCTTGTTCTGCTGGACCGCCCAGCCAAACAGCACGCTCAGCAAGAAGACGTTGTCCTTGATGGGCTTGCGAGCTTTGATCTGCGGAGGAGGAAGTAAAACGAACGAGTCAGTCCGCAAGCAAGAAGAAAAAAAAACAAGCGAGACAGCAAGGCAAGGCAAGACAAACAATAACACATACCACGCTGAGAAGTTTGGTGAAGCGAGCGCGAATCACTGACGCCGAAAGCTTGTCCGTCTTCAATGCCTCCCAGTCGATCGTGTCAACGGAAGCCTGCTCGTCTGCCTCGAACACCTGGGCAAGCTTGGCCAAGATGACTTTGTCGTCGGCATGGAACTCTGGCGGGAAGGCTGTTCGAGGAGGAGGGGAGAAATGTGAGGATGTTGGAGCAAAAAAAAAAAAAAAATGCCAAGAAACGCCTTCCACAAATCAAAACAAGCACTCGCACCACCACGTTACCTTTGCTCTTGGAGTGCTCATCATCGTCGTCATCGTCATGATCCTCGCCCTCTTCTTCGTCCTCCTCTTCTTCTCCTTCTTCGTTCTCCTCTTCTTCCTCGTCTTCGTGATCGTCGTTCCACTCCGAGATGAAGGCGGCGGCGTTGTGCGCCTGCTTTTCGACGTGCTCGTCGTCGTGCTCCTCGTCGTCGTCATCGTCGTCGGGGTATGCAGGAGGCGTGTGCTTGTGGTGCGCGGGCTCCAGGCGGGCCTTCTTGCTGGCGGCCGCAGCAGCAGCCGGAGGAGCCGTTGCGCGGCGCTTTTGCGCACTGGCTGCTGAAGAAGCAGCAACTACCAAATTGGTGAGGCATTCGCAGCGAGTGAGTTTTGGGAGGAAGGAGGCAGCAATCCTCAGCAAGAGCACCATTTTTGGCGATTTTGCGTTTGAAAGTACAAAAAGCGCGCCATTTTTTTTTTCTTTGGTTTTTTTCTATTTTTCTGAATGCAATGTCGCATTCAAAGTGCTCAGGGTGGATGCGCGATAAGCCCTTCAAGCGACAGGGGGCCGTGCCCAGCATGAAACGGGGGGTGCAGGGCAAAGGTTGAGCGATGAAGCTTACCAATTGGAGTTTTGACCATTTTGAAGAGCAAAGGTCCTGACAAAAAGGGAGGTCTGGCGGGCTTTAGTGGACGAGCGTAGGACAAGGAACGAACAGAAAAAAAAAAAAAAAAAAACAGGATTCAAAAAAAAAACGGTGAGTCAAAAGCACAAATTAAAATGAAGCAAAACCGGTTTTTGAGGCTACGAAAATGGACAAATCAACCCGGTCCGAGTACGAAACTGTTCACTACCGCCCTCCACGCCGTATCGGAAGCCAAGTTGAAAAAAAAAAAAGCAATGTGGGCCTTTTGGCATAAAGCGCAGCCGTTCAACGCGCGGACGCGCTGTTGCCGGCCTCTACTCTGCGCCATGCACTACCAGATCAAGGGCATTGAGTGGGTGGTGCGGGGCGGGTGGCGCCCGTGACCAATGCGGGGAAACGCGCGACAAACGCCAAACGCAACAAGGCAATAGAAAACCTGAAAGCGCTTTTTTTTTTCTTTTTCCTTCAAAAAACAGGTTTTTGTTCTAACCAGCGCGACTAACAAAACGTACCCTGGTTTTTTGAAATTTCAACAATGAACTCGCGTGGATTTAAAATGTTTTGGCACTATGAAAATGTAGCAAAGTGCTTTTGAAGTTCTGGAGCAAGAAAAGCGGCGTTCATACAGCACTCCATCTGCGACAATGACGGCAATCGCTGTCTCATATCCAAGGTCGTTTGTTGCCTTGTCGTCGTTGTCGTCTGAAATCGTTCATGCAACAATCTTCTCAGTCTCTGCGAAACAACAATCCCCGATTCAGCCAGAAATCAAGTCGCTCTCTCACCCAGTTCACTTGAGCGGCTCTACTTGGTCACATGAAGGGACTCAGAACTCGACTCTGAGCTCCTGACAAGTGCTGCAAAGGCCAGATCGGGCGCAAAACGCCTGAGATGCAGAAAATTTTCGCTGAAACGCCGGGAGCTCTCCCTGGTCCTGGCCTATCCGAATGTACATCCGCGTTGTTGAGCCTCATTTCCAACTCCACAAGACTCTGCACCCTCGACCAAATGCGCGCTTTTCGCTCTTAATAGTCAGTCTTGTTTTGTTTCGTTTGGAGTTGAAAGATTGCTTCATTCGCTATGATGCTGAATCGCGTCTGCTTCACTTTCTCGCTCCTTCTCTGATGAGTCTGGTGAACAAACATGGAAAAACCTCCCACGCAAGCAAGCGATGGTAAAACCCGCGCGAGGTGGGCAGCAAGGGCGCTCGAAGGGAAGGATGGACGAAAACCATGTGCTTTGGTTGAACTCCGCTTGCCCGAGTCCAGCCTTCCTCCCCTCTCTCCCGATCACGACGCTTGGGCCCCATGGTGTTGCTACAGTAGCACTGCTACGGTGCTCTCCATCGCCGCAGTCGCAACCGACGGGTCTGGTTGAGGACATCGATCGTTCTCCATCTTCGCCATGTGCTTTTTTTTTTTTTTTTTTTTTTGGCGCGATCTCTCCATCTTCCACATCTGGTAAGGCATTTCCACCGACCTTCGACTTGGTTCTCATTTTGAGAGTCTGTCTTTATTTGTTACTCTGCCGTGCTTCTTTTTTTGTTTCGCACTCTTTTTCTGTCTTGTCGATGGATGATATCTGAGATTCGTCTCGCGCAATTGCTAGCCAAAGGGTCCGCGTTTCGCGTGTGTGAGGACTTCTCACTGCACCTCTTGGCGATGAAGCAACCAACTTATAGTCATAGTTACTCTGACGACACTTTTTTTTTGCGTTCTCTTCTGTTGCTTCAGATCGTTGTTTTCGCTTTTCGCATTGTCCTCATGGTATTCGTTCGACTCTATTGATAGTTTTGTAGGATCAAACGTCATATACATTGCAATCTGTTCATGGCTTGCCCGGGAATCCAACGCGCAAAGTTTTAAAGGTAACAAACAAACTCCACCGAGTCTTTTTCTTGTTATCTTTGATCCCTCCTGCTAAGATGATGAATTTTCGAAAATATTATAATCTGTCAATCCTCTGACCGAGAGAGTGAAGACACCTTAATCGAAGAACGACCGCAATCAACGGCGTGCACTGAAATATCTTTTGTCCTTTTTCTACTCTCCTATCTGCTTTGTCTTGCTTGGTTTCCGTGGTGGTTTTTCTTGCTCTCACTCATCGGCTCCTGTGTTTCAATCGTGTCTTTGCCGTTCGCAATGATAGGTACTGTTTTCGCTGAAATGGCAAACCATTCGATGTCACAATTCATAAATAAACATCAACCTGGAGATTCGTCTCAAATCGTGCATCAGTCGTTGTCGTGAGTTACTGTTCACCACACCAGAGCATCACAGAAAGAAGCACAACGACCGCAAAAAGCTCAGACTCTGGCTATGAATGCAATCCTTCAAATGTTCTGCAGACATTTCAAAGCACCAATCGACGACTCTGCAAGTACATAGCACACAATTCAAGTTTGAACCCAAAGGAGAGAGAGATCAGGTGGCTGGTGTTTACCACATTGCACCAATATCGCGGATGGTCGTGCAATCTGCAAAGTGTTTCAAAGCATTGACGAGCTGAGAGAAGCTTGGACGGAATTATGGCGTCGAGTTCCAGCAAATTGTCATCATGTTGTAGAGCATACAGTTCCCTAAGACGGTCAGTCTGAGCAAATGTGAGCTCAGTTCATCTTTTTTTTTCTTTTTTTTTCATCTTTCTTTCTTTTTGTTTTTGGTTTGTTGGTGTGTTTTCCTCCTTTTTGCTCTCTCTTGCTCTCCTTGCTCGCATATGATCACAAGCGTAATGTTCCTGTCCCGAGCCTTGCGAAAAATCCTCAGCGAGAAGGACACTCGAAAGTTCCCAAAGCTGCGCGAGGCCTGCGACAGCGCTCTCGGTAAGCAGTACCACAACCCCACCAGACAGAAGCCGACAAGCAAAATCGAGATTGATGCTCCCTTGCAAGCGAGTCGAGGTTGAGTTGTATGATGGGAGGAGTCGCCGAGAGAATGAGAGAACGAGAGTGGGAGGAAAAAGTTGAGTGAGCGTGCATTAGAGCGACTGCCGTTTCAGCACGCGCGTTTGCGGGGGGGGGGAGTCTGTGGAGGTGACCGAGTCGCAGTGTATGCGTCACCTCTCGTGATCATATACTTGAGGCATGGGGAGCGAGGCGAGAGTGGGGGCCAGGAGGAAAGGCACGGGGGGAAAGGGCGATGCTGTCGTCGTTCTCGTGCGGGTCCTCCTCGCCGTACCACCCTCTTCAGCACGTCGTGAAAGCGCTGTCGACCAGCAAGTGAGAACGCACGCCGCGCGGGTATCCAAGCAAGCGTGGTGCGCTGCTTCGGCTCCCTTCTTTTTTTTTTTTTTTCTTTTTTTTTTCGTTTTCTTTTTTTTTTTTTTTTCTTTTTCTTTTATTTCTTTCATTTGGCCTGCTTTTCCTCTGCGATCGCCGCTCGCTTCGCTGTCGCCCAGCAGCCCCGCACTCTGGCTTTGTCCATTGCCGTGTCCGTCTAGTCCACTTCCCGAAGCAGGCTCGCCCGCCACTTGATCTGGACGCGCAACTCGCTCAAACTGCCACGGCTGCAAACCAGGGTTTTTTATTTTCTTTTTTTTTCCTTTTTTTTTCTTTTTTTTGTTTTTTTTTGTTTGATTAGAGCTAGAGCTTGCAGCGTTTTGTCGAGCGTTGGATGCAATCTTCAACTTACTTTTGTCTGTGATGTCATCGTTCTTGTTGTTGGCGTTGTTTTTGTCTGTGTGTCTCAGCGGACGTCGATGTGGAAATCGCTGCTCAGGAGAAGAAGACGGGCATTCATATTGCAGCGAGGTTTGTCGTTTCCAACTTGGACCAAGCTATGTGTGCTTGTTTGTGACATTGTGGACGGACGACGCATGCGAATTTGCGTGGACTGAGAATCACTGACGTCTGAGAATTTTGTGGGGACGTTGGTTGGCGACTTGCAGCGACAATGACTTGGAAATCACACCGGCGTCCCCGATGCCGCCGCCCACCTCAAAGGACAACTTTGTCAACGCCGACAAGTACTTTTTGCCCTTCCAGCTGGCATGCGAGACTCAGAATGTCAAAATCACAGTCACCACCCTGGATTGTTTGCAGGTACGTGCTTGATGATTCATGCTGCTACTCATCGGTTCGTCGACACTGATCGTGCCACCTGTTGTAACACCTGGCGTGCGTGTGCTCTTTGAACCCCCCGCCCCCTTGTTCCTCCTCTTGCTTTGGATCTGACCAGAAACTGATCGCTTATGGACACTTGCGTGGAGACTTGCCGCTCAAGTCCAACCCAAACAAGAAGCTCATCGACCTCATCGTTGAATCCATTTGCAGCTGTTTCATCAACGACAGCACGGATGAGCAAGTCCAGTTGCAAATCATCAAGGTAAGACGGTGGTGGCTCGGTTTGCGTTTGGCCGGGCATTTGGCTTGAAAAACTGGGCTGACCACCTAGAATCTTGATCTCCACACCCACTCATATTCCCACGACAGGCTTTGCTCACAGCAGTCACATCCAACACTTGCGAAATTCACGATGCTGCCCTGTTAAAAGTCGTGCGCACCTGTTACAATATTTTCTTGGCGAGCAGAAATATTGTCAACCAAACCACGGCCAAGGGCACGCTAACTCAAATGCTGAATGTGATCTTTTTGCGCTTGGAGCAACAAGGAGTGAGTATATTTTCCTTTTATTATGTCGACTGACGGGCTGAGCGAGCAACAGCATTTGGGTGTGGAACTGACAAACTGCGGTTTTTTGTTTGTTTGGTTGGTTGGTTGCAGATTTCCACCTCGATTGATGCCAGCCACTCCATCAGTGCCAATGGTGGGGAGGATGATGACGATGGAGAGGACGGTGGAGCTTCGACATCCATTGCCGCCCAGGAGTTGGCCGCTACGTTTGCCGCTGCTGAGCAAGCTGCCGCGGCCGCGGCTGCTGCTGCGGCTGCAGCTGCAACTGTCGTCGACACGCCTGCACAACCATCTACTTCAGAGGAATCGCAGGCGAGCGCGGAAGGTGCAGAACCCTCAGAGGACGCGCCCGCTTCTCCCGAACAGCCTGCAGCTTCAGTCGGCGACTCGGGGAACGAACCCGCGGCGGAACCCACGCAAGAATCTGCTGCCCCTGTTGACAACGCTCCAGCTGACGCTAGCGCGACACCCGCCCCTGTCACCCCAGCCAAAACCACCCCCATCACCCTCAAGCCTCCACAAGCTGGCGCGCAGCCTGGCAAGTATGGCTACTGCATCGTCTGTGGTATTCCGGCCAACCATTGGTGCGCGCAGACCCGCGAACCCGTGTGCAGTGTGGAATGCAAACGCCTCTATCTCGACCACATTCAAACGGCCGAGGCAACTGCTGGCAACGCCGATCCGTCGGGTCAAGACTTGCCTGCGGGCGTGCGCTTTGCTCACGTGGCCCAGCGAGACGCCTACCTTGTCTTCCGCTCGCTGTGCCGGCTGTCGATGCGCCCATTGCCAGAGAACCACGTGGACAACCGCTCAAATGAGCTGCGATCCAAAATCCTCTCGCTCGAGCTGCTCCTCAACATTTTGCAAAATGCTGGCCCCGTCTTCCAGTCATCCGAGAGTCTGATCAACGCCATTCGCAACTACCTTTGCTTGTCCCTGAGCAAGAACGGTGTTTCACCCGTCCCGATCGTGTTTGAGCTGTCGCTGTCCATCTTCCTCACCATTCTGTCGCTGTTCAAGGCACATCTCAAGCCGCAGCTGGAAATTTTCTTCAAGGACATCTTCCTCAACATTCTGTCCTCGCCATCGAGCGCCTTCCAGCACAAGTGGATGATTATGCTCGCCATGAGCAAGATCTGCGCCGACCCGCAGATTGTCGTCGATCTCTATGTCAACTACGACTGCGATCTGACCATGGAGAACATTTTCGAGAAACTCGTCAACGACCTCGCGCGCGTGGCGCAAGGCCGCAACCAGACCGAGCTCGGTGCCACCCCCGCACAGCAGCAAGCAATGAAGGTGAAGGGCTTGGAGACGGTGGTGACCATCCTCCACTGCTTGGTCGAGTGGACGCGCGAGCTCGAGAACGAGCGCACTCAGACAATCGATGCGCGGCTGATGCAAAACCTCGCGGGAGGCGATCAAGCCGCTGGTGCCGGTGCGAACGTGGCGCTGTCGGCTTCTTCTGCCGCCGCCGAGACGGCCTCCATCCACTCGAACGACGGCACCAACGGCACGACGACGAGCGTGCCCATGTCCCAATCGCCCAGCAGCAGCAACCTCACGCAGAGCCACAACAACCTGGTTCTGCCCTCGAGCGCGCAGCAGACGCCTGCGCTCGTCCCTTCTTCGGGCGCTGGCACTCCGTCGACCAACGGTGGCAGTGTGACGCCTGTCGACTTTGAGACGCTCAAGCGCACCAAGGAAATTCTCGAGGAGGGTCTTGCTCGGTTTATCGAAAAGCCCCGCAAGGCAATCCAATTCCTGCAACAGCAAGGTGTAGTGGGCCAAACCGCGCCCGAGGTTGCCCACTTTTTGATGACCAACGAGCGCCTCAGCCGGACGGCCATTGGCGAGTTCTTGGGCGATGCCGATGCTTTCTGCATCGAAGTCATGTACGCGTATGTGGACCACCAGGCCTTCAACAACCTGTCGCTGGTCGAGGCCCTGCGCAAGTTCCTCGAGGGCTTCCGTCTGCCAGGCGAGGCCCAGAAAATTGACCGTCTGATGGAAAAGTTTGCCCAACGCTACTGCAAGGACAACCCCGAAAACCCTTACTTTAGCAATGCTGATACGGCCTATGTCTTAGCATTCAGCGTCATCATGCTGACCACCGATCTGCACAGCCGTCACATCCAGAAGAAGATGACCAAGGCCGAGTTTGTGCGCAACAACCGCGGCATTAACGACTCGAAGGATTTGCCGAAAGAATACCTGGAATCCATCTACGACGAGATTGCCAAGCAGGGCATTCGCATGCGTTCGGAAAAGCCGGGCAAGGTTGCTGTGCATGGCGGTGACTTGCTGTCCGAGAAACAGCGCAAGGACTTGTACAACAAGGAAATGGAGTACATGCTCGAGGCTGCCGAGGCCAGCCTGAAGGACAAGGTCCGCCACACCAAGCCCTTCATTCTCGCCACGTCTGCCGAGCACGCCAAGCACATGTTCAAGGTTGCCTGGACGTCCATGCTTGCGTCGCTTTCGATTCCGCTCAAGAACAGCGACGACCCTTACATTGTGTCGTTGTGCCTGGATGGTTTCCGCTATGCCATCCACACTGCGTGCATCTTTGCTCTCGATCTGGAACGCGACGCCTTCGTTCAGTCCCTGGTCAAGTTCACGCCCGGTATCGGCGGCGTGGTGGACATTAAGCCCAAAAACATCGAAACCATCAAGACCTTGGTGCAGATTGCCCGCACGGACGGCAACTTTTTGAAGCAGTCGTGGCATCCCATTCTCAAGGTCATCTCGCAGCTCGACTTGGGTCAAGTGATTGGCACCGCGCCGCTCGCAGGCAACACGCCTGCTGCCGCTCCCTCTGCTGCTGCTCGATTTGTCGGCATGTTCACGGGCCTTGGTCAGTCTTCGACCGACCTGCGTGGTCCAAACAGCCCTGCATCGCGTCGCTCGCTCGTCGGAACCGGCGGTGCTTCCTCTGGCAGCGCATCTGTTGGCGCGGGTGGTGCGGGTTCGGTGCCAGGTGGCGCCGGCGCAGGGTTGAGTGGTCAAGGCGCTGGGCACCCCAGCGCGCTTGGCGGGTTGCTGTCGCAGTCGGGCTCACAGCTCATGTCGTCGGCTGCGTCGTACGCGGCGTCCGCAATTGCCGCGGCAAACGCATCCGCAGCTGCAGGTGCCTCCATCTACCAAACCACCTTCTTGCAAGGGCCGAACGTGGTGGATGCTCAGCCTGTGCAGGCGCGTCCTCTCGCTCAGTCCATCTTTTCAGAGCATAGTGTGCGAAGTGAGCATTCGGTTTTGGCTCAGCAATCGAATGCTGCTGCTGCTGCTGCCGCCGCCGCTGCCGCCGCCGCTTCTTCGTCCAGCTTGTCGCCCTCACACTCGTCCATTGCGACACCCCTCCGAAGCTCGGCCCTGCCGACAGTGGACAATCAGACGGACGACATTAACGGCACGCAGAGCTTTTCGGTTGCCATCGATCGCGTGTTTACGCAGTCGAGTCGTCTGGATGGTGACGCCATTGAAGAGTTTGTGCGCTGGCTGTGTGCCGTCTCCCTTGATGAATTGCAGGCCCCCGGCAACCCTCGCATGTTTTGTTTGCAAAAGATTATCGAGGTGTGCAGCTACAACATGGGCCGTCTGCGCTTTGAGTGGTCGCGCATCTGGTCTGTGATTGGCGATTACTTCAACAAGGTTGGTTGCCTGGCCAATTTGGACGTGGCTCTTTTCGCGGTTGACGTGCTGCGCCAAATGTCCATGAAGTTCCTCGAGAAGGGCGAGCTCGCCCAATTCCACTTCCAGAAGGATTTCCTCAAGCCGTTCGAGTACATTATGTCGCACAACAAGTCTGTGACGATTCGCGACATGGTTGTGCGCTGCCTGTGGCAGATGGTGCAAGCCAAAGCCAAGAACATCAAGTCCGGTTGGAAGAACATTTTCTTTGTCTTTTCCATTGCAGCCAGCGATGAAGACGAGGGCATCGTGTCGCTCGCCTTCCGAAGCGCATTGTTGATTCTCGAAAACCACTTTGATCTCGCGGCCGATAGTTTCCTCGACGCCATGAACTGCCTGACCGAGTTTGCATGCAACCAGGCCTACCCCGATGTCAGCCAGGATGCCGTTCGTCTCATTGACGTCTCTGCCATGCGCGTCGCGCACAATCCCACCCTCTTTACAGAGTCTGAGCAGTCGCTTGCCACCGACGGCGAGGATCGGCTCTGGGTTCGCGGTTGGTTCCCGATCATCTTTGCCCTGTCGCGCATCATTAATCGCTGCAAGATTGACGCCCGGACACGGTTAGGGTTTTGTTGTTTTCTTTTTAGTTTTTGCTGGTGTTGGAAACTTTTTTTCCTCGGTGGACAAGGTGGCTCTTGGTGGACGATTGTGCTGGTCGAGCTTTTACTTACAGTGATTATTTGATGCTTCTTCCTCCTCTGTGTGTTTCTTTGAGCAGTGCCCTTGATGTGCTGTTCGAGGTGGTCAAGACGTACGGAGCTGATTTCAAGCCACAGTGGTGGCGCGATCTTTTTGCCGTGATCTTCCGTATCTTTGACGATAACAAGATGCCCGACTCTGTCGCTGAACGGAACGAGTGGATGAACACGACGTGCAACAGCGCCGTGTTCAAGGTGGTCGATCTGTTCTCGCACTTTTACGAAACCCTGTCGGCCATTCTGCTTGCCGATCTGTTTGACTGTTTGCATTGGTGCATCACCCAAGGTATGATTGGCCTCTGTTGGAGAATGGATTGTAGTATTCTTGGGTTGTGAGCTCATCATTGCGCACGCCCGTTTGCTTTTTTTTTTTTTTTTTTTTTTTTTTTTTTTTGCTTGGGACCAGACAATGAGCAACTTGCTCGGTCTGGCATTCATTGCTTGCAGGTCTTTATCATGACGAACGGACCCAAGTTCGATGCGGATGTGTGGTCGACTGTTTCGGGACAGGTCAAACGCATTTTCAATTCAACTGTGCCCCATTCTCTGATGTCGTAGTACCAGCATCAACTCTTGCAACAGCAACAGCAGCAGCACCAGCACCAGCACCACCAGCACCACCACACTGACGCGGAAGAGCCTGAGCATGGTCGCGAGCCAGGTAAAAATTGAATCGAGTTTGTTGATTGAGAGTTATTGGTGAGATGAGGGGCTTTTCCTTTTGTGTGTTCACTTTGCTCACGCTGTAACTACTGTGGGTTGCCGTTGCTACGCCTGTTGCAGCCGTGCCAAAGGAGCGAGTGATCAACTTTACATCCATCATTATCAAGTGTGTCGTGCAGCTTGAATTGATTGCGGCCGTGGAGCGCGTGCTCTTCAACTCGATTGATTCCTTGACGGCTGCCGAAGCGACCACCCCAACGCCAGCACAGCCTGCTGCCACTGCCTCGTCCGCGGAACCAAAGACGGCCGTTCCTACTTCAGACGACGCCGCTGCCGCCGGTACGGCTTTGGCTGTCGATCCAAACGCGCTCGGCTCCTTCCGGTTGATGGCCAATGGCAACATTAGTGTGCTGCTTGAGTGCTTGGAGCAAGCCCATGACTTTGCCAAGCGCTTTAACGGCAACTACGATTTGCGCACTGCCTTGTGGAAGGCCGGTACGTGTAAATCGCGGAAACGAGGCTCCTTGTTCTCGCGGTGTTTCTCACCAATGCGATCTGGGGGTGGGGTTTTCTTTGTTTGTTTGCTTGTTGTGTTGGTAGGTTTCATGAAGCAAATGCCCAATCTCTTGAAGCAAGAAACGACCAGTCTCGCAGCCACTCTCAAAGTTCTCTTCCGACTCTTCAACGACGATGCCCGCACTGAAATGTGGACGGCGGCGGAATCTCGCATCTTGATGTATGTGTTGACGCAGCGAGGCCAGGTTTTTTGTTTTGCGAGGGGGAGGGGGAGGAAGGCATTTTGTACATTTATGTGGATCAAACCCCCGCTGACTTGGCTTGCTCTCCCTTGCACACAGTCTGGGCCAGTCCGTGTTCAAGTACTATTGCACCATTGCGGCCGAGAAGCAACGCGATGTGTGGAACCCTGTTCTCATCCTGCTGCTCGACTCCATTTCCCGCCTTACAGATGCACGGGTAAGTGTTGTCGTTATGGTAGTCGTCGTAGTCGTTTTCCCTGGCGCTTGCCATCAAACATTGGTGCCCACACTCGCTCTCACTGTCTCTTTGCAATTTGACGCTCGCAGTTCCGAAAGCAAGTTCAATCCCTCTATCCCTATATTGTCAAGAGCCTTGCGTTCGAGTTGAAGCCAAACCTGCGAGTGTCCATTCAACGTTTGCTGGAACGCACCGGTGCTGAATTTGGCATTGTCGTTCCAGCCACCGCTCCGTAATGGCACTTTTTTGGCCCATTCGGTTTGCGCTGGCTTTTCTCTCTTTTTTTGCTCTTTTTTTGCTCTTTTTTGCTCTTTTTTTTTCTCTCTCTCTCGTCTTCCCTGTCTCTGTTCTCTGCTTGTTCCTGACCTCTCGGCTTGCGCCTGTTTCTGGCTCTCGCTCCATGTAGTTGATAAAATTTGTTCATTGCGACACCATGCAGAAGGCGCAACAAACACGCATTGAAAAAAGGAAGATCAAAAAATCAAAACCTCCGGTAATCAAATGTGTCTTGAATCTGACTGACGGTCGTCCAAATGCACTCCTCCATGTTGCGCTCGTACTCTGTCTTGAGGAAGGCAAAGAACAAGGCAAGCGAGGGGAGGGCGAGCAAGAGGACAAAGTCCACGCCTGAGAAAACGTAGAACGGGCACGAGACCGGCAGCACTGCTTGCAAAAGCGTCGCGGGCTCGTCGTGCAGCACGTTCAGGATGCCGGCCACTGCAAGGTAAATCTTGGAGCGGGGAGACGGACCCTCAACATTCAAAGTCGGCTTGGAGATAATCCTGATGGTGGTGCCCCATATCAACAATCGCTGGGCCCACATAAACACGACATAGACCCAAAAGCAGACCTTGCTGTCGGGGTAGCTGCAAAACCAAACCAAAAAAAGCAACAAGGCGAGTCGATTTGGTGAGACGAAGTGTTGCCAAAATAAAAGGGAACAAAAAAATTCAAAGAAAATTCAAAAAACAAAAGGCTCAAACGTACATCGTCATCATCAGCGTAGTAATGAGATAGCCAAGAAAGGCAGCGTAATAGCATGTTTCGGTGCGAACGACAGTGTCTTTCACACGAGCAAGAGTCGAATTGACTTCCGGCAGTTTGTTGGTGGCGCTTGCGGCGACCTGAGGAGGAGCTGGACGAAGAGGAGCACGGAACAATCAGTCAGCAATGGTTATTCAACGCAAGTGGACACGAGAACAACATGCAGATCACGTACTGGCAGATCGATGCTTGAACTGGTGGTTGAGAGCAAGGCCCAACAACAAGCTGACAACGCCGTGCAGAACGACGTTGGAGATGAACAAGCCAGCATCCAGGGTGGTTTCGTCGTCGAAATTGGCATACCGAGCAGCATCGACAGCCCCTCCAAAAAATCCAAAATCCAAAAATCCAAAATCCAAAATCCAAAATCCAATCCACGTTTGTCGCACCTTGCCGTCATTGCCAAAAAGTAAGCGACCCAGAAATTGTTGGAAATGTTGTCCGTGCGAATGCGCCTGTTGAAGACGCGGACACTGTTGAACTTGACCATCGTGACTATGCTAAAGACGAGCGCCGTGATGGCCGTGGTCACAAAGATGCTGAAGCTGCCGGGGTAGTGCAGCCAGCCGCCCACAGGCAGGTCGCTGCTGTTCGACGGGCACTCGGCCAGCTGCCGACCTTCAAAGTAGTCGTGCAGCATCGTATGTCGGTGGTTGGTGGTTGACTTGGAAGACAGCCGAATGGAAGGCAAAGGGGTGAAAAGGGAAGGCAAGCCGAGCCAAGCAACGCACCGCGAGTTGGGGGTGGGGGTGTTTTTTTCTTCCTTTTGTTAGACTTGTGGTTGAGTCTGAGTTGCAGAGGCAGAGGCGAAACAAGCGATGGTGAGTGAATGCGAAACAGCGGCAATGCAAATTCAAAGAAAAATAGGAAAAATAAAAAATATAAAATAAAATAAAAATCGCAATGCAAAGTCCATACAAAACGTAAAAATAATAGAATAGAATAAAAAAATCGCAATGCAAATCCTACAAAAAATGAATATAAAAGATATAAAAAAATAATAGAATCACGAGTGGCGGGAAAAGCGATGATGACGACGGGCTTTGTTGTTAAGGCTGAGACTGGAAAACAGCCGATGAAGAAGAAGCTGAGCACAAGAGAGGCAACAGAAATGGAAGGGAAGCGAAGCGAAGGGAAGGGAAGGGAAGGGAGGAGGATCAAGGGATGAAGATGGAAGAAGAGAGAGCAAGGGAAAGGTCGGGGAAACAGTGACCGCGAGCGTAGCAAAGGCTCGTTTTAAACAAAAACATATAGACAAAAAAAAACATACCACAAACAAAAAGAGCAAAATGCAAGACTGCGAAAACACAAAACCAAAACAGCTCAGAAAGGGTGTGAAAGGAACTCGACCGCTTTTCCAAAAAAAAATCCAGCATCTAAATAATATTCTCTGTATTCAATCTTCATTATTTGTAGCGGTTGCACTCCACCACCATGTTTGAGGAACACGCCGTCACGATCGGGTCGCTGGTTTCGACGGTCGCCATTCTGGTCGTCGCCTGGCTACTCGCCCGCCGATTCGCCTCGCACATGCCGCGCGTCGAGTTCTACGTGTTTCTGTGGCTGGCGTACGACGCACTCATCCACACCATCCTGGCAAGTGGCTCACGGCCAAATCGGTTCAGATTTTCGCATTGTGGCGTGATCCTTGCATCGACTGGCCCCCCGGACTCTGTTTCTGATCGTTGCGCCGACCATCGTGTGTAATATGATGCACCTCGTCACAGGAAGGATCGTTCGTGTTCATGTCTCTGCGCAGCACTGTCAAGGAGCACGACAATGCGTTTGCTTCATTGTGTACGATTTTATGATTTTTGGTGATGCACGATGATGCTTCTCATCTTGCCATGCGGATTGTCTCACCGTCGCTCAACCACTGTCTGTTGTATTGCCAAACATGAATTATGCGGCGTCACGCATTACAGGGAAAGAGTACAGCAAAGCGGACGCTCGCTGGCTCGTCTCCGACCCGACGGTGGTTTCGCTCGAGATTCTGACCGTCTTTTTCGACACGTTCTTGTGCGTGGTCATCATGTGGGCGATGGTATACAACAAGCCATACCGGCATTATCTGCAAGTCGTTTTGTGTGTGTGCGAGCTTTATGGCGGTAAGTGTTGAATTTTTTTGGGGGGACGAGTTGTTTTTTGTGTTTTGTGTTTTGGGCTTTCTGTTGGTTTTGGCGAGGAACGCTTCGTGCATGGCGTCACTCCAGGTCTCAACCCGTGAGCTCTCACCACCACGTTGCTTCGGTTGGCTTGATTTTTGGGGTTTGACTGGATCAGGTTGGATGACTTTCTGCCCAGAATGGCTCGTTGGCTCCCCTGCGTTGAACACCTCCAACCCGCTTCATCTCTGGGTGTACCTGTTCTTCTTCAATATGGTCTGGGTGGTAGTCCCGTTGGCCTTGATGTGGCAGTCGTGGAACTTTTTGAACAATGCCGTGCTTGCAGGCACCGGCAATCCCAGTCAGTCCACTCGGTCTCGCAAGAAGCTGCAGTGAGCATTTCCGTCCCCTCGTTTGGAGCATTGTGCTGCGAGAACAGAAGTTTGCCATTTGTTCAAACGGGAATTTCCGGTGAGCTTTGCATGAACGTGCTCCGAAATACAAAACGCCCACAGCGTCAAGAATAAAATATTTCAGAAACAAAACCCCAGGTTTCCCCTTTCGCTCGTCCAAGGGATGAAACAACTAACCGTCCCCGGCGGTGATGGTTTATCAGAGAAAAATCTATCTATCATGACTGGAGCAAGGGGAGGACACGGGGGTCGTGGGAAGAGTCGAAAGGAGCGATCGGAGTGCGTTTTCGAAAATAGAAGGTTTTAGCCACATCGACCATAGACCCCACATAAACCCCAGCCCCATTCAAGTCCACTCAGCAGGCTCGTGATTCTCCAAAACCAATAGACAAAATGAGTCAATTTATTTTATTTGGTCTCAGTCCATTTTTGCTTTTTTTTTTCTTTTTTTTTTTTTTCTTCACTTCAGGTGGGTATGCTTTTTGGCGCGAAAATCAAAAGACATCAACTCTCGCATCTGCATGTGCCATCGCGCGCGCTTCGGCCCACCGCTCTCGCTCACACCCCTCACACACTCACACACCCACATACTTCACTCATGCGCGGGTCGAGGCACGGTGGCGCTGGCCTCCTTTCTCCTTTTAGCCTTGGTGTGTTCCGGTCTGCTGAGACCGACCTTTTTACTCTCTCTCTCTCTCTCTCTCTTCCTATCCTCACACCCACTCTCCCTCGTGGCCTTCGTGGCCCTTCCATTGCTGTTCATGCTGGCGGTCGCCGAGTCGCTTGGCCGAAATGCGGCGGCTGCCAACGCTCAGCGGCTGGTCTGATTGGTTCCTTCCTTACCCCTCAAAGTTCTGATGACGCTGTTTTGCTGGCTGCACTCGGTCCTTGTCTCCCCCGTTTCCCCCCCCCACCCTGGCGCCCGGACATCATCATGATGCCACCATCTCTTCTGATGCTTCTGTCTCTATTTTCTTCAGTGCAGCTCGCTTTGCACTCGCGTCGGGGCCGCAGAGGACGCCGGCTTTTTGTGGGTTTTCAGCACACGCATCAAAAAAAAAATAAGGGCAAAAAAAACCCATAACAGTTTTCCACCTCGGAGCGCCGTCACGAAGGAGGGGAAATGTCGATGGGACTCGTGCAGAATTGTGCTGGAATAAGGAGAAGGATTGCTTGTTGTCGCTCCTCAGGTGTGGCTGCTGTTGTGGACCCCCCTTCTGCTTCTGGGGGTAAGAATACTGCAATGAGAGGTTGGTTGCAGGACGTCATCGTTCACCCGTTTCATCTCCATTGCCCTCGTCTCTCTTTGACATTTGTATTCAATGTCGAGTCGCCTGATTCATTCCGGTCACCACTCTTTCACGCTCGTGTGCGTGCGAGGGATGATCGTTGTGGCTGGGCTGTTTCAAACACGAAAGAGAACGCTCGGCACTTGGTCTTGTTTTCTTTCTCCCTCGAGTGCCCGCACCTTCCTCGGTCCCAGCCACGCTGTCCCTTGTCTCCATCCCTTGCTCTGGCTTGAAAGCAGCCTCTCCAATGACGAGTGATATTTCGTCTGGTTGTTTTTTTCTTCCGTGTTTTTGGTCTTCTAGTGTGTTCTTTGAAAAGGCACGAAAGAGCGGTCATTTCTTTTTTTTTTTTTTTTTTTTCTTTTTTTTTTCTGCTTTTTTTTTTTCTGAACTCTTGGCAATTGGTGACGCGAAAGTGCTTTTGCGGCACTCTTTGAAAGTCGAAGAGAGAGAGAGGAGCCGTGGCACTCGTCTCTATCCACAATGAAGCGCGAAAAGCCCAAAAAAATTTTAAAAAAAATCATGGGGTTGTGATGTGTGGGAGGAGGTTGAGGGGCAAAGTTGAAGGGCGTGAACCCGCCAATTTTGCACCTTGGCAAAAGGATTTTGGTGCATTGTCTCTCCAATGTCGAATACTATTCGCTAGTGTGCAGTTTTGCGGTAGTTTTGTGGGTGATTTGACGTTGGGTGGAGCTGGTGGGAGCGGTGGTTGAACGTTCGGTAGCATGACAAAATTTGCCACCAATTTCGATTCTGAATGGTGGACCATTGCATCACCCAATGAGCCAAGCAAATCATCAACCCTCCACTTCCTTTTTCACTTCTTGCCATCATTGGTGTGTTAGGATGGAAACTCAGCCTCAGAAGAGAGAGAAAGCGAGAGAACGAACTTTAACACGCCAACAAATCCAAAAACTCACACGTTGTTCATGCGAATATTTAGACGTTTTGAACGTGGCACTTTTTCACATCAGCACTCTGCATTGCGTATTGCGTGGCAATTACACTTTGTTATTCGTGCTATTGTATTGCCAGCTCACTTGTTGACTTTGTGTGCTTGTTTGCTGACCTCAGAAAGGCTCGCTCGTTCTCCTCTCTCTTACAAGAACCGTCTGTCGCTTCTGGAACTGTCAAACACACACATCCTCAAACTCGCTCAAAAGGCTTCACGAATACACACCGCGACCTCGCAAATGGCGCTTCAACGTCACACGCGACCAGGCGATCCTGCTGCGCCAACAGGGTCGGATGCCGAGGCCGCTCTCAAGATTGTCGGGAGATACGTCTACCATCCTCAAACAGACCGCATCGGTCGCGGATCCTTTGCCACCGTCTACCGAGCGCGCTACGCTGATGTATGTAACTGGTTGTTGTTGGTCTGGTGTGCGTCTTCTGGCATTGGGTGGTTTTGCTGGTCCTCATTGTACTCTCTGCTCCGTCCTCTCCCCCCCCCTTCGTCTGGCAGGCACCCGGATACGTTGCCATTAAGCGAATCAAAAAGCAAAAACTCAGCGCACGCCTCAACGAGAACTTGGATCGCGAAGTTGATATTTTGCGCCTCGTCAAGCATCCGCACATTGTTCAGCTCTACGAAATCCAGGCTTCCAAGGAGAATGTGTACCTCATCATGGAGTACTGTGATGGTGGGGACTTGTCACAATTCATTCGCAAGAAAAAACTGCTCCCCGAAGAGCTTGTTCGCTCTTACACGCAACAAATTGGTAAGCACCGGCTTTTTTTTTTTTTGTTTGTTTTTTTTTTTCTTTACTTTGAACAACCCTCTTGTCGATGACTGCTTTTGTGTTCTCACTTTCTGACTCCACGCACAGCTTCCGCTCTTGAAGCTCTGCGCATGTTCAACATTGTGCACCGAGATCTCAAGCCGCAAAATCTCATGCTGGTCAAGCGAGAAACCGTCATCAAGATTGCCGACTTTGGCTTTGCGCGCTACCTTCAGACCGACACCATGGCGGAAACTCTGTGTGGCTCACCACTGTACATGGCGCCAGAGATTCTTGAATCCAAGCAATACGATGCCAAGGGCGACTTGTGGAGCGTTGGCGTCATTCTGTACGAATGTCTGGTCGGGCACGCGCCATTCCGTGCCGACAACTATCTCGAGCTGCTCCGCACCATCAAAACATCCAAGGACCGGATACCACTCCCGCCGAACGCGTCGATTGAGTGCCGCGACGTGATTGCTGGTCTGATGTGCGTCGATCCAGAGCGACGCATTGGGTTTGACGATTTCTTTGCCCACCCGTTCGTCGCCCTCCAGCAGTACAAGACTCGTTTGCGCACGCTCGACCCTGGCTTTGCCAAGCAGGATGAGGAACAGCGCCAACTCGCCGTTGCCAAGCATTTGGCGTCGGCATCACCCGTCCCGGCCGACGCTTCCGCTTCTCAAAGGCTTCAGGCGACCCAAGCCACGCGCAGACCTTCACACCCGACTGACGTGGTGGACCCTATTATCGCTGCCTCTGACGCCCGACAGGAAGGACGGCCCCGCGCTGCCACTCACAGCGGCGGCGACACTCGAACCCACCTGGCTCAGGCGCAAGCCCAGGCCGAGCGCCCCGCCCAGCCCATTGCCCAAACCGGCAAGTCCCAAGCCGTTCAAATCCTCTCGGCAGTCCAACGCGCCGCCACCGCTGCAGCAGCCACAGCAGCAGCTGCTGTCATCAACCGCGTCACCTCCAGCCCAAACTTGGCGGCGAACCCTGCCCGATCGACGCCCAGCCGCGGGTCTGTCTCTCGGCCACCCCGCGCTGAAACTCCGCCTGGTGTCTCCTCGTTGGATGAATTCACCTTTACCGACGGCACACCTGCCGACAATGGCCGCTCTCCTGCCGACTCTGGCCAGTTTGTTGAAAGCCAGCCTGTCAGCCGGCCCAACAGCGCCATGAACGCCTTCACCGCGGCACCAGCTCTCGTGTCCACCAAGCCCCAGCCCCAAACGGTGCAAGGCCTTGCCGGCTCGGTCGAAGACTATGTGCTGGTCGGTCCCTCCCAGCAAGTGTCGGTCAACGCTTTTGCCGACGCTGTGGCCCGCAACAAGGTCCCTAGCTCTCGCTTTGTTCCACCGAGCACCACCACCACCACCACCACCACCACCGCTACCACTACCACCACCACAGCTTCCTCTGGCATGCCTGTCCCGCAAAAGAGCGGCGCCTCGGTTGCAATGAATCAAGCCATGACTGACGACCTTCGCCAGCACTCTCCTGGCACCGACGCCAACCGTGGCGAGCAAGCCGAACCTGACGAAGAAGACGAGCGCACCCTGCAAACCGCGTCCCCCACTTTGGGTGAACGATTTGGCGAGCATCGTGACAACAGTTTTGCTTCTCGTGTTCCGCTGACCAACCCAGCCACCAACTTCCGTGAACGTGCCAAAACATACGCATTCGGCACCTCGCCTTCTCGAGGCAGCACTCCGCACACCCCGCCTGCCGACGAAGATCGCGCTGTCCAACTGGCTCTGGCGACGTCGCCCACCAACAACACCACGCCGCACTCCCCGACCTTGATGGGCACTAGCCGCGTGATTCTGAACAAGTTTGCGGACTTGTTCTACTCTTCTTCTGCATCCTCCAATGTGCAGCCCGTCACCGATGCCTACCTTCTCGGCACTTCCCCCTCGCGTCGCGCCATGTCCTCGTCCTCGCGCTCCTTTGACGAGGTATGTCCGGCATAGGTTTTCACGAGGGATTTGTATTGGTTGGTTGGTTGGTGGGTTTGTTTGTTCGTTCGTTCGTTTGTTTGTTCGTTCGTTCGTTCGTTCGTTTGTGTTGTTTGTTGGGCTCACCGCATTCGCTTCCGTCGTTGGCTTTTGACAGAATGTCTTGTTCAGTCGCATTGAATCGGCTGCGCAGCATGCGTTCGCCGTTCAGCGCTTGGCCAAGATTCTCAACAGCGGCCAGCAGTCGACAGGACCGTTGAATGACGACGGCACTCAGGCGCTGCTCTTGTACATGCGCGCACTCGAGTTTTACTTTGAGGGCATCAACCTGTCCCGACAGCTCGTGCGCAACAACGCCAGCATCCCCTCGGATGTCAACTCGATGATTCAGCTGCTCCGTAGCAAGATCAACGACTGCATCGACTCGGTGGATAGCCTCCGCTCCCGCGTGCCGCCAAACGCTCCCCTTTCCTTCGACTTGTCCGTTGAGAAGGTCATTTACGAGAATTCCATCATGCTGGCCCGGGAGGCCGCAGTTCGCGAGTTACTCGGACACTTCCAGGATGCGCAGGAGGCGTACTGGTGTGCGTACTTTTTGCTCGAATCGCTGCTGATGGACCGCGGCGAGACTCCGCTGGAAGAGTCTGACAAGGCCCTCGTCAAGCGCTACTCGGCCTCGGTCTCAAAGCGCATCCACATTCTGCAGCAACGCCTGTCGACCAGCAATGGCTCCCAGCCCATCTCCCTGTCCAGCTCGGTTGCTGCTGGCTCACCGACCCATCAGCAGAACGCTCTGGCGGCTCAGTTGACTGCCTTTACGACCGGCAACAGTCTGTACCAACATGGTGGTCAACTATTTGGCGTGTCTCCCGAGTAAAAAGGAAAAAACAGACAGTCCGATCGATCGATCTGTTTGTTCCACTCGCAGATCCTTCATTTTCATTTTGTTTGATTCTCTGCCTCAACGTAGAGGACACCGAGAGGTTTCTGCAACTGTACAATGTACATTATGTGATTTTAAACGATAAAAAAAATACAAACTAATGAATTACAGATCTAACAAATGCTCGTTTCATTGGCTCAAAATGTTCAGGTTCGATCAGGTTCCATCTTAATCATTTCCACCAGCATCACTGATCATCACCATTATCGTCACTTTCCTCATCATCATCATCATCGTCGTCGTCATCAGCATGACGCGCCGCGGCTTCACGACGGGCAGCGTCTTGACGAATCAGCTTCTCTCGTTCTTCGGTTGAAGCGCGCTGAGCCAACAGCCAGCTTTCCCACTTTTGCAGACGCGCTTCGCGCTGAGCGTCGGTCTCCTCGACCTTGTAGGATGTACGACCGTCCCACTTTGCGGCTTCCAGACGGCGCCCTCCAAACCAGCGGCCATTCATGAGCTCGACACACTTGCCGGCATCTTCAGGAAGGTCGAATTTGACAGACACCACTCCGAGTGGGTTTCGATCAAAGATGGTCACCTTGCGTACAACGCCGCATTTGCCACATTCGCTTTCCATGTCCTCCTTGAGCTCGTTCAGCTCGTTGGGATTGTCGTCAAATTCTTCGGGCGAGAAGACATTGCTAATAATCACAGTGCTCGCGCCCCGCTTGTTCTCCATCGGAACAAACTCGTCCCAGCCGTACAGCTTTTGCATCACTTTTTGCCGACGTGCTTTGACTTGCTTGAGCTGCTTGGCATTGTTGATGACGGGGCCGTGGTGTTGTGGTGGCGGCGCTTGGTCTGACTGTACCGAGGTTCCTGCCTCCTTGGCGCCGCCCTTGGCACCTGCGACCGCAGCCTTCGCACCCTTGGAGGCAGACCCGCCCTTGCTGGCTTCCTTGCTCGATTCTTTGTGACTAAATTTGGCGGCCTCGACGTGAATTGGGTGCTTGCCTCGAAAAAGCGACCCGTCCAAAAAGTCCAGCGCCAGCTGAACGGACTCTGCTCGATTGTAGCTGCACAGCGCGTCGCCCTTGGGTACGCCATTGGCATCCGTGTAGACCTTGACCTTGAGCTCATTCGTGTTCATGTCAAAGCGAATAATGCCGCATTGCGACATGTATTCGGCAAACTCTTCGGCATCCACGTCGTACGGCAGCCCAGTCACATAGACGTTGGAGTTTTTGAAAGCCGGGGCGTCGCCTTCTTGACTTTTGCTTGCTGCAGCTGCTTTGGGCGCACCTTTCCCAGGTCGACCAGGTCCAGCAGCTGCGGGAGGCTTGACGAGCTCGTCTTCATCATCGTGCTGCTCCATCCGCATGCGTTTGTACTCCCGATGTGCGGCCTCCGCATCCATCTCGCTGCCATTGGGAGCACTGTTGCCCGTAGCAACCTGCTGGCCGCCTGATTCAAGATCCGCGCGGGTCCGCCGCGTTGTTGACGCTTCAGTAGTGGTTGATGGCGCAGCTGCCGCCGCGTTCTCATTCCCGCCATAGCTCAACTGATACGAGTAGATGAATGCTTCATCGAGACGTGGAAACCACGCCTTTGCGCGACCGTCCCACTCGTAGATTGTCCCGTCGGTCGGGTCGAGATATGCAGGATTCTCGGCTGGCTTGTTGACGGGAGCCATCGCTGCGTGTGATCCGCCCGACTCGATTTGCGCAACAAGCAGCATTGCTTCGTAAGCAGCCCGCGAGGCCTCGTCATCGTCACCGGCTGCGTCGTTTGCGAAACGACGAGCGTCAGCGCTCGACGACGGGCTGGATGCTGACTGGGTCGCGACGCCGCCGACCAATCCAGGCCCTGCGTTCGTAGAAGCGCCATTCATAGCAGCAGCAGCAGCAGCAGCAGCAGCAGCAGCACTCGTCGACGTCGCAGCGGCGCCGGGGCGAACGGCAATCCAGTGCGCTGGTGGGGCTGGTGCTGGTGCCACTGATCCTGATCCTGATCCGAGCCAGACATTGCTGATGCATGAGCATGAGCAGAAGTAGTAGTAGGAGCAGCGGTGGTTTGGGCGACTCCGCGATCGTTGTCGTCGTCGTCGTCCTCGGCGACAAACGGAGTGAACTTTTGCATTGGGCGTTTGCTCTTTGTATGGAGCTTGTATGGAGCTTGTATGAAGACTGGGTGTATGGATTGCGTTCGTTGAATGTTACGAATCTTGTTTGGTTGTACAAAGGCTTTGTTTTTTTAAAAAAAAAAGCTACAAAAGAAGCCCTGATGGAAGAAGGAAAATAAAATAGACGCACAAAAGACACTGGACAAACAATGTAAAAGACGCTTCGCTTCACCCACTGTTGTTGTAGAAAACTTGCACAGAACCAGGGGATGGAAATCACTCGCCATCCTCCGTTTCTGCGGCAGTGTAATCGATACTGCGAGAGCGGGTGCGACGGGTAAACTCGGGATGCTGCTGCTGTTGCTGCTGCGAGAAGGAGGCAGACTCCAGATCCGTTGTGCTCGGCTGGCTGTCGACCTTGGGCGTGGGCGCGTTTGAGAACAGCACATCGAGTAGTCCATACGGAGAGCGTCGCGAAACGGCGGCATCCTGGGACGAACTCAGCAAGAATCTCAGGGCGTTGCGGAACTCGAGTTGAACGCGCCAGAACATGAACGACGGCGCGCCAACATTGTTGGCAGCGTTGTGCGGATCTTCGATGGCAGCCACGTTGGGAGGGAAGTTTGACTGGATGATCTTCTTGTTACGAATCGAAACGCAAAACTGGGTCGAGTCAAAGTGATTGCCAAAGCGGTCCAGGAAGGCAAGCAGCAACAAGGCGAGCTGCGAGCTCGGTGGGTTGGTCTGCAGCAAGAACGTGACAAGGAGAACAATGCCATAGGAGGTCAGGCCGCCGCTGTAGGCTTCGTTCAGACCCTTGCTGTGCAAGTACTGCTTCAAGACCATCACGAGTGGAGCAAGCATTGGGTACGCGCTAATCTGCGAGCGCACAAAGTCGCGCGCTAGAATGCCCGAGTGCGACAGGGGCCCACGCGAAGTATCGTGGAAGCTGACATCCACTGGGATGCGCAGGCCGCCAATCGTGGCAACAAACTTGACCACGGGAATGCGAGACGTCTCGATTGCGCGAACACCCGAACACCACGGGAAAGCGGTGAGCCGAGCTGCCAATTCCGCAACCGCACTCTGGGCAGGCGCCCCAGAATTGGGAGCCATGGGGGGTCGGACAACGACCAGATCAATGTCGCTGTGTGGAAGGCTGAGGCCATAGCTGTACGAGCCATACAGCACGACATACGAGTTTGGCCAGATGCTCAGCACGACGCCTTGCACGTGGTGAATGGCAGTTTGAACGTTCGGCGCATTGGATTGCGCGGTTTTGCTGACGTACTGGTAAAACCTCAAAATGTCGTCGTGCAGCTCAGTAATCAAGTTCTTGTTGAGGAAGCTGAGGATGGGAGGGAAGGCCAAGGATACTTGCTCGTTCATTTCGGACGTGGAAGCGGACATGGGTGGCGGAGGGGCGATCAAAGTGATGTCGGAATCACGGTGGCGTTGCTGCAGCTCTTGCATTTGCAAGAGATGAGCTTGGCTTTGCATTTGCTGCTGCTGAAGTTGCTGTTGTTGAAGCTGTTGTTGCTGGTGTGCCTGCTGTTGCTGAAGTATCTGCTGTTGCTGCAGCTGCTGTATTGACAACGGGTAGCCACCGCCTTGCAGCATTGCAGCTAGGTGAGGTGCAAACGGTTGTCCTGGCTCGTGAAGGACGACCACCGGCACATGTGCTTGTGCGAGAGGTTCGGTCGGGAAAGGCCCCGCGCCTGCGGGATCTTGAGTTGGCAAGGCAGAAGAAATAGGACGACCAGCTGCTGCAACGTGAGCGTATGGATCGTGTGGATTGGCCATTGCCACAGTCCGCATGGCAGCAGCGGCAGCAGCAGATTCGTCCAGGCGTACCGGGTGGCCGATCGCTTTGCTAGCGTCGGAAGGGATGCCACCTCCAGCCCGCGTCGAATGCACGTCTTGCGCATGTGCGACGCTTTCCAAAGGTGCTCCACCTGGCGGCTTGTAGAGCTGGTACCAGGAGTCCGGCGACTCGAGCTGCAGTGCTTGGAGCTGCTGGTCGTCGACCGTCACCAGTTTAAACAGCTGGGGGTTGTTAGACGACGTCTGAGCGTGCAACACACGTGCTGCTGCTGGTACAGGAGCCACTGCGGCAACGGTGGTTGTTGTGCCGATGGCAACGCGCGACGCTCGAGCCGCGAGAGGAGGGTTTGCTGCCGTTCCTGCGTTGTGGGCTGTGGAGGCGACGGCATTGGTCGCGCTTGAGCTCGGTGGTTGAGACGCAGTTCGGGATGCAGACCGCTTGCTTGCTGGTTGGTTGGCCGAGTTGGTCGACGTGCCAACCGACAGCGACGCTGCGTACGAGGGTGGAGGGGCATGAGCGGGTGCCGCAGCTTGCGTAGTAACAGATGCAGCAGGTCGCGAGGAGGGCTGTTGCTGGTGCATGGGCTGTGGTTGATGGGGTGAGTGGGAATGACTTGCTGCCGAGGGGGCGTGAGCGGTGCTGACGGGTGAAACAGGCACAGAAGCCACCTTCTGGTTTTCGGCTGAGGACAGGTCCTCAACGCTCAGAGCCGCTGCACGCGCTCCCGACAGCCCAGAAATGCTAATGTTGCTGCCAGGGCCGTCATCGAGACTACGCGACGAGGACAAGGGCTTTGACTTGGATTCGAGGGAGTTTGAGCGTCGAGAGCCGCGGGATTGTGGGTGCTGTTGTTGCTGCTGAGGCTGTTGCTGCTGAGACTGCTCATGTCGTTGTTGTTGTTGTTGCTGCTGATGATGGTGATGATGGTGATGATGTTGCTGTTGCTGCTGTTGCTGTTGCTGCGGATGTTGATGCGGTGCTGCCTGGTGTTGCTGGCGGACGTGCTGTTGGTGTTGATCGCGCAACGTGGCCTCGGCAGCAGTTATGGCCGTGATTGCGTGGCCTGGTGGCGTGACGGTATGCGAGCTAGAGTCTGCGAGCGCGTCGAGCTGCACATTAAAATCACCCAGCTTCAGAAGCACGGCACCCGAAAGCGCGACCGGAGGCAGAAGAGAAGCCGACGCGGACGGTGACGAAGGGAGAGTTTGGGTAGGCGACTGCAGCCCCACCTGGTCGGACGTTGGCAAACCTCCAAACTCTGTCAGGACTCGCATGTGGGCACTGGCATCGCTGTCGGGGCTGTCAAAGTCGTCAGCATAGCTGTCATGCGCGAGTCTGCGCGAAGGTGCGCGCGTAGTCTCGGAAGCTGGCTCTGTGCTATTCGAGTTGTCCATTCCAGCAAGGAGCGGGAAGAACTCGGACAAGTGTGCCTCGGGATCGGGTTGCCCAGACACGACGTTGCTGGCCTTGCTCTTCTTCTTCTTTTTCTTCTTCTTCTTCTTGTTGGCTGCCTTCGAAGGCGCGACGTCAACTTCAACGGCGATGCTTGCAATAAATTGGTTGGCGTCTGGTTCATCCTCATCGTCCAGATCAAAGCTCGCGTCGAGAGTGTGCCCATCTGCGTGGGTCGTCACATCAGCGTCGATGACATTGGAAGCGCCCCCGGCAGCAGCGGCACGACCGGGCGTTGGCGTGCTGTGCGTGGGATTGCGCATGCTGGCAAGCGGAGACGGGGAGGCAGGCACGGAAGCAGAGTTGCCGCCCACCAGCGAGCCTGGAAGCGAAGGGAGCGAGCGTCCGAGAGAAGTGGCCATGCCAGGTGTTGCGAGTGCGGCGACAGGCGTCGCGCCATGACTGGAACGACGTTTGTGGCCTTTGGTTTGGCGCCCCAGTGCTCCAGGTGCAAGGGCGCTGTGGCCTTGCGCCAAGAGTGATGGTGCAGGCAAAAGGGAGGGTTGCAACCCTCCAGCAGCATGCTTGGTTTGACTGCCGGGCGAAGTGCTGCCGGCATTTCCGACCGCGGATAGCGCGAGTGGAGAGTGGGCTGGGCTGGAGGAGGAGCGGGCGACCCGACTAGACTTTCCATTGGTCAGAGCAGCATTGGAGTTTCCTGCGACGGTGGCGCCAGGCGATACGCACGAGCTCAACAGATCGTTTGCGACTTCGAGCGCATAGGCATTTGCCAGGCGGATGCTAACTTTGCGAAGCAGCCGATCCACCAAGGTGTTGGCGCGCCAGAGTGGCGTCAGGAAGACGTGCTGGACAAAATTGTGCTCGAGAGCGTGGTGGCCGAAAAACCCGCGGGATACCCACTCGCGGCCATTAATGTCAAAAAACAGCTCCAGCAGCGAGCTCAGGGCAGAAATGGGATTTTGCAGGCGTGGTGCCTCTGTGTGGAACAGTGGCGCAATTTCGCTGCCAAGCTTGTTCTCCACAATCTTCTTTTGCTCCGCGTAGGGCAGCCGCGCCCAGAACGCGACGAGCTCGGGCCGCAGAGGATCCCGCGGCTTGTCTTTCCGTGGAAGTTGATACGGCCGCTTCTCGCTCGGAGCGCGCGGATCAATGTTGTGCTGCTGAAAGTAGGCCGTCCACAGCGATTGCTCGATTCGGGACGCAGCAAACATGGCCAGCGAAAAGTTGGCGTCGAGAAACCAGTCCGGCTCCTCCCACTGCCATTGACGGGTGGTCGTGTTCCACTTGACGCGACATGGCTTGCGCAAAAACTGGCCTCGCGAAACGGCACGAAGCGTCCGCAAAAGCTGGTGAGCGCTCTCCAAAGACCAGAAGCACTCGGGGTCCAGCGTCAACGTGTCCAGATACGACTCTGAGTCGCACAAGCGCAGATCGGCCTCGAGCTTGGCACCGGCATCGGCCGCCTCGCACCACAGCGGCTGGGTGAACTGGTTTGGACGGCGCCAAATAAACGAGTTGGACCAGCGAGTCTTTGGCCCGGCCGCGCCCATCGCAGAGTTGGAACCGCCCGACGAACCTGCGGCGTTGTTGCCAGACAGGGTGGAATTGGACGAGCCGTTGGTCGCAAGGGGCGCAAAGCTAAAACCAGTACTGGACGCCGCCGATCCGCCAAAAGAGGCGGACGCTGACGGGGAAGCGTACGAGCTCAACAAGGCGCTCGCTTGGCTCGAGCTAAGTTGAGAAGTGGCGGTGGCGAGATTAAATGCGGCTGTCGCGCCCACCGACACCTCGATGAAAGGATTGGAATTGATTTGGTTGCGGCGAGCAAGCGAGATTGGCTGCAGCTGCAGAGGAGGTGGAGGAATGTGGCTTCGAGCTGAATCCACGGACGGGCTTTCGCTGATTTGGCGCAAGGACGAACCCTCTTGTTGGCTGCTTGCCCCGAACGCAGGGAGAGAGCCAGACGAGCCTG